TCCATATTATTCGGAGGCCAGTAACAAACATAAACGATCACAGCACCATACAATTCCAATAGACAATGATCTTATAAACAGTCAAGTCATATAGTCAAGATTATACCAGTATATACAGGAAAGCAAAAACCAACAATGCATAGCGCAGTCACAGTACTGGCATCCCTATGTGCCTAATAATGGACACTACCAACGAAAATCAATGCCAGTTTCTAGGCGATGTGGGCTTTGATTCACTCAAGTCGTAGTAGGTGATCTGGGTAATAGTGTTATGTGTCGATTCACTAATTGAAACAATATGTTAACTCAGAAATCTGTACGTAGAACAAATTAGTGTGAAACCAACAAACAACCAACAAGTGGCTTTCAATCAACAAATGTACTACAAAATTAACTAGGTTTACAAATAAGTACAAATTACTGCACAGCAATAGGAGTACACAATAGAGTGGGAGTACAATATTCAAAGGCAGTATATAATATGATGGCAGTGGTCAGTATCAAAAACAACCATACAGTGTTGATAGTAAAGTCAGTGCTAATAATATATATGCACCCAGCGGCGACAGTGGTCAAGCTTCCGTGATAGACTAGGCATGGAATCAGGGATGATGAGCTATCCTCACATGAAAGCTGGTTCGAAGCGATGAAAAGCGTGGGAGACGAAATGTGTGAGAGACCCCTTAACAGGCTCTTCTCCGTCTATATATATACAGCCTAACAAGCAACTGGAAATTTCTACACCGTGCCCTCACTATAGAACACATTAAAGAAGTTTCAGAACCAGAAGTTTACACACCACACTAGCATCTAACAACTTCCTGACGACTGATCGCTGTTCAAACACAATGCAAAGAGCGTCTACCGAATCCCAGCAGAACTAATGTAACACAGTTACAATCATTTTTCAACAATAAAATACACTGCCATATAACAATAGGTGATCTGTAAATTAGGTGATGTGGGTGGGAACCATTACGAGATGGGGTCGAAATGTCATCGGAATCGACAATTGTAAACATTTCTTCTCTGGGTTAGAAGTGTTAACCAGTGAAGGTAGTATGTCTTAGCCATAACTTGTCAAAGCAGAATTTACGTTCCTGTCGTATTTATACTTGTTCCTGTCTGTATTGTGTTTTGTATTTTGTACAATGACTTATAACATTGAGAAAAAGCCAAGTGAGTTTAACTAACTTCATTATTAACAGCGGCCAGAAGAACAGCGATGTTTGGCCATAAAGGAGCGTGGTGATAGAATGGGTGAACACTGTGATGATGTATGACCATAAAGGAGCGAGGTGGTAGAATGGGTGAACACTGTGATGGTGTATTGCCAAAAAGGAGCGAGGTGGTAGAATGGGTGAACACTGTGATGGTGTATGGTCATAAAGGAGCGATGTGGTAGAATGGGTGAACACTGTGATGATGTATGACCATAAAGGAGCGAGGTGGTAGAATGGGTGAACACTGTGATGGAGTATGACCAAAAATGAGCGAGGTGGTAGAATGGGTGAACACTGTGATGGTGTACGGCCAATAAGGAGCGAGGTGATAGAATGGGTGAACACTGTGATGGTGTATGACCATAAAGGAGCGAGGTGGTAGAATGGGTGAACACTGTGATGGTGTATGGTCATAAAGGAGCGAGGTGGTAGAATGGGTGAACACTGTGATGGTGTATGGTCATAAAGGAGCGAGGTGGTAGAATGGGTGAACACTGTGATGGTGTATGACCATAAAGGAGCGGGATTTGGAGAATGGGTGAACACTGTGATGGTGTATGACCATAAATGAGAGAGGTGGTAGAATGGGTGAACACTGTGATGGTGTATGACCATAAATGAGCGAGGTGGTAGAATGGGTGAACACTGTGATGATGTATTGTCATAAAGGAGCGAGGTGATAGAATGGGTGAACACTGTGATGGTGTATTGTCATAAAGGAGCGAGGTGGTAGAATGGGTGAACACTGTGATGGTGTTTGGTCATAAAGGAGCGAGGTGGTAGAATGGGTGAACACTGTGATGATGTATGACCATAAAGGAGCGAGGTGGTAGAATGGGTGAACACTGTGATGGTGTATGACCATACAGGAGCGAGGTGGTAGAATGGGTGAACACTGTGATGGTGTATTGTCATAAAGGAGCGAGGTTGTAGAATGGGTGAACACTGTGATGGTGTATTGCCAAAAAGGAGCGAGGTGGTAGAATGGGTGAACACTGTGATGGTGTATGGTCATAAAGGAGCGATGTGGTAGAATGGGTGAACACTGTGATGATGTATGACCATAAAGGAGCGAGGTGGTAGAATGGGTGAACACTGTGATGGAGTATGACCAAAAATGAGCGAGGTGGTAGAATGGGTGAACACTGTGATGGTGTACGGCCAATAAGGAGCGAGGTGATAGAATGGGTGAACACTGTGATGGTGTATGACCATAAAGGAGCGAGGTGGTAGAATGGGTGAACACTGTGATGGTGTATGGTCATAAAGGAGCGAGGTGGTAGAATGGGTGAACACTGTGATGGTGTATGGTCATAAAGGAGCGAGGTGGTAGAATGGGTGAACACTGTGATGGTGTATGACCATAAAGGAGCGGGATTTGGAGAATGGGTGAACACTGTGATGGTGTATGACCATAAATGAGAGAGGTGGTAGAATGGGTGAACACTGTGATGGTGTATGACCATAAATGAGCGAGGTGGTAGAATGGGTGAACACTGTGATGGTGTATGACCATAAAGGAGCGAGATGGTAGAATGGGTGAACACTGTGATGGTGTATGACCATAAAGGAGCGAGGTGGTAGAATGGGTGAACACTGTGATGGTGTATGACCATAAAGGAGCGAGATGGTAGAATGGGTGAACACTGTGATGGTGTATGACCATAAAGGAGCGAGGTGGTAGAATGGGTGATCACTGTGATGGTGTATGACCATAAAGGAGCGAGGTGGTAGAATGGGTGAACACTGTGATGGTGTATGACCATAAAGGAGCGGGGTTTGGAGAATGGGTGAACACTGTGATGGTGTATGACCATAAAGGAGCGAGGTGGTAGAATGGGTGAACACTGTGATGGTGTATGACCATAAATGAGCGAGGTGGTAGAATGGGTGAACACTGTGATGGTGTATTACCATAAAGGAGCGAGATGGTAGAATGGGTGAACACTGTGATGGTGTATTGCCATAAAGGAGCGAGGTGGTAGAATGGGTGAACACTGTGATGGTGTATGGTCATAAAGGAGCGAGGTGGTAGAATGGGTGAACACTGTGATGCTGTATGACCATAAAGGAGCGAGGTGGTAGAATGGGCGAACACTGTGATGATGTATGACCATAAAGGAGCGAGGTGGTAGAATGGGTGAACACTGTGATGGTGTATGACCATAAAGGAGCGAGGTGATAGAATGGGTGAACACTGTGATGGTGTATGACCATACAGGAGCGAGGTGGTAGAATGGGTGAACACTGTGATGGTGTATGACCATACAGGAGCGAGGTGGTAGAATGGGTAAACACTGTGATAGTGTATTGTCATAAAGGAGCGAGATGGTAGAATGGGTGAACACTGTGATGATGTATGACCATAAAGGAGCGAGGTGGTAGAATGGGTGAACACTGCGATGGTGTATGACCATACAGGAGCGAGGTGGTAGAATGGGTGAACACTGTGATGGTGTATGGTCATAAAGGAGCGAGGTGGTAGAATGGGTGAACACTGTGATGGCGTATTGTCATAAAGGAGCGAGGTGATAGAATGGGTGAACACTGTGATGGTGTATTGTCATAAAGGAGCGAGGTGGTAGAATGGGTGAACACTGTGATGGTGTATTGTCATAAAGGAGCGAGATGGTAGAATGGGTGAACACTGTGATGATGTATGACCATAAAGGAGCGAGGTGGTAGAATGGGTGAACACTGTGATGGTGTATGACCATACAGGAGCGAGGTGGTAGAATGGGTAAACACTGTGATGGTGTATTGTCATAAAGGAGCGAGATGGTAGAATGGGTGAACACTGTAATGATGTATGACCATAAAGGAGCGAGGTGGTAGAATGGGTGAACACTGTGATGGTGTATGACCATACAGGAGTGAGGTGGTAGACTGGGTTAACACTGTGATGGTGTATGGTCATAAAGGAGCGAGGTGGTAGAATGGGTGAACACTGTGATGGTGTATTGTCATAAAGGAGCGAGGTGATAGAATGGGTGAACACTGTGATGGTGTATTGTCATAAAGGAGCGAGGTGGTAGAATGGGTGAACACTGCGATGGTGTTTGGTCATAAAGGAGCGAGGTGGTAGAATGGGTGAACACTGTGATGATGTATGACCATAAAGGAGCGAGGTGGTAGAATGGGTGAACACTGTGATGGTGTATGACCATACAGGAGCGAGGTGGTAGAATGGGTGAACACTGTGATGGTGTATTGTCATAAAGGAGCGAGGTGGTAGAATGGGTGAACACTGTGATGGTGTATGACCATAAAGGAGCGAGGTGATAGAATGGGTGAACACTGTGTCGCATCGGCATTATTTCAGCCATAAAGCAACCAGCAGCCTATAAGTCTTGAATGGGCAAAATAGTGGAGGAGATTTGGAGTTTAATTTTTTGGCAATAGCTTAGTGTGAAAGTGAGATTTCTGAGAATAAATATGTTCTGATAGTAAATATGTTCTGAGAAAGTGAATTACAATATTGATAAGAAAAAGGTGCACTATGCGACCATCGGCAGGATTGAAAGATTATCAGTAACAGAGTATGTGACCCCACGGCTTCTCTTGGAAGATTGTTGTGGTGAGACGAAAGAGGTAGCGATGACCAGAATGAGACGTGGTAAGAGCAAAGATGAAATAGAAGAGTGATACATTGGATACAGTGAGATTGAAAATAGGAATGATGGGTGGTGGTCAGCGATATGGTCACAGTTCGACCCTGGTGAGTGCTTGGTCCCTGGCAGTTTCACTTTCTGAATGTTGTTGTTTTTTATGTGCCAGGTTTTGCACCTGATGTTGATGATGGACGTTGATGATGATCCCTGTCTGCAGAGACTGAAGAGTCGTCTTGAACCTTACCCACATTCCCTTCAGGTGGACCACATGTTGTATCTGACACAAAGAAAATGTGAAGATAAGCTTCAAACTCTTGAGACAGAAGACGCCAAACCTTGTGGTTATGAGGAAGAAGTTCTGAAAAAGGACAATTTCATCTCACTTTTGTATTTCCGATTGGGTAGGGAAGATGAAGCTTTTGAAATCAATTCCAAAATTAGAACAGATTATCCATCGAATTTAACCGCTCTTATCAATTATGTCTTTATGAAAACGGTTTCTAAAATTGAAGACGATGTAGAGGCAGGGATGAGAAAGTTACGTGAAATGAAGGGCCGAGAAGATTACCCACATTTGCTGGTTTCTGCTAAAGCTGAGCAGGCTTACTGCATGGCTAGAATTGCGCCGTTTCTGTATGTCAAAGCAACTGATCTGTATGAAGAGTGCATCAACATGGAACCTAACAATTACCTTTGGAAGTTCGGATGTGCACTGACATACAGAAGATGCCTGGGTGCACCTCAGAATGTGAAGAACATGACCCAAACTAGAGTTCAACATTTCTGTGAAAAAGCTGTCGAATATTTATCTGACATCATTCGCAGATGCAAAACACAACGTCTCCTTGTAAAGGCGTGGGTAGAACTAGGCCAATTGTATCTTTCATTTCAGAATCCAGCCTATCCCTTAACAAATCAAATTGTTGGGTCACTGAATATGCACGGTATATCAGTGACTGCAGAGCAATGTTTTGATACAGCCTTAGGGTTTGAGGAGACGCAAAGAGACGAGTTTGTCCTAAGCACATGTGGAAAGTGTTTGCTTCATGCCAGATCCAACTGTAATTATATCACTAAGCTACGGGAGTGTCATACACTTCTATCCAGAGCTTATGACATTCGACCAACTACAATGATATGTGACACCTTGGCAAAGATTTTGATCAAAATGACACCAACCCACAAAGAACAGGATTATAAACGTGAAAGGGGAAACCAAAGCATCCCAAAATGGCAATATAGATCTTTTTTCGCAGAAAAGCCACGCGAGGAAGAGTCGCCTCGGAGGAAACGCCTTGAACATGACAGCCATCGAGACAATGCTTCTAAAATCTTTTATTCCCCCGAAACAGTACAAACATACACCGCTGGCCATCCCCTACTGGATGAGGCCAAAGGGTACCTGCAACAATCAATTGCTATGAGTAAACAAAGTGACGCAAATGCTATCTATACCTTGGGATTGCTATACAGGCGACTTGGTCAGAGTGAAGCTGCAGTGGAGCAGTTCAAGCTTGTTATTTCTGATCCAAGTAGAACACTCTTCTATAAAACATTATGCTTTGAACAGATTGGATTCTGTCTGCTTGAAATGAGTGAAAACAGCCAATACAGTGAGATACAGCAGCAGGCTTATCGAGAGGAAAGCAAGCTGATGATGCTGAGTTCCATAGAAATGTCAGCAACACTTGTGGCTTCCACTCCCACCATGGAAGCTGATGACATCACATTTTCTAAAGCCGTTCCCGCTCTGAAGCAGCTTCTAACAAGTGATCATCAAGCTGGGCATTCAACTAGGGACATTGCACGACTGTGTGATATGGTTCAAAGAAACGGGGATTCCTTGCTACAGCTTCATCACAGCAACCACGAAAATCCCTCGTTTCTTTGCAGAATCATTGAACGAAACATGCAGCAAAGGGAATTCCAAACTGCTCTCATATCGATTAGATTACTGATGTGCACACAGGAAGGACAGAAGATGGCAAATCAGGACCTAGTGTATCAAGTATACCTTGGGATTGTGAAACATCTTCTACATTCTGAAGAAACGGAAATTAACACTAACATCACCAGGTCCTGTTTCCAGAGTGCCTTTGCGTACAAGCACAGACTACCACCTGGCGAAACAATACGGATATGGGATGCGTATGTTTTGGATGACCCGGACCAGACTGAACCTGAGGCAGCTGCCGTCTGCTCATGGTTGAAGAATACATGTGGGCTCTTTATCACACGCAATAAAGACGAGGTCGGGAAAGGAACATTGGAGATAGCCGCACAAAGAAACATCATGAAAAACAGCAGTTGTTTGCTGTTTGTGCTAGGAAGCAAAGACACAAAGAAACTAAAAGCGTTCATGAAATACGCTGCCAGTCTGACAACAAAAGACGGTAAACCAAAGATCATTGTTCCTGTTTGTACGGCTGTCCGTAAACTACCTTCCCCCTTAGCTGGTCGACAAGCTGTGATGTTGTCTGGACGAAACAGAAAGGAAGATCTTCTGGAATGTTTCATGACCATGCTGGAAATGGAATACAGTTCATTTGAATGGATTGCATAGTGAAATGTTTCTGAATAACTGTATATGTTCGTCCTTGGCAGTGTTCTAGACATAATGGGACCAAGTTGATCCAAAGAAAGTGAAGGTAAAAAAACAACCTCAATATTGACAGAAGAACTTAGACCATGTTGAAAATGTATGAACATGGTACAAACAATGAATCGCCATAGGCGTAAAATCAAGCTCACCTTTGCGAAAATTTAAAGTTTATATATGTATCAAACACATGCTGAACGTGTGCCTTTTGATGTTTGGGTTGCTTTCATTACCTCAGCGTAACTTAGAAACCAGATACATCTGGATCATATATCCATCTGTTTCATATATCATCCATGAAACTGTATACCCATATTAACAGAGAATTGAAATTGCCATGTTATTTTCGATTTTCTATAAAATAATCTTCGCAGGGTTGTCTGAGAATCGTTACCATAATAACCTATATCGAGATGTATACCACCATGACAAAGGAGCTTGTACAAGGTATATGGTGAGGGAAAACCACAAAAAAAACAATTTATAAGTGGCACACGAACTCGCCTACTTCTATGCAGTGGGTTTAATAATTTGTTAGTGTGTGCAATTAGGCCATTTACAAAAATGTTCTGTCAACTTTTCAAGACTTGGGTTAAACATTGATGCTGCATATTTTTTATCTCCAGGAAAATTCACCACTATATGAACAAACAAAATTCTACTATGTCCCATGGCGGGGGTTAGGGATAACGTTGTTTTCTTGTTGAAAGACTATACATTTTTATGATAAATATGTTAATGTCGAATCAGTAATGACCTCTTTATATTTAAGAAAAATAAATGTTTATCAACTTATGTACATGTATACCACGGTGAAGGATGAAGTTCCATAGCAAAGCGTTCCTTACTTCCAAATAGAACTTTTGAAATTTGTTTTCTGTTTTAAGCATGTACCCTGGATGTGGCTTTTACTATTTATTATGTGCCATTCATTAGTTATGGTTGTGGTTTTCAATTATGTTGGATATTCTACGAATCGCCTAGGGAGGTTTGTTTCCAGTTTCTCACATGCATGAATAGCTGAATGTTGACTTTTTTCATTAAGTAACGCCCATTATGTATATGTTTCGTGCAAACGGAGTGCATGGATCAAGTTCAGTCGAGACATTATCTTTTGTTGAAAATATCCATGATGGTAGTTCGATTTGTTAATTTACACTTGGCGCCAAAAGACACTGTGCATACGATTATATCATATGCATATTTTCTTCTTTTCCCCACATCTGATACACCCAGTGAGGAATGGTTACCTGTAGGAGGAAAGATCTGGCAATTCTTAGGGTTCGGATCTGTCCCCTTTTTAACGGGACTTGCTAGCAGAAAGTGTCGGATCGGTCATATATATATCGGGTACTTGCTAGCTGACAGATGCGTCTAAGACGAGGGTAGGCTCCTTCAGCCCAATGTCGGGCACTTGCTAGCTGACAGATCCGTCTAAGACGAGGGTTCGCTCCTTCAGCTCAATGTCGGGCACTTGCTAGCTGACAGATCCGTCTAAGACGAGGGTTGGCTCCTTCAGCTCAATGTCGGGCACTTGCTAGCTGACAGATCCGTCTAAGACGAGGGTTGGCTCCTTCAGCTCAATGTCGGGCACTTGCTAGCTGACAGATGCGTCTAAGACGAGGGTTGGCTCCTTCAGCTCAATGTCGGGCACTTGCTAGCTGACAGATCCGTCTCGGGCGAAGGTTGGCTCCTTCAGCTCAATGTCGGGCACTTGCTAGCTGACAGATCCGTCTCGGGCGAAGGTTGGCTCCTTCAGCTCAATGTCGGGCACTTGCTAGCTGACAGATCTGTCTAAGACGAGGGTTGGCTCCTTCAGCTCAATGTCGGGCACTTGCTGGCTGACAGATCCGTCTCGGGCGAAGGTTGGCTCCTTCAGCCCAATGTCGGGCACTTGCTAGCTGACAGATCCGTCTAAGACGAGGGTTGGCTCCTTCAGGTCAATGACGGGCACGTGCTAGCTGACAGATCCGTCTAAGACGAGGGTTGGCTCCTTCAGCCCAATGTCGGGCACTTGCTAGCTGACAGATCCTTCTAAGATGAGGGTTGGCTTCTTCAGCTCAATGTCGGGCACTTGCTAGCTGACAGATCCGTCTCGGGCGAAGGTTGGCTCCTTCAGCTCAATGTCGGGCACTTGCTAGCTGACAGATCTGTCTAAGACAAGGGTTGGCTCCTTCAGCTCAATGTCGGGCACTTGCTAGCTGACAGATCCGTCTCGGGCGAAGGTTGGCTCCTTCAGCCCAATGTCGGGCACTTGCTAGCTGACAGATCCGTCTAAGACGAGGGTTGGCTCCTTCAGGTCAATGACGGGCACGTGCTAGCTGACAGATCCGTCTAAGACGAGGGTTGGCTCCTTCAGCCCAATGTCGGGCACTTGCTAGCTGACAGATCCGTCTAAGACGAGGGTTGGCTTCTTCAGGTCAATGTCGGGCGCTTGCTAGCTGACAGATCCGTCTAAGACGAGGATTGGATCTGTCAGCTATTTTTGCTAGCCATTCGATCTGATCCGTTAGCCTTGATATCACATGACACATTATAATATACACACTGACAACCATGGAGGAAATGCTAGTCATTCCAGACATCAATTCTCTATTACTTTTGGTACAATTATGTGCTGCTGTTTTTGCTTTGTAATTTCCATTTTTTAATACAAGTATTTATGTAGGCACTATGTGTTAGTCGTCGTAAGATAACAGTTGGCGACTCTTTTTGTCTTTGTTAATAAATGCTGAAATAAAAATGCAATCTTCCTCCTGGAGTTATTTAACTTAGTACGCCCTACCGCCTCACAATGGGATTAATTCGGAAGTCTGTGATCTCCAATTGGTTGTTATTTTTCGTACATCAGTAGTGAAGTTTTTTACTCTGAGTCTTTCGTTTTATCAGAAAAAAATATTATTGCTAGATTATTAGATCATTGCTGACAAGGGCTAAAACAAATGCAAATAAACAAAACATTAAAAAATTAAAAACTCACCTCCATCGGAGAGGATGTTTCAGAGGTATTTGTACAGCCATAATATACCATCTTCCCAAGGCAAGGGAGTTAACTGACTAAAAAAGTCCAGTTTCCAACTCTCTTGTCTCGGGAAGATGTAGTATACAGGCATATGCTATTGTAGTCAGAAGTGAATAGTTGATGAAACGTCATGTGTTTAAACAACTTACCGTATTCGACGTAATAAGCGCCCCGCTCTAATAAGCACCCACGGCGATATTTGCTAATATATTGGCTAGTGAACAATCCCAATTTAGCACCCTTCGTGTGTTATATGCACCCTTCATTACGGGAAATTAAATTCTGGAAAAATATATCTGGCGTGTCTAATACGCACAGACTTTTCTCTTGTATCATTTCAGGCTGTCAGCCTAAACCACAAATTTACGATCTTTCAACTCTTTCACCAAAATCATATTCTAATAAGAGCCCCCTCTTTCTAATTTTGAGAGCGCCCTGGGCGCTTATAACGTCGAAAAACGGTATATGGGGGTACGTTTTCCCAAATACAGCGTCACACGTGAAATTTAGTTGTAGGGGAAACACAGAAGTATTGTGACTATATGTATTTCAAGAACCAACATGCGGTTGTCACATTCACATCTGGAAGAAAAAAGTATAAATGCATGACTAGATGTTTGTAATGCAGAGACGCCGGAGTATATTGCATGTGAAAATTAGTTCAACAACGTGTCTTGTTTCTCACATACATTTTCGCCGATTTCATACACTATGAATGGCACAGCGTGTGAAGAAACATGATGCTGTTGGCGGAGACAGTTTAGGGCGGGTAGGTCAACACATTTATTTTAACTACCATAAAAATGATAATGTTAGAAGTGTATTTGAAATATTATGAATATCAAGTTGTTTTCTCTTATACGATCCACCTACATGGATATATTTGTAAACTATATTAAAAAATAATTCAATCATAACAGTTCTGTATACCATTAAATTGAACCATATACTGTTGAATCAGAGAAGATCAACTTCTCATCCTTTTTTTATTCCAATATTTATCATGAATAAACAATCGTAAGTCAACATAATTCGATTGTCTGGCGACCGAATCACCTGATACTTAGAGAGGTCACCATGACCTGTTGTTCAAGGATGGCAAACACTGAGCTCACCGTGACCTAAATGGTAAACACTGGGGTCGCCGTGACCTAGTGATTAAGGATGGCAAACACTGAGGTCATCTTTACCTATTGTTCAAGGATGGAAAACAGTGAGGACACCTTGGCCTATTGTTCAAGGATGACAAACACTTGGGTAATCGTTATCTATTGGTCAAGGATGGGAAACACTGTGTTCACCGTGACCTAAATTGCAAACACTGAGGTCACCGTGATCCATTGTTCAAGGATGACACATACAAAGGTCACTGTGACCTATTGGTCAAGGATGGCAAACATTGAGGCCATTGTTACCTATTGTTCAAGGATGACACATACAAAGATCACTGTGACCGAGAACATATTCAGTTCATTGCGGTATAGCCCTATATTTCACTCACACTTGCTAAATACACCTAAATTCTCGGTCACTAATACCTGTGTGCCAGTGACATCAGCTATACAAACCGTCTGGACCTTATCAATAAGAACAGTTTATTATTGTCACTTCGCCTAGCTCGGTGACACAGTACATGTATTTGATAGCGATAAGCGAATATCGCGTACAATAATGAATTGCGTGACACAAATGCTATGCAGGCTCGAAATATGTTAATGTATATTCTCGTATAATTCCGGAAGAAATCGGAACAACACGGGAAGTGGCGAGTATGTTGATTGTTTTATCTCACAGGAAGCGGTGTGTCTATCATATTTCAGAGGCGTTTCTATACAAAAAGGGACTCTGGGCGATACAGTTACCACACAGATCGGAACTGTTTTACCTCCGGATTTATACTGATCTGCGTTTAAACGGATAACCATCCAAATAAGGTCGGTATGTACAGTGTACAGAATGTTCTCGGAAGTCAGATATAATACCATACCCTTACGATTTGACGACCCAACTGAGGGAGCTAGTATTTTATGGAGGGACTAGTATGTTATGGTTGTTGACATGTCACTTAACTAAATGTGTATTAATAGGTGGGAAGCTGAATTCTTAACTGGATATTATATGCTGGCCAGTGTGTAACCAATCAGGAAATAGTGTAGCTAATACAACAGGAATTCCCCCATCTGCAGCGTGAAGATCGCGCATTGTGCTATTTTCGTCTCTGTGAATCCGTAAGAATAGTTTCGATGTTTAATCTGAAGGGTTAATTGTAGTCGTAAATAGTTCTAACAATATGCTGGTTTTTAGTTTCCCCATAAGCTTTGAGGCGAAAATATTTGATGTGTTGATTCTGTATCAGCATGGTTTATTCAAGCTGCCAAAGGGAGGCGCTTCAGGCTTGTCGGAAATAGCCAAGTCCATGGTTAATTATATTGTCAGCTTTTACATAATGATGCTGAATAGGTCGTTGTCGCTGTGTAACATCCAGGATGCCAGCCATATGATTTGCCTCATAGGTTGTTTTCGTAAGTATGAAGGCAGGGGAGAGAAGTCAGAAACATCATGAAACAAGGTGAGGCGAGTGCTGGTGATATCGCCCCTGAAAGTACAGAGTAATCTGATTGGATTGCTATTTTTAGCGTCGTGTCGTTCAGACTAGACTCGGGACGAAGTGAGCGGTATTTGTCATAACAGAATATAACACACTGAAAAATGTGATATAGCTGGAGACTAAATAACAGTGTATAGTATATTTAGATTTGATTCATAATTGCATATAAAACATTCCGAGATGTCATCACCAGTTTGGGAAGGAATCTTTCAATAACTATCAGTTAATGTTCTAGAATATTAACCAACTTGCTATTAAGGACTTAATTGTATGCATAAATGAAATGGCACGTCAAGTAAGATAAGATAAGATAAGATTTTTTTATCCCAAGGGAAATTTATATTGTACAGTTGATTGGCAATATAATATGAAACAGAAAATATATGATATTAAAATATGTACATAAGAAAAAAGGACACTTAAAAATATAACCACGAGTAAAAACATGTAGAAAATTGAACACGATCCCAGTGACGACAAGGAATGGTATTTTAAAATATTTGTATTTATATCACAGCAAGAGTAAACTTTAATAAAAGGGATAATGACAGGATAAGATTTGTGTACAGCGAACTGTTAAACAGTATCAAACAGATAAACATTTAAAAGACTAAAAATAGCTGGTATGAATGATTCCCGGGCCCTGTTTGTTTTCAGCATCGACACGCGCAGTCGGCGGCCAGAAGGTAGAAACTGATATTCGGAATGAAGTATATGACTGCTGTCATTTTGTATCTTACGCGCCTTTTTGCCAATTCCCTTCTCAGTGAACGAGTTTCCTTCTGTAGGTAGGTGCTATCATACACAACAATAATACTATAGGTGGGGTTTACCTATGTCGCTTAATGGCTAATTATTTTTTTTGTTAAAGGTCGAAGAATATACAAGGATAAGATGGATGAAGATCGACTAAAGGATTTCCCAAACAGCTTCCAGCTGGAGGAGTTCGTATCACTCCGTCAACGAAGATGCAGAGCTGCTATCGAGAACTGCCCAAGAGAAACGTTTGACTCGAGGTTTGAGGAAATCAGAAATGAAAATTTCCTAACACTTCTCCTGTTTAAGTTAGGTGACACAGAGGAAGCATTGGAGATGAATCAACGCGCCCTAGACAAGGATCCGAATAATGTTGTAACATTAGCCAACAGAGTGTATATCAAATCGTGGTTAGGATATGGAATGGATGCTGATGTCATTTTTGAGAAACTGGAAAGATTAAAAAGATCAAGTAGTTTTGGAGCACTTTATGATTCGGCACTCGGGGAGAGAGACAGGATGCAATGCAACAGTTCAGGAAACTGATACAAAAAGACCAACCTTATGCTTTACCTTTCGAAAAGGCTAATGCCTATGAACAACTTGGCCTGTGCTATCGTGAAATGAGCGCGGATCATGCACATTCAGAGCAGGACATGAACCGTTTTAAGACAGAATGTCGACGAATGTTGACGAAGGCGATCGAAGAAGCTGCAAAAGCTGTGATTGAGGTGCCAGGTATGCAATGTTCAAATGTATTTGAATCATGGCAGTCTCTACCAACACTGGAGGAACTACTTCTCTCTAACTGGGTTGATGATTCAGAGAACATTTACAGTATGAAGGAAGTGGCAAGGCTTCGAGGATTAATGCGCAAGCATAGGTCTTCATTGGACATGTATAGTAAGATGATGACACTATACCCTGGTCATGAATGTAACATAGAGGCGCTGGAAGGTATTATCACAAATTACCTTAATCTGCACGATTTTGAGAATGTTCTTCCAACTGTTTATGTCCTACAGAGCACTTACTTGAACACTGATATTTCAACAAGGAGGGAATTTTGCGTAAATGTGTTCCTAAAATGTGGTCTGTACTTTCTAGAGCATAATCAACCAGAATCGTTCAAAGAATGTTTTCAAAATAGTTTTAAGACTGCTTATCCAGTCTGTTTGGGCCAAGAATGTTTTGATGTCATGATTCTAGCCGACTTTAAAAGTGATTGTTCAGACACAGAACAATTGAAGAGTTGTCTGGAACATTTGGGACTACGTGCTACTAGAAATGACGATGCTGTAGCCGCAGGGTCGCTGGAGATATCGGGAATTACCTCCATCATGGAAAACAGTCGCACCCTCATCATTTACATCAAGGAGACTCTGTCTCACACATTGTCTTTCTACTGTGAAATTGCAATGAACTTGGCAAGAGATAACACCAATAACATTTGCCTGCGTAACATTGTGATTGTTACTGATGATTCTGCATGTGTGCCTAGCTGGTTGAACACATTTAAATGCATTGAGTACAGACGAATAGAAGACGGAGAACCTCAATCGTCTGAAGACCAAAAGTGGATTCGTGGCCTCTGTTCAAATTTACTGAATGCCAAAGATCAAAGACATTAAAATTGTACATATTTAGTATTACCTATTTGTATATGTTGATAATGATAAAAACATGTATATGTGTATGTTTTGTGAAACCAAGTCTGCCTTCCTCCACTGTGATGGCCCGTTCGTTTGTATATGCATTTGGATACACAACACCAATAAACTTGATAGGAGAGTCAAGGGTTAACTGAGTATTTTAAGTGCAGCATTGGCACCTGTCAGGATTGTATTTAACCCAATAATATTTCCCATTTCCATTGGACAGTTAGGGACCGACCATTTCATATTCTGGCGTTGGGATGGGATGGGATGTTGTATCGAGATTAGATATGTTTGAGCAACAGCTTCAAAATCAGGTATAATTAGATTCTATATAATATAGAAGAAAAATACGTTGCAACAATGTAATTTTTGCGGCAGGTAATTTTTTTCAACAGTCTAAAGCATAATTATTCTTTTCAAGAATTTAACTTGAACAGTTTTGTGATAAGTCGGGGATTAAAGAAGCACACAATAAGGGTTTTTCGCAGAGGGGGTCGACTTCGTCTTTATGAAAAGTGGTACAGAACAACACAGATTGTCTGTCATACATTTATATCATTATTACCGCTATTTATCCTTTTACGGCCAGTGGAATCTGTGTTTTTTCGGATAATCCAGACTTGTTATATACGAGGGAAAAGGAGATTGATGTAATTAAACCCCTTCAGATGTCTGGGTAAATTGTTTGATAGGCATTTCTTAGACGTTGGCGGATGACAAAGTAGACAAAACATTATGGATAACGTCTGTGATTACGGCGTTTCGGTGTAGATCCGTATACCGTCGTCAAGCAAGACTGAATAATGAGCATGGTACAGAAGTATATATGGTGGATGAAGTATTAACAATAACAACAATTATAATTCATAATAGGGATTAACATGAGTAGGGTAGAGTAGGATATCTGGGTGTTTGTTGTACTCCAACTCTGTCATGGTCAAAAGCGCAGAGTTGTCTAACACAGGCAAATAAGGCTATATTGTCACTGTACTCTGTTACGTGTCGATTCCCAAATTGAAACAATATGTTAACCCAGAAATCTGTACGTAAAAGAACTTAGTGTGAAACCAAGAAATGGTATACAATTAACAATTGTATTACAAACTTTACTAGGTTTACAAATCAATACTGCACAGCAGAGTGGTAGTACAATGGCAATCACCGGATCGTCTGATCATGACTCGATAATGTGCAGACACGTTATATGTTTGGAAAATTGATAATACAGCGTTAAACAAAACAGGGGACAATATATCGATCGGTATATGATCTCTGAACAAAAGAAACAAAAATCATTTCTCAGGACTGGACACAAAATGTGAAATGTTCAAACCTAACAAACGGAACCTGCAAACATTGGAAATATATCACTGGAGGTACACTGGTTCAAGTCTGATATGAATTTTCATGTCAATTATTCAGTTGGTGCCAAGACACCGTTTGCCCTTTTGGCAGTGTTGACATAAATACTTTCACGTTTTCACGTGCGTTTTCGTTGTCGGAAAAAACATAAAGTTCCGCAACTTTCATTCCTTATCACAGCCAGACTTTGTCTAGCATGGTGTCAAAGTGGGTCACTTGAGACACCTCCGTCTCATTTTCTTCATGTAGGCCTGTGGCAAGTCTTACGCCTAGGTCGTACATTATCTCCCATGTTTCGCAGTTATGTTATGATAGCTACTCATTCCTTTTCCCCAAAAAAAGTGAGATGACGTTAATCAAATGTTTTGAGTAAACCAAATTGATGCCGAACTTCTGTGTGATATTTATTCAGTAACCATAGCCCATCAGAAGCAAAACACGTCTTCTTTCTGTAGGAAACGCCACCTACGTTATACTCTTGTGTTTAACACGATATGTGCTGCATCCCGCTGTGCTACTATGCTATGTTCATATAAATGGTATAAACTGTTACTACCTTTGTAATCTTGCAGTATAGTTTGCTGAGTCTGGCTTTATTCAAAACTGAAAAGAAGAATTTCCTTTTACTTGAACGAAATATTCACAAAAGCTGGAATTAACACGTCCCGTTTTTATTCTGAAAACTTGTTTGTCCCGAACCCTCCGCGCTTCGTCCGCTCTCGGTCAAATGTATGTATTTTACTAGATTCAACATGCTGTTTACACGGGTACATACAAAGACAGTGGTAAAACATAAGGTCGAAAACATTTTTGATGTACTATCTTAACATATCTTAGATAGACAACCGGTTTTATTTAGTTCATGCAGTATTGATATCCTTCAGTGTGTGTTTTATACATATCCAGGGATTTATTACACATGTGAATTGCTGAATGTCCCTCAAACAGCAATGAGCACTCCTTGTGTGATGTATATGCGGAAACGGCAAGAAAGCATATTTGTTCAAATCCTAAAGCAACACAGAAAGCTTTAAGCACTATGCTCATGCAAACATACTACTCACGTTTAAACTTGAAGCCAAGTTCTCACAATGTGGACCTGTAAAATAATTTATCTTAAATGTTTACAATACTTCTGAACAGCTTATGGGTTAAGCTCCTGAAATAAAACCTACTATCACTTGAATATATCCAACGTGTTGCCTCGGGAACGCAAACAATAACAAATTTAAATAATATAGGAAAAGTCGCAAGTTCAGCACTTGCTTAATGTGCATACAAAGTTTCACAATAAATATCAAAGAGCTTATGACTTATTCTCTGGAAATTAACCCAACCTTCATTAAAAGCTGAAGCTGACTTGCTTCCTTTGGAAACCCAACCACACAAATGTAGAAAATCCTGAATAGCAAAATAGATTTTCTGCGCTTTTGCCCAAAGTGAATCCTGCCGGCTTTTGTGTTATTTGTTTGTTTGTTCGTTGTTTAACGCCGCACTCAGCAATATTCCAGCCATGTGACGGCGGTCTGTAAATAATCGATTCTGGACAAAACAATCCAGTGACTGACATCATGAGCATCGATCCACGCAAGTGGGATACGATGACATGCATTAACCAAGTCAGCGAGCCTGACCACCCAGTCCCGTTAGTCGCCTCTTACGACAAGCACAGTCGCCTTTTATGACAAGCATGTGTTGCTGAAGACCTATTCTATCCTGGATCTTCACCGGTGGGTTTTGTTTTAACCTCCCATTATTCTTAGAACAAACAACTGTGATGATGTGATTGTCCGGCGAATACCAGTGAACGAAGTCATTGTTACAGTTCTTACAGTTATTACAGTGCAGCTGCATCCGGTTATAACAATGTGTGATACATGGATATGGAGATGGTTGGTGATGCTGGTTCGAACAGTCACAATGGGGACACGGACATAGTGGTGGGCGTTTCAGTCACATCACTAACTGTGGAGCGTATGTAAAATCAAACAAATCATTAAATTGGGGCTGTAGTTTGTACACGTTTGCAAGCGTTCCTGGTAAGGCAATTATACATGTTGGCAGACACTCAAAGTGAAGTCTAGATATTAAACTTTTCAACGGTTTACATGCTTGTACTTAATTTTTGCGTTATAACTCCATAAAAACTGACACGACGACACAGATCATACAACTACAAACATACAACGACGTTTCAGTGGAATGCGTGTTGTCATATATATATACATCTTGTTTGAACCACATATACATGTGTATATAGCTAATATAAATACACGTTTAGTATACAGTATAAACCAAATACACACACGTATGTATATGGTATTAACCACATACGCGCATGTAAACCTTTAATATTAACCACATACACATGTGTAAACATATAGTATAAACCACATATGCATGCAGTATAAACCACATAACACATGTATACATGTAGTATAAACAACCCAAACACATGCGCAAACATTAAGTATAAACCCTATACACGTATACACACATATAGTATATATCACGTACACACGTGCATACATATATTTTACTCAAGGTTTGCAAAGGATCACCACTTTAAAAAGTAAAACGTCAAATTACGCGCATCTGTTGAAATAGCCAAAGACAATATAGCGTGAAGACATGTTTAATGAACAAAAGTCCGCTGTCAAGTGCCGCAATGCCAATGTCAATGCCAACAAGCAATCAGTCAGATCTGCTGCTCGTTCCACATTTGTTCGGTAGGGTTGAGGTCTGATGACCGGGGTGGCCACTCCATGCGGACACTGGTCTCCTGCTCTAAGTAGGCTTCAACGACCCTACCACGATGAGGACGTGCGTTATCGTCCATGAGGATGAAGTCCGGTCCGATTGTACCAGCATACGGCCTCACGTACGCATCCAGATCCCTGTAGCGCACACCTGTCATCGTGCCCCGCTGTAGGACATAGAGATCGATTCTTCCAGCTCCACTGATCCCACAGCAAATCATCTATGAGCCCCCTCCATAGCGGTCATATTCGGCTATGTTCGGAATCCTGAAATCTCCCTGTCTACGCCACTCTCGGGCACGACGATCTGTGAAGTCTAGACAGTATCGCGATTCATAAGTGCAAAGTACTGGAGCCCAGTTCCGGTCTATCCAATTGACATAATATTCAGCCCTATCAAAACGTGCCTGCATGTGATTTTGGGTCAGTGGGATGCGAATGCATGCCCGGAGACCTGCCTCGCGGAGACGATTACGCAATGTCTGAGTAGAAACGTTAACGCCATTGGGGTTCCGCAGGTCATTTCTGAGTGTGGTTGCAGTCACGAAGTGATGACATCTTCCTGCAATCATGATAAACATGTCTTCCCGCTGTGTGGTGGCACGCTGTCGATCACCTTCATGCCGCTGGGTAGTTTATCCAAACGGGGTCTGGTATCGCTTCCTTGTCCTGTTTGTCACATTTAGAGGTACCCAGTCATTGTGTAGCGGGATATTTTAATCTTTATTTGTTGGATGATTATTTTATATCATCAAAACTTGATCCCAAAAACGTGATGCTTATAGCATAAACCACATACACATATCTATGCATATACTAGTAGTATAAGTCAATCAAACTTTATTCAATCAATCAATCAATCTTTATTCAAGCACTTAAGAGGGCCCAGGCCTATAGTACATGTGACAGAGATTATTTACTATTTATTATTTACAAATTTGGTTCTATATACCATTGTGTCTACTATTGTTCTGCATAGTATACAATTGATCTTCGGCAACCCACGCTGGTCGTAAGCGGCTACTAACGGGATCGGTAGGTCAGGTTCGTTTGAATTGATTGACTTGGTTGATGCATGTCATCGTATCCCAGTTGCGTAGACAGAAGTTCAAGAATATTTACAGATCGCTGTCATATAGCTGGAATATTGCTGAGTACAGTATGAATCACATGCACACGTATATACTTTAAGTAGGATAAAGCACATACACGCGTGTCAACATATAGTATACTCCACGTAAACACATGTATACATATACTTGTAGTATAATGTGCTATGGTATATACGATGATATCTTCGGAATTAGAACAAAGTCTGCAGTAAGTTTGTGAAAAACAGGAAATGTCATTGTCGCGATGGTGGCAAATCTATATGGAAAATATATCTCAGATATGTAAGAAGAAGAAGAAAAAGAAGAAGCCATGTTTATATTGCGCCGTATCCACCGCCCAAAGCATCATCGTGGTGCTACCTCATTGACGCCATTTGTACCCAGGCAAACGGGCCAGTATGCAGCTCAGCTCCCTGTGGATCATACGGCGGGAGATATTATATGCCTTTGTAGAAAGCTGTCAGTTTTACAGACTTTCCGCTACTCGAAATTGCGCACTGGTTGGGTTTTTTCATCATACACTTACCAGTTGTATTACACGAGGGCTGGTCAAAAAGTTCTAACCCTGACTAACTCTCAACTATGGGCCATAACAAAGTGAACTACTCAATGTAGTACATTGTTTGAGTAGTTCATTGCAAATGTATTTGGTTTGTTGAGGCTGTTTGTATATCAGAGACAGCCAATTCCATCAAAGAAGATTCAATCAAGGAGATAGAAAAATGTATACTGTCAGATAGACATATATTACCATTGCTGAACTTGAGGAAGACACGGGTCTAAGACATGGATCCACTGAAACTATTATTCATAAACATTTACAGATGAATAAGACAACTGCTCGTTGGGTGCCAAAGTTTCTAAATTCAGACTTTAAGGAAAAAGGAACTGACATTGCCAGAGAAAATTTAGAGTTAATTGAGGAGGATCTCGGCAAATTCCAAAAGAGATTAGTAACGGGTGATGAAGCATGGGTCTACCACTATGATTCCGAGTCAAAACGTCAATCCATGTAATGGCACCATTCCGCTTCTCCAGCACCAAAGAAATTCAAGTCATCAAGATCAGTGAAGAAAGTTATGGCCACTGTATTCTGGGATGCAAAGAGTGTGATCCTTCTTGATTGCTTAGAAAGACAAAATACTATTACCGGTGTCTACTATGCTGATTTGCTTTATCACCTGAGAGGCTCTATCAAAGAAAAGCGGCGAGGAATGCTGACTGCTTGAATTCCACTATTTCATGACAATGCCTCTTCTCACACTTCTCTACGCGCAAAGGCTGCTGTGCGACATTGTGTGTTTAAAGAGCTTCCTCGCCCTCCATACTCGCCAGGCATGGCACCATGTGATTTCAACCAGTTTCCTAAACTGAAAGAACACTTTAGTGGAAAGCGCTATGACGACAACGATGACCTCAAAGCTGTCGTGAATGGGTTTTTTCAAGGTGGCTTCAGAAAACTTCTTCCTGACAGGAATTGAAAAGTTTCACTACCGATATGAGAAGTGTATTGAAAACCTGGGAGATTATGTTGAAAATAAAATTATCACCCTTCACATTTGTTGGTTTTGTGTACTAGAAGTAGAACTTTTTGACCAGCCCTCGTACCTGCCACATTTGCGCATCCATTCTCGTATATATTATTTCGTAAGGGCCTACTGAATAGTGTACTACGGTGATTATGTAGAGACACGTCAGTAGGTAATTTGCAGATTTAGTTCCATAATGTTATACTGCAAATACCAGATCATGTATGTTCGTTCGCATAGAATATTTCACGCGTTTTATGGGCATTAGCCGGCGCTTCTTCAATGGAACGCGATTGATTCCCCTATGATTCTCAAGGGAGATAATCGTACGAAATAAACCGGAAACCGTGAAAACAAGAGCCTCTCTTTCGGTCAGCGGTAGAAAGACGGCCGCCATATTGTGCCGAAATTCCTGAGAAATGTATCAAACAAATTTGCTTTTATAGGTCTAAAACGTCGTTTCTGGTTTTCTGAACTTGGAGAAAATAACTTAAAACAAATGTGACGTTCTCAAGAAGGTCTACCGTTTTCCTCTATGTGTTATATGAAACAGTGCAGTCGGGAAAGGTAAGACTGCATGTGCCTATACTTATGAGAAAGCATTTTACGCGGTGCTGTCATAAATTTGTCGGTTCATTGTTTCGCGATATTCCTGTATTGTTGTAATGGATTTGTGACCGTCGTTGTGTAATCGATTTATGTGTCAACCTAAGCTTTGTGACATATTTCAGGAAATCTTGATTAGCAGTAAGATATCCTTCGCCGGTTCCCGAGCGTTTGGAAAGCTCTCGTTACTAGAGCTGGGGGAACACGTTGTGGCTACAGACGCGGCATTCATAGGTGTGAGAGAATGCCGCTACCGAGCCGAGCCAGAGTGTATGCAGATATCAACACTCATAAACCACGAGAATATTGGGATTATGAATCTCATGTTGTAGAATGGGGGTAAGTCTATTATGATAAAAGTAATCTGATATCACTTTGTATACTACTCTGTGCATGGGCATGGACACATATTTATGAAGCGTTTCTATGCCAGGAGATGTTTCGTCACTGTCACCATGTGTGATGGACTTGAACTCCAACATGTCAAATGGTCCTGTAATTCAGACAATAATTTGAAAAGCTAATAATGACAAATTACCAATGAAAACACCTGGTATAATTCATAATTTATTGGTACTCTGCGGATGCAAAACATGATTTACCTGAGAAGCACAGCTGTGGCAACAAAGTCTGCACAGCATCTAAGTCTGCACATGTTTACAAGAAGTCATGGGTTCCATAAACTAGCTTACACCTGTTTGCAAAAAAAATAAGTAAATTTTCCTTTGTCCATGGTTCAATTCAAAAAATCAAAACAAGAGCTCCACACAAGATTAGGAGTCAGTGCTCATCAAAACCTAGATTACGATATGAATCCCTCAGTTGTATGAATCCTGAGGCCAGAGACTGATCCAGAGTTTCTTGCAGCCAGCCTAGTACATCTGTCACCTTGTCACATCTTGCACAGTCCATGCAAGATATTGCATATTTTTCATATGTTTCATTTTGAGGAGTCTACATATTTAGATACATAATCATGAAAGGCCTACCTTTAGAATACAGTACCACAAACTTTTCAAACACGTGAAAATTCCCTATGACGTAATTTGTAGTATTTTGTTGCCAGTCACACCGTCGAAACAATACCCTGTGACGTCAGGGGTCATTGAGTGTGCATAAGCTCCTCCCAGTGATCTATCATCTTTACACGAAATGTCATTAAATACGCCAAGCGCTGTGGAGAGTTTTGCAGCGCATTTTATAGCAAGCACTAGTTTTATTTTGTATATATTTTTTATTTCGTTTTTCTTGTAATTCAAGTGGCTAAAAGGGTTATAAGTGGGAACTTATATACATATATTATTTTTTCAGTGCATTAATTTTCATTATTATGCACAAGAATGTAGTTTATTAGGGATGTTATATCGCTAGTGTTAGGGTAGGTTACCCCGAACTCTATCCTTAGCCCTTGGATCCCCTTTACGATCAATCACCCCTTTTCGATCATTAGGGTTAGGTACCCGTTTAGTGCCTATTAGATTACCCGTATTCTGTCCTTAGCCCTTGGATCCCCTTTACGATCATTAGGGTTCGGTAAATCTGCCCGTTTAGTTTCTATTATAGATTCTATAGCGGCTCCTAATATTCTTCACACAAAAACATCGATTAAAAAGAATGAAATGGTTTTGTGTCGAATACTTTTGCTACTGGAAACTGTCCGGAACATTCACACAAGCAACTTTCACCGGCTACAAACTGGTTGCTTGTCTTTGAGACATGTGACCTACGGCAGAGACCGTCCTCACAGAAGTTGTGGTACTGTATTCTAAAGGCTCCTCATGAAATGTTTAACTTTCATACAGAAAATATCCTAAAACTTGATAAACTATATCTATATGTATATTTATCTTCCACGTGCTGTCATCAAAGCCCTACTGAGCTAGCGATATTGTCATTTTGATATGTAAAGCTATATTGTCATACACCTCGCAGTTGCAGTAGCATGTCTATATAATAATGCAAAACAATATGTAAAGCACAGAATAAGGCTTGCATTAGGCCCATCAGTTCTTATTTCAGATTAAGTTTGTTTACAAATAAGAGAAAACTTTGATCATGTGATAAGCCTATACTGGTGGTGTGGTCCCTATAGCAGAAAATTCTCTTTTGGAATAGGATGAGCCGAGCCGAGTCAGCTATTGGCTATTGTTAACAAACTATGTTAACAATAGATTCAGATTGAAATTACTCTTATGAACATAAGTAAAGATGCTCGGATTCAGGTAGATTTATTCTATATTTTTTACAGCTGTTTTACAGCCATGACAATGTCAGTAGCAAGCAACTAATGGATTCAGAGCTACTGATAAGCAGCGTATTTGCGTAAAATACCCCCAAAATATTCAAAACCCAATTACTTTCAATTAACTTGCATACAGAAACACCTGCATTAAATGAATAACTCAAATATATAGAAACAGCACGCATAATAAACCAATGAAGCTTTTTCAGCATGTATACGGCAGAGCTAATTTCCGAAACACAATTACGAGCAAATTTACTTTCAGAGTCAAGCCTATATTTAGCCTAGCCCTATTTATTTTTTATTTGCACAATTTAGATTGGTTTTTTTTTGTCTGGGGGGGGGAAGGGGGGGAGGGCTTATTTTATGAGACAGTTAGCTGCAACAGTTTCTGTGCTTTACCAGTGATTCGTATCAGGATCGGGTGATCATTCGAGCTGACTTGGTTGATGCATGTCATATATCCTAATTACTTGGATCAGTGCTCATGATATCAATCACTGGATTGTCAGGTCCAGACTTAATTATTTACTGACTGCCATCATATAGCTGGAATATTGCTCAGTGCAGCTTTAAACGACAGACAGACAAGCCAGTGATTCAGTTAATAACATGATAAATATCCACTATAATATATCAAAGGAATTTTAATGGAATGATCGAAGGATTATTACAACAGATATAATAAACTAATATCTTGTTACTTTCATTGCTGTTGTTACTATATTTGTATAAAATAATGATTAAGGTAGCACTTAGTGTATGACCACTTACTTGTTACGTATGGAATTGTTTTAGATCAACCAATAAGTGATCATGACATGAAGGCTGCCTGTTGACAATAGTCAGATTACAAGAAATATGACTTTTAATGAGTCAGAATATGGCATTTATCATGTGTATCTGTTCTCTAACAACTAAGGTTTGGCTCAAGGCACTGGTCCTGATTTTTGTAAATAACAGTAATTTCGTGGTGATCTGTTTCAGTTCACACAAGTTTGACAGAATTAATGTAAGCGATAGTGAATGAAATAATGAATATAATTATTAAATTACTTAAATTATAATAGCCAGATTTACAATAAACACTCGCCAATTGTTGAATAACAAGACTAGTTTGCATACTTCAGGATTTGTTGACATGCTATTTTTGGTGTTGGTGTTCGTGCTAGCGTTAATGTCTTTGCTTTGGGGGTAAATCATCAAAACTCACTGTCTTCATGTGATGTTTAACGTGCATTCCACTTTACACTTACACTTTTGTGAGGATGTATGTATATAGAAGGTATGTGCATTATACACAGGACAATACATTAATATCACTCAGATGTTTTATGTATTAAAAGTGTGAAGCCCATTTCTGGTGTCCCTCACTGTGATATTGCTGGAATATTGCTATAAGCAACGTAAAACCATACTCACTATGTATTAAAAGTAATTTGTGATACTTTTCAAATATGTCTATTCAACAAATGCAGATTTCCTTATCAATCTATGAAATTAATGGGTGTTTTGATCTTTGAGTGCCTCTTCTCTCGTATTTTAGTCTGGAAGCCCAGTTTGTTTTATTCTCTTCTGGGACATTATCTGTCCTATTCATCCATCCATCATTAACTTTTACATTTTAAAACATTTCTTCTGTATCTGAAACTTTCTGAGGATGCTTCCAGCTATGGTGTTTCTAATAAGTGCCAGCATGGCAGCCATTTCCTCTAAACCTGTGGTTAAGTAAAGCTGAAATTTTGTTTGATTCCCTGCAGTGGAGATTCTGAAATGTGTTCAGACTGCAAGCTAAGGCCTTCATGCATCACTTGAACTGCCAATAATGTCATAGTTGTCTTGATTAATGTGCAGTTGTGGCTCTTTCCCCAATTGTTTTACTCCAATTTGATACAACTCTCCATCATGATCTGACAAGCTCTGTCGAATGTCATGTCCGATGAATTTGAGTAAACTTTGACCGCCAAATGAAAAAATATGATGCACAGGATGTTGAGCCAGTCAGATGTTAACTATATTGTTTGTGTAAGAATTTGGCTTCGCTACATTCCTAATGTCAACATGATCTGTTGTCAGTCATACTTTCTCTTTAGTATATTCTTCATGAGCTGTATGTTTTGTTTTTAAAATGACAGGAAAATTAATCCAGTGCAATTGTACTGGCATGTTAGTTGGTTGGTTCGTTTGTTATTTAACGCCGCACTCAGCAATATTCCAGCTATATGACGGCGGTCGGTAAATAATCGAATCTGGACCAGACAATCCAGTGATTGATATCATGAGCATCGATCCACGCAATTGGGATAGATGACATGCATGAACCAGGTCAGCGAGCCTGACCACCTGATCCCGTTAGTGGCCTTTTACGACAAGCATAGTTGCTGCCCAAAAGTAAAGGTATCATAAAGACAAGAAGAAATTTGCAATTTTAAGGGTTTTGCTTTATGTTATCATTATAAGGATTAGTGGACTGAAAATGTTAGCTTCTACAGTGTTCCCGTTTACTTTTGAAACTACCAGTCCACCAGGACTGGCAATTCTAAAAATTACCAGTCCCCCTTAATTTTTGTCAGTCCCAACTTTTCGCAAATAAAAATAAGTATGAAAATGACCTGGTTTTAATTCTTTTAACATCATGTTCAATGCAATGACGTCATCTCTGAAGTAATTTCGTTAAATCTACATGTCATTTACATAAAGTGCAGTCACATTTTTCTCTTTTTTTGTTGTTAATATTTCACGCCAAAGTTGCTACTAATATATAGTTAACCTTGAAGCAAAGCGAAATGTGATTTGCTTGCACTAAAATTAGACAAGCAGAAACCCTGACGGTAACAGACAAGCTGTCTTCATTCGAAACATATACTACTTATATGAATATAGCCAATGTTTTTATCAAAAACAAAGATTTATAAGGTACTTTCTTTGCCGGTCTACAGGGACTGGCAGTCACATGAATTACCGGTCCAAGCCAAATTTTACCGGTCAAAGACTGGTAATTACCAGTAAACGGGAACACTGTTCTATTGCCCAGATAGCGAAAAGAAATGTCAGCATTTACTTCATGTTTAGCCTTCTTGTGGAACCAAGCCATATAATGATGTACTGAACCAGCTAGTGCCAATTCCTAACTCTTAATCAATGCTTATAATTCAAGGAACTTTGAGTACCAGTAAAGTTTTGACCAGAAATTTGTGTGGATTTTACATGTGTGAGAGCATTCTTGACTTTTTATTGTTTTTAAACAGTAATCAAGATGACTACCAAATTGTACGCAAACTGGGACGAGGGAAGTACAGTGAGGTGTTTGAAGCTATCAACATCACAAACAATGAGAAGTGTGTGATAAAAATTCTCAAAGTAAGTAATATTTATCAGTATTCATTTGGATAACTGCAAACAACAGTTGAACCAGTTTAACTCACCAAGATGTTGCTATATTATAACTACAGTTAGTTTTAATGTATTATTTGAATACTGTATAACATGTTTTCAGTACAATTTGTTGTTTTATTGACAGGCAGAGGTTGTTCATCTCTTAAAGACTACCAACTGACAGTGACATGCTTCTGTCAACTGATGTAGAATTATTTTGTGAAATTTACCAATATTCAATCTTTTGAATTGAAAAATTGTATATTCTGTGGTACAAAACAAGAAAGTCCTCATATTTCAGAGTTACATACAATTGCCATGTTGTACTCATTCATGCATTCAGGAATCGTTCAGTACAAATTACCTTTCACTTTCAGCCTGTGAAGAAAAAGAAAATCAAAAGAGAAATTAAAATTTTAGAGAACTTGAGAGGAGGAACAAATATTATCACTCTCCTAGCTATTGTCAAAGACCCTGTGGTGAGTAATATATTTTTATAAAAAAGATATTGATAATTTACATAATTATTATTCTACTGCTTTGTCATCGACTCTGAAAAATGCTGTTGGACTTCCAGGGTAGTGTGTGTCCAGTGTAAGACGTAAAACAAGCTCAGAAGTAAGGGGGAAAGACAGTACAATGTGTCATGGCTATCCATGTTAAACTGTGGCATGGTATCTCAATGGACTAGCACTTTGAAACCAGCATAAATACTGAACTTCATTAAACTACGTTTATAACAAACTAAATTTAGTGGTCCCTTTAAGTTCATTATAACAGTAGTTTACTGAAGTACAAACAGCTGTACACAGAATGCCTGACTTTTTGGGGGGTACAGAATTTTGACCTAAACGTTTGGGAGAGGAGGGGAGTAGTGGAGGCAGGAGGGGGTTTAAAGATATATTCATCAGGTTTTCTCATCATAGTATTTTAAATAATTTATGTTGATAGCAAGAGTAAGTGAATTGTTTAAGTGAAGTACTGTGAAATAATGTTTTTTTTATCTTTTTTTCACATTTCAAAACATCTAGCCATAATTGACATAAACATGAATATCTTGTTGTTTCATTACAGTCAAGAACACCAGCTCTTATATTTGAACATGTGAACAACACAGATTTCAAGGTAGTGTTTTTTTGTTTTTATCACTTCTTTTCTAATTTGCAAGTTTGAAAACTTTTATGAAATTGAAAAAACAACAGGTTTACTTTAAATATTAGAAGATAGTTATTTTCAGGTAACTATTAGTTGTTTGTTTGTAGACACACAAAAACAACAATATAATACTATGTACAATAGGGAATTTTGTGTTCAGTCACAACCATGTTTGATTATGGCTGTAGGTGCTAAAGGTGAATTATTTTGCTTTCAGCAATTGTACCAGACGTTCACAGACTATGATATAAGGTTCTATTTATATGAATTGTTAAAGGTAAGTTTTTAAAAAAAAAATTGACTGGTTGTAAATGTGGTCAGGTGATAAGGTGATGTTTGAAATCTGCCCTTTGATGCTTTGACTTTCTGTATCTTGATAGTTGTTTGAATGATGAAATACCTATGGTGTCATGAAGTGTATGTATTCTGACCCACCAGATACACTCCCTTTAAGATGTATTAAATATGGCCTAGTTAATTAGGATAGTGTTTTGATGCAAGTGTATTTATCTGTATGCTCTTCAGGGTTAGAAATTGGCACTAGTCCTATAGTCCTTGCCAAACAGCCCAATAGTTAAAGTATCATAAGGACTAATAGTAATGTGCCATTTTGAGGGGTTTGCCATATATTCTCATTATAAGGACTAGTGGACCAAAAATGTTAGTTTCTACAGCTGCTCTTGTCCCCTAGTGTAAAGTAGTAATTGATTATATTGTTTTACTTCAGGCCCTTGATTACTGCCACAGTATGGGGATCATGCATCGAGATGTGAAACCTCACAATGTCATGATAGATCATGAAAACAGAAAGGTAAGCGCTGACATCGCTATATCACATCAGTATCTTTTCTCCTCTACTTTTAAGCCTCAGCAGCAGTTGAAAAAAGGACAGTAGCAAATAACTATACTTGTCTTTAAAATCTGACTGAAAAGAGATCAATTGACCCCAATCAGAGCTGCAGATAACTTTTTGAGCAATTGAGTTTTTACTCCAGGGTTTCTGTTTAATTGGGTTATTACATTTTTCATTGGGTAACCAATATTTTTTCACTCATCTATTCATCACTCTCTTGGGTCTTTCCCAAAATTAGGGAACATTTTAAGATTTAAAAAACTGAACAGATGTACATAACTGTTCATGATATATAGGCTTGACTCTGAAAGTAAATTAGCTTTGTAAGCATGCTGAGAAAGCTTCATTGGGAATTTACGCGTGCTGTTTTAATGCATTTGAGATTTTCATTAAAGGCATACATTTCTGTACGCAAGTTAATTAAAAGTAATTGGGTTTTGAATATTTTTGGGGGTATTTTACGCAAATACACTGCTTATCTGTAGCTCTGCCCAATGGTTATTTTGAATCAGTAGTACTTTGAGACTAACGGAAAAGATAGCTGTGAACTGACTGTTTTGAGGGGCAAATAAATGCAAAGTGATAATGACACTGTCTTCAATTTGGTTAATATTACAGTGAGAACACAGACATGTTTTAGGAATTGTTTGTTGTTGCAAAATTTCAATATTTTATTATACTAATTTTGTCCAGCCTCTACAGATTGGTATAGCTTTAATATTGCTTGATGGGCATTTGACTTTGAGTTGTTATTGTGCTGACTAATGTACTGGATATTTCAGCTACGCCTTATAGACTGGGGCCTAGCAGAGTTCTACCACCCAGGAATGGAGTACAATGTACGAGTAGCCTCTCGATATTTCAAAGGTCCAGAATTGTTGTTAGATTATCAGGTATGTGGAATTGAAATCATTCTGATACACAGATCAGGGATTTTACACAGGTCAGTTATCCAATCAGAATGTATATTTATCATACAATTGGTATGATAGTTGTTGCTGGTGTAACTTGCTCTGAAACAAAGACTGGAATAGTGTAATAAAAAACTTGTAATAAGAGCTGATTGAACTTTGGCATCCTTGGGAACATACATGAGAAGCCCTGTAATAAAGAAAATTAGATATGGACATTCTTCAATTGTATTCCTGTGGGATGTTATATTTTGGCGTCTGGTTAAAAGCCAATGGGTGAAATAACCTGGCTGAAAGAATGTAATCATTCCCTGATAGATTGTTATATAGCGATCAGCCAGTCTGTCTGTCTGTCTGTCCGTCCGTAATCATTTCCTTTTCCAGGGCAGAATTCCAAAACCATTAAGTGTATTTGGTTGAAACTTGGCAAATCTATCAGGCACATACTGAAGTGGTGCCTTATGATATTTTGGCATTTTTCTAATTTTTATTTTTTTAAATTTTTATGGAATGAAGTTGGACATAGACTCAATTGAGGATGGGGTTCATTTCCGGGGCAGAATTCGAAAACCATTCAGTGTATTTGATCGAAACTTGGCAAAGCTATCAGGCACATACTGAAATGGTGCCTTTTGATATTATTTTTTTTTACGAATTTTTATTTTTTTAAATTTTTATGGAAAGAAGTTGGAACTAGACTCCATTGGGGAACGGGTTCGTTTCCGGGCCAGAATTCGAAAACCATTCAGTGGGTAAACATTTTATGCTTCTTAAAGATCATTCAACTGTTGACTCATTACATAGAGAATTGCGTTTTTACTAGTGGTTACTTTACAAACAGCTGCCGGGGGGATATGTCATCTTTCTGATGACTCTTGGTTATCTTTGCATTATTTTCATATGTCATATTGTCTATAATATTTATATGAACTAGTTTCAACTGATCTTTTCTGGAACGAAAGAAATTTAATCGACTTAGACTTTGGACTAGTCACAGATTGGGTCTGACCAGTGCATATTTGTAAACTTGCAGCTGCATTGTTAGCATTGATGCTGAATCTTTAAAGACCATTTATGTAATGGATTACATTGAAGTATGATTTACAAACATGGGCGTAATGTTGTCGGACCCCAACAGTGTGAATCATTACTAATGCAGTGAGCCACTGGTTTGTCTGAACCAGATTTATTTACCGACTGCTGTGATGTTGCTGGAATATTGCTGACTATGATAACATTATTCACTCACTCAATCTATTATAGCTTCAGCAACACTGAGGCAAGGTAGTACCCAGTTAAGTCATCAAAACTTAATGGTTGGCAAGATGAAATGGGAAATTACTATTGATTTAAATTAAAGTTTACATATCAGACAACTGACAAGCTGATTTACACTTTGTGTGTCCACTGCCTTGTCAGTGTTTAAACCGTGATAAAGCTGACAATAATTATAAAGTAATGTTCATTGTTGCTCATAATGATTTTGTTCACCCTACAACTTAAATCACAACACTTGATGTTTGTTTGTATTGTAGATGTATGACTACTCTCTAGACATGTGGAGCCTAGGGTGTATGTTTGCCAGTATGATCTTCAGAAAAGAACCTTTCTTTCATGGTCATGACAATTATGATCAGGTGAGCGCTTTCATGTTATCGTGAGCTCTACAAGAACACTGTACATTCCACAATGGTCACAACATAATGTAAGTTTGGAACTACATGTATGAAGTATTTATAATAAATCTCTATGGAATAAATTATATTCATTTGAAGTAAACTGTATTGAAATGTAAGTTTGAAATTGAAAATATCACTAGTTTACCCAGTAGTTGGTTTGAAAGAATTGATGTATTTGGTCATATGAGAAATTAATTTTATTGAATACCAGTTTGAAGTCAAGTTAGCATGGTGAGTGAATAAAATTTGGTATTTTCAAATTTAGTACCATCATGGCAATTCGTGTAGCAATCTTATTCATATTAAAGTATGAAAGATGTTCATGACTTCCTGTTTGTTACTCTGCATTCATTCAGTATTTTAAGATTTCATTAATAGTCCTTGCACATGTAGGTATGTGATATGCAAACAAATGATTCATATGAAAATACTATGCATGAGAAAGCACTTAACATATAATTTCCACTATTGCTTTTGTCTGTATCCTATGAATTTGTTTATTTGCAGTTGGTGAGAATTGCAAAGGTTTTAGGAACAGATGACTTGTATGCATATATTGAAAAGTACCAGGTAGAATTAGACCCAAGGTTTAATGATATTCTGGGAAGGTAAGTTGAGTTGGAAGCAGTTAGTCATACTCATACATAGTTGTGATAACTTATGCCACATTAACCTGAACATTTTGGGCTTTAGTATTGCATCAGAATTTAGTTACAGTTACCTACCATCGATTCTAACGATACTATTGAATTGTAGATTTTTTGTTTGAAGTTATTTGTGCAAAATTGGTATATAGTAGTTCTTTTCAAACATTTTAAAGTTAATTTTATGTAAAACTTTCTTACAAAATCTTCTTCACCTAACATAAATGAGCTTGCATGTTTGTATGACAGTCTTCCTTGTACTATGAAGTGTCCTTGAGGCCTGGGTTGGTTACATATTGGATCTTTCTGGTGAAGTAAATAAGTTATTTATCATTCCGACTGCAGGCATTCAAGGAAACGATGGGAGAGGTTTGTCCACAGTGAAAACCAACATTTAGTAAGTCCCGAAGCCTTGGACTTCCTAGACAAGTTGTTGCGCTATGACCATCAAGAGAGGCTTACAGCTAGAGAAGCCATGGATCATCCATACTTTTGTAAGTTTCATCACTGCAATTCTGATTCAGTGCAGTTACAGGTCTTGTTGACAAAAAAACCTCCCATAAACACCAACATGAAAAAACATTTTTATGATTTCAGAAATGAAGTGGTGAGTCAGCCTAGTCTTTGATAAGGGTCTTGTTTGGCTACAGTGCCATTGTAGATTTTAGTGTTGAATCAAATCAGAATATTTTTGTCTTTGTGTAACCTGTCTAATGGGGTCTCTTCATGTATCGATAACACTTACTATCTGTGTTTGTATATCTTTGTTTCAGATCCTATAGTAAAGGAACAGGGTAGAATGTCCTCCATGTCAGGCCACACTTCTCCCACACCAGTGTCGAATGCGGCAACGATTGGAGGTAGACTGTGTTCCCCGCTCTTGAACACAACATATTCATGCACTTGAGCAGCTCACCCTTCTACAATCATTGTCTCGTAACATGGTGCTCAAGGCTTGACAGTCTGGCTTCCTTCAACGTGTGTCTGGCTCTTTGACCATGTTTTCAAAAATACACATCTTGTCCCAACACCTACTAGGCTTATGTGTTGGGAAAGGAGAAATTTATCTTCTGAAAAATATGTTTGCAAATGTGATTGGTCACATATAAATGTAACTTCACTGGCAGATATGCAGACTTTTTTTTAAAGAAGATATTTCATTTTTGATGCATTTCTTTCAATTCAAACTACTAAAATATTAAATTTTGAAATTGTTTCCCAACATTATTGTTTGCCATAAAAAAAACATGGAAAGATGGCCATTGTATTCCAACCCAGTGAAAAGTGCTATGTGAAGTTGGTGGATGTTGTCTCCTTATCAGAGCTGAGACAGTGTACAGCATTAGTGTATATACCAGCATGTATGTGGAAGGCTGAATTGACCCCATTGTTGTAATGCTGATGTAACTATGAAATCACAACCTCAGTGGTTCATATCAGCTGTCAGTGACATTGTTATGCATCCACAGTTCTGCAACTATCTGTACTGTTTTCTGATATGCTTATTTGTGCTACAACAAAAGAGCAGGAGTTATCTGTGATCCATATTCCTTACTGATTAATGATTTGGAGAGTGAGCTTTTTCATTCAACAGTTAACATGCAAAGTTTGTTTTTGAGAGCTACTTAATACCCTCTGTGCTTCATCCGTTTGAAGTGTCTTGTATTTTGATGAAGTGCTTTGGCTGAAGGCATTCAGTTTGAAGATGTCGTATGGATGTATAGAGTTGTCTAGATAGGAGTCAGTATTTGTACATTGCTTTCCCTAAGTTAATTGCTGTAAGAGTGAGATTACAGTCGGTCCACCTTAAGGCCCTTGATACTAGTCCTCTATACATGTACAGAAATCAGTAACACTTAGCTAGGTCAATGATGTAACATGTGTGCAAATGTGTGGCTTCATCAGGATGGCAGGTTTGTTGCTTCATAAGATCAGGCTGGTGTGTGCGTGTGTCTGTGACTTGCTTGTAAATTGCTTGTAAATGAATTAATGGACATAGGGGGTGGTTATGTATAAGTTGATCCAGTGATGCTTGCTCCGACAGCTTGTCAACCTTACTGAGTGTTTGTACTGTCCTCCCACTACTGGCTGTCTTTAGTTCTGTCTGACCAAGCCTTGAGCAGACTATCGAGCATACATCCATTATCATGCTACCTTCACATACACAGTTTGAAACTCTAATCAGTAAAGGGTAGCAATAGAATTGCAGTAGCTTGCATATTTCAACTGAACTGATGCACTCATGTTAACATGCATGTTTGTCACATGATTTTGAGAAAGCAGAGGCAGGACATTCATTTTAGCAGATTTCAACAGAATAATACTTGGTGTATACGTGCTTGCATATCAGAATGTTTCTTTTCATTCTCTTTCTACTGAGTATCTTTAAAAAATATTTTAAGATTGAAAATCTATAGATTGAGTTGACATACCTGCATACTAACTTCTGCTTTCTCTATTTATAAATGTTGCTAAGTTGAGCTATAAGTAATTGACACAGGACTTTGCTATTCTTTGCTTCATTCCCCCACTTGAAATAGTTTCAATTATCTCATTTGAAATCATGTCAATATTACAGTGAAAACTGTAAATAAGAAATCAAGTCAAATATTTTTTTATAACAGACTATTTTTATGCCTAAAGGATATATGAATTGAAGACATGATATTCATTTGTCATACTTAAAACTATGTCCAACAAAGCTGCAGAGATGGAAAACAGTTTTATATACATGAAATGCTTGGCCCTGCTTAGTTCTGTATATTTTATTTTGTTAGATGTGTGGACAGAATATTTGCAATGGATAATGAGAATGGCTGAATTTTCACTGTCATCTACTGAAAAGAATTAAATTGGTTATTGCTGTACTTCCGCACACTAACAAAAGATCCTCCTAGATTACAATTGACTATTCCATCAATTTTGTCCTGCCCCTAAGATAATGCTATGCACATTGACAAATCTCATCTGAATACACATAGCTAGGTTGTTACAGTTATGGAGAGGAGTATGTGTATTGAGGGAGATAATTGGTTTGCATGGCTCTTTATCATTTGTAATTCTCCCTATTCTGAAAATGTCATATCTTGCCCCTATCCTCAACAGATTTTTTTGTTTAGAACCCTGCGTAGACGATTACTCTGAATTGGCAGTATTCCAATGTATTATGGCAACATCTCTGCAGCTATGTTGGTGTGGGTAGCAGGCAAGTGAGTCCTGTTCTCATGTCAGTACTGCTTGGTGCCGTCTGGTACTGGCTGACTGGCATGTCTGTCTGTGTCTGTCTGCAGGTCCAGCAGTCAACAGCGGTGCTGTGGGTGTGTCCAGCTCACCGGTCATGACTCCCAGTATGTCGCCCCTCCCTAACACTGCTGCCACAGCGCAGACCTAGACTTCTGCAGCACCTGCCTGCCTGCCCGCCCGCCTGACTACCCCCACCCCTCTAGTACATGAAGAGGGACATCAGACTTTCCTATGGGGGTGGGGGCTCTACCTGCCCACCCACTTGCTGCCACCTGTATTCAATTGGTAGAAGGGAGGGAGGGAGCAAGCCTGTGGGCCTACAAGAGATTGCAGATGAATACAAAACTGACTGACTCAATTTGTGACTTGCACTGGGGCTTCATTCATAGGATGGATGGAAGATGGTTTAGTGAATTAAAAAAAGACTGTCGCCGTGTCATCATCTCAGTTATTTCAGTAGTGCTGCATGCACTGTTAAGCAAACCTCATCTTTTGTCCTCCCTGATCGTCTCATAGACTGTAATGTATTTGTTGGTTAGTGGTTCTGCGTTCCCAGTGGACTCAAATTGTACTTAACTTATTTGTGAGTCTGTAATATGATAACAAATGTGGGGCCACCACCTTATTTTCTCCCAGACAATGAAGAATCATGCCATTCATTTGACTAATGTTATTCATATATGACAGAAACATGGGCAATTGATTTATGTTGGTATCCCCTCAGCTCTCATTGTATTAATTTGCATGATCGCATGAGATGTGTCCTCAGCAGATTGGTAAAGCAGTTGAAGTAGTAGGGTGTGCCTGCCTGCCTGCCTGCCAGGCTTTTTGTGTTATTTCAGCACACCACTACATGCCTACAGTTGCTGGTGCTTCCATCTGCTGCTAGCCTGTCTGTCTGCCTGCCTGCCTGCCTGCTAGCCATGCAGCAGTGTCAAGTCTCATGGATCAGCATGTACAACTTCTGCTCCACAGTTGAATCTGACGGTTATTCGACAGCCAATATGACCTAACTAATACAGACTTTGTGTTGCAAATTGTGCCGCATTCCTAGCAATGTAGTACTGGTAACTCTCAACTTGTATCCTGCTGGCAAGTGTAGCACTTCACAAGGGTGTAACTGAATGATCTGTACTAATACATATACATGGTCTAAGTCATTATTTAAGGTTGGCAGCTGTGATGGCTGTCGTCCCACTTGTGTAAGATATGGATATGACAGGTCTTCATCATGTGACTTTCAGTGTTTCAAAGCAGGGTATTTATAACCTGAATGAATCCATGTCGGTTGTATCGCACAGAGAAATGTTGTTGGACTTGAAGCACCTTCTACTGAATCCAGTTCGTCATCTGGGTCATTCAGATATGCTGTTACCTACTGTATTACTGGTACATACTTGTGTTTCTTTCACTTAGTTTTAACCTTATGTTAATCTAATTAAGAAAAGCTTCTGCAAGTGAATATTTATGTGTCCACATGAAGTATGAGTGTTCATGAGTAAATAATTTACAGGTCGTCATTCCTCAGATATTGTAAGTTTATATGTAATGTACACACATTAAAAACAGATTTATATATTATCCTTGCTTTTGTAATTGATTGTAAAAGTATGTCACTATGGTTTGAAATAGCACAGACCATTGGAACCAGATCTCCAATTGCTTCTGTCATGATGGCCTTACCTCATGTTCTTCCGTCTAAGCCAGTCATTGATATTACATGATTGGCAGATATTTACATTTTCAGTGGATCATAATTTAATCTCTTATTCACAGTCATATAGTATCAAGATTTCAGGGAAAGGGATGATTGGAATCAAAGTTGATGTGTCTACTGGATCTGTCAGGATTTCATGTTTAGCTCACCAGACCAAAATGGATGGATGGGCGTATGTCAAGACATATTGTCCGGCATCCATTGATCATGTTCATTTTCTGCACTTAAAAACAGAATGAAGTATATTTAACTGTCAAAGTTCAAGACATGAAAAGCTGTTTAAACCAAATTGGATTGAGAATTACCTTTTAACTAATTTCCCATGAAGTTAATTGTACAGTAGTGAAAATTTGATGCAACTCAATTCACATCAGGTTGAAGGCAAATTTGATGGTAAGTTAACATTCTATTGATGTGCCTCCCGTTCAAGATAGGCTCTTCGGTGACATTTTGAAATGCTTTAGTCAATACTAGTTCAGGAATTCTGTTTTCCATGCATATCATGTAGGGTATCTCTGACTTGCTGTGCTCACATGTCTTGTTTCTCAGTATAACAAATAAGAAAAGACTTGAAGGTGAAGTGTTTTATGAGGTAAGATAATGTTCATGCTCTTTGAATTAAACAATTTACTGTTTGGACATGAAACAAATGAATTAACAGTGTATGTTACAAGGTAATCAATATTTGTGTTCATGCTTTTAATATAGTGACCAACAGATTTATTTTCAATGTTGAGCTATTCTTTGTGGTAACTGGAACTGTATGCTCTTGTTCATTCATATATTGACATATAATCAATCTTGAATCTTAAACAAAATGTGAGCAATAGACCTATTGGCTCTATTTTGCAAGAAGTCTAAATTCTCAAGGCTTTAAGTTCAGAATACTTTGAAACCCTTTCGTTCTGTGATTATCAGCAATATTGGAACTTTGTTAAAGGGCCCAAGTATGTTTAACAATATGTATTTCCAGAGAAATCCCATTATTGTTTTTGTAATTTATAGTCCATTATATTTTTAAAGGCAAGATTATTTTGTTTGAATAGTTTTCATGGGTTTTGTTTTGTGATAAGAAATGGTTCTTCCAAATTATGACCTGTGAATGAAAATCAGTTTGTATGACGTGTGTTTGACATTTTGTCATCTTCATAACATAGCTGGGCTTGTCTAATGTCTCAAAAGTCCAAAAGTCACTTTCACTGTCCAAACCTTACATAACATATTCAAATGCTGCAGTACCTAACAAGTTGTGGATCACAAGAAAGGATCTTGCACAATAAAACGTCACATTTAACCTTCAAGGAGTCGCTTAACAAACATTTTGATTAATCTTTTACTCATCCTATTCCTGGTCAGAGATTATTAACCATTAGAAATATACAAGTTAACAGTAATTTATAGTTAATGTTTTATGTTATTAAATTGGTAATGTGAAGTACAGTTTTCCAAATACTATCAATAGGAAGCTAAAACAATTACAGGTGTGGCAGTGCTGTTTATCTAGCAATGCCATACCTATGAAATTTGCCGCAAGGAAATAACAGTGTGTAATGCATTAATATATCATCGGTTTTAACAGCCAAGCTAAACTATTCTGGGAAGATTGACAGTGTAAGTTGAGACAGCTTTACAAATTAATGGTTTTAGTGATACAAGTACTCCCAATATTCTCAAAAGGGGCACCAGGGTTGTGACTATTCAATCAAAGATCAGTATGCCAAAACTATGATTATTTCATTTGAGTATTTGAAAGCCAAATCGTGAGTTCAATATACTACTCGAAGTACACCCAATTTGTTTCATATGACTTTATTAATCTGTCATGGCATGCCAGATTTATGATGGTCATATGGAAAAATCATGTGTTCTTTGACTTCTTTTGAGTAGTATATTGCATATAGTCAGATAAGGAATGATATATTCCTTGAAAAATACTTTCTCTGAAGCTGTTGTCTGGGTGAGAGAAGTTTGATTTCATACAGTTACTATTGTGCTGTGAAATACTCAATAAAGGTGAATGCATTTTGGTTCGAAAAGATTGTATCTTACTTTAGAGAAGAAATGTTAAAGTTGGTTTCATGTGTTCTATTATCTGTGTCTGTGTGTACAGCTTTCTTTGGAATAGTGAATGCCTCCCAAAACTACTAGCCAACGCTTTGCCAAATGGATTGGATAGCGTTCAGTCTCAACATTGAATAAATATATTTTTAACTGTCATTCTTTGTAGGCATTAAAAACGTATATTATTTTAATTAAATTTGTTGTAGCAGATCCCGTCCCATGTGGCGTTTTCGTGTGACTATTTTATCATGTACATCATATACATTGTGTGCTGAGGTTTTGTATTTTCTTGCATTTATTTGATCGAACCCTGTATCATATTTTGTTCCTATCATGTTGTAAAATAATTAAGTGAGCAAGTTTTGTGGATTCACTTGAAGTTATTGTTGCAAAAATGGCATGTGACTGTTTTTGATTGTCTGCCCCGCCTACCCCCAGCAAGTTACAGTCTACTGTCTTTTCACTCAGTTTTCTATCGACAGAAAACCGCCTGGGCTAGCATTCTGTGGCTTGTTGAGTGCGACTCCTCACACGACTCTTTGTGTATGATGTCACATCTGACCTTGAACTTGTGTCCCCCTAGCCACATGCTATGATGTGTGCTTGACAGACACGGCACCAAATACAACAGTCTGTTCCTTGTCTTTGTTCTCTCGGTTGCAAGTGGCTGGATGATGCCCATTGGTTGACTGAGGATCATGTGACTGCAGAATTGCTGGAAGCTCTTGACATAAACTTCGGACAACTTGGTGCCCACAGCTGTTCAGCTGAGTGGAGTGATAAGAGTAGCTATTTTTGCAGTCAGATGGATTAATACATATGAAATAAAATGAATGACTTGCGAAAGAATATGTAATAGTTGGTTGTTGTTTTTTTGTCTTATGAACACAAGATTAAGTGCTAGTGACAAAGCACGATGCATCAAGGTCAATCATTTGCCAGTTCAATTTCTTCCCATAAGAACTGGATGTTACATTTGTTGTCATAACCACAAACACAGTAGTATTGTCATAATTTTATTTCATATTGCCACTGGCACTCGTGTACAAAAAAAGTGTTGTGGACCTGGCATTGAAAAGTAAATGCAAGTGTCTGACCCTTCTGAAATCACCTTGCCTTTCTAGTTTACATGGACTACTGTGATACCCATAGTCTTCTAAGAATGGTTTTTCTCCAAAGGAAATGCACATGCCAAGATGCATTCCCTAGGGCCACAAACATGATTCTTTCAAGCAATTCTATAAATTTATTATCCACACCCGGAAATGAAAATGATATATGTACAGTTCATGATGACTGACATTCCTAAATCCATAACACACCACTAAAGCACTTTAACGGCTTCTTATGAACAAACTCAAAATACCTACAGACGATAAAAGAACTTTTAAGATTAATGTTGGCATAAGACCCAAAAAATAATTGTGAAACAAGAAGTAAATATTTCTATTGGATCTTGTAACTTTATATAATGCTGACAAATTGCAATGTCCTATTCTTCATAGAAAATGTGCTCATGTGTATGAGCGCCAAGACCTTAAGTCTACACAATTAACATGTTCCTTGATAAATATGACGAAGCTGCTCAGACAATATAAAGTACTTAATTACATATTTCTTCAGTCAAAGCCATTTATCATCCAAAACTGGCCTCCCCAAAGGAGATACTACTGCAATGAAATTGCATCACAATGCTTAACAGACAATTGTGACATCACTAATCTCTGTAACTGAACCAGGTAAGCAGTATTTTTTCCCCGTCCAAGACACTACTTATTACTGTTTACAAACAAAGAGTGAGATGATATAAACGTTTATCGACTCGTGGTGATATCAAGACATTCTGGTAAGATTCTATATATATATATGTAATACATATTTCATGAGTCCTTTCTTAACTGAATTTCAAATTGGGCAAATCATAAATAAATCAAGAACAGAAAGTACTGAATTGATGTATCTTGATTTTGTAAGATACCACATTTATTCATGCTGAGCCATCATTATTAGCATTGGTAGTTTCTGCAGTTCAAACTACACCATTGGTGATCACTTGTAAGTTCCAATGATACACATACTGCAATTGATACATAATGGAAAAAAATATCACTGATTATTATAACAGTACAGTTTTAGAAAAGATCAATTTCAAATCTCCACCTGTCAAGAACAAAGTTGCTTCATATATTGCAATGAATTCAATCAGACATTCCTAAAATCCTTCCAACTTGCACACCACTAATGGCCTTGTGTCTATTTACATGGGAGTCAATGCTTCCTGCATGTGAAACTGACAGTTCCTATATCACACTTCATTCATGTTAAATTAAACATGCGCCAACAGAAAAGGTCATCTCAAATCAATAATTACCGAAACAGATTTTAGGACAGTGTATCTTTCTCCCTTCATACAATAGAAATAAAAATATAGTATTTACACCTATTATACAGAAACTATCATCACTGCATTTTTGCTTTCTTCCGTGCTATAGCATCTTCCACTGCCTTAAGTTGTTTAAGAAGCTCTTCTCGTCGTGAGGACATGCTCTTCTTCTGTTTGACTGCTGGGACTGGGGGAGTTGGTAAAGGTGGGGGCACACCTGGAGCAGGTGCCCCCTTGCCACTAGGAGCAGCCTTGGCTGCTGCCACAGGAGGTTTAGATGGCGCCTTAGTTGGAGAGATTGGCTTGTCCTTGGGTGGAGATTTCATCTTTTCAGGTCTTGACGGCACCTTTTGCTTCTCGCCTAAAATTTAATATAATTCTATCAATACACAATACAGAATATGATTTTGTTACAAAATATGTCATTTTTATGCAGAAAGTTACATCAATTTACTTCTTTTTTTTAAAAAGATTGAAATTACAGCTAGTCTTCAGTGACAATCATAAATGCCTGACACAATGAGACTTCTCTTCATTGAAATAGCTTCCACAAAAGCACACAAACCTGATGCAGCCTTGGCAGGTGGTGGTGATATGATGGCCTGTCGTTTCGAGGGAGGTCCTGTAGCAGAGTCGGACTGCCTTCTCTTGGCAGCTGAAGGACCAGGGCCTGGACCCCCAATCGGCTTGTCAGCAGGCTGAAACAATAGTTGAAAAACATACCTGATACTCATGTTCATTTGCCTTGTAGTAAAGGTATTGCGATACAAATCTCTATGCTCTTTTTGTACACTACATTGACAATGGACAACATGCAACATCTGTGATTATGGTAAAACTTATAGGCTGCCATTCGGTATAAAAGTACAAAGTTGAAATAAAGGACAAAAGTATGCAATAATAGTCAAATGTTATTAATAAAGGTCAAAATACAAAACAAACATGCCGGTAAAAAAATACAAAGCTAAAATAGTGGTTAAAAGTATGCAAAAAATAGTCAAATGGTACGAAAAGATATATGAAAAGAAAGAAACAATGTGTACTAAAGAATGTCAGTGCGTACAAAAAGACACTAAACTGCAAAAGGACGTTGATAATAAAGAACACCAGATGGCGCTGCAATTTGTAAAACATTCCAGGTTTAATCGGCTTTTTCCGCTGTGTATATGATAACTGCATGCCGAGGTGCACAATGTAATATGTCATTCCTCATGCACCCACTGACTGACTTCACATATGTATAATGTACACATTGTGTATATACACACCACTTCAGCATGTGATTGATACATCTTTCAAGTTTCGATCAAAAATACTGAATGGTTTTCGAATTCTGCCCCGGAAACGAACCCCATCCCCAATCCGAATGGAGTCTATGTCCATCATCTTTCCATAAAAATTTAAAAAATAAAAATTAAAAAAATCCCCAAATATCAAAAGGCACCACTTCAGTATGTGACTGATAGATTTGCCAAGTTTCGATCAAATACACTGAATGGTTTTCGAGTTCTGCCCCGGAAAAGGAAATGATTACGGACGGACGCTATATCCCACTGCATTATGTACCAGGGGGATAAAAATGAATGTTGTGCAAGAATTGCACACTGTCAGCATCACTAATGGCAAGCTATTTTCCCTATCGAATGTAAACCTTCGCACATTACTTATATCGGTGTATGATAATAAGTGTTGACATTTGCTGTGTATTTTTTACGCATAACAAAATTTCAGACAACACTTAGCAGTGTCTCTTTTTCAAATCGATTTAATATTTACAGTTACATTTACACCATTGACACAGTGGTGCAAGAGCGCAATTCTTGCACAACATTCACTTCTGAGATGTTATGAAAATAATGAAATATACATTGTGCACCTCGGCATGCAGTTATCATATACTCTGCGGAACAAGCCAATTAAACTTGGAATATTTAACAAATTGCAGCGCCATCTGGTGTTCTTTAGTAGTTTAGTGTGCCTACGTGCTAACTGACGTTCTTTAGTACACAAAGCTCTTTCTTTTCATGACATATTTTCGTAACATTTGACTATTTTATGGCATACTTTTTACCTTTATTTCAACTTTGTCTTTTTAAACTGGCTTCTTTTTGTTTTGTATTTTGACCTTTAGTAGTAACATTTAATATTTTATTCATAACATGTGGCTATTATTGTGTACTTTTGTCCTTAATTACTTAATTACGTCCATAAAATACTCCTATCCCCTGCCAATATGGCATGTCCGGTTGTGTGCAATGCATTAGCTCCTGTGAACTATGTTCACTGGGCCTTTTTACCAAATGGCCTAGTTGTAGCACTAAAAAAAGTTACTACTGGTGGTGTTTCCCATCTGCAGTTTATGATAGAATATGTAACTTTATTTGGAATGAGTATTGATGAGACATACGGACGAACAACTTCTTTATTACAATTAGGGGCGATGGTTTCGGTGTAGGTTCTAACACCGTTATCAAGCAAGTGAAGTACAGAGTATGGTTGACAAGAATATATACAGGATAGGAGGCAGTGTTTAAACAGTCCAGTAGGTTTAAGATCAGTTACACTGTTGTATATGTAATGAGTTGTGTTTCTGCATGAAGTTAGTCAATGAATGCAACAACCGGGTCCATGACACTTTTGGAGGAACATACACACAAGCAATGCAGAACTTACCAACAAGAAAGGAAAAGTATTCAATACTGCGATATGACATTATGTGCCAAGCTTGGAGAAGAAATATGGTACTGTTTTCAAGATCTGCTCCGGAAACGAAATGTGACAGACGCACGGACGACGGAAAGATGGACGGACGGATGGCACCCATTCCAATATCCCCCTTCCACTTCGTGGCGGGGGATAACTAGCATCATCAATAACTCATCACAATGCCCCGTCACTGACTATGTCAATAAAGGCATCATTATTAGCTTTGTCTCTTGAAAAATAAAAATTATTGTTGACATCCAAGATGTATCAGCACAACAGACAATGAGCTTGACGGGAGACAGCAAAACATGATTGGCTAACCATACCTTGTTGAGGAGGGTAAGCTTAATGTTGGACTTCTGTCCAACCAACTTGAGGGGATCCTTTGGTTTGACCGGTGTGGTCGGCTGGCGGCTTGGTGGAGGTCCCTTCCCTCGGATGCCTGATCGTCCATCTTGCCTCGACATACGGTCATCTCCTCTGTCCCTATCCCTATCTCTCTCCCGTTCCCTCTCCTGATCAATATCTCTCCTGCGAGGAGGATGAGGCTCATTGTGTTTTGATGGTGGCTTGTCAACCCTTTTATCTATAACAGGCATGCTTCCAGATAAGTCTCCACAATGTAACTGCTTGTAAATGACTGCAATGGTTTACAGTAGATTCTTTACATGCTACATTCAAACCGAAAAAGTTGAAAAAATGATTTTGGATGATAAATAGTACCGTATTTTCTTGAGTATAGTGCACACCCATGTATAATGCGCACCCCCCTCTAGCGGGTTCAATATTTTGGAAAAAAAGAAATTTGAATATTATGCGCAGAAAAAATTTACACCGTACCCTTTCAGCGAAGTCCGGCAAACGAATGGGTGCTGAGAAACTTCGTCAGTACAAATTCGAAATTTGAGATAAAAAATCACCAGACATGTTTATTTACCGTTTAAATAGTATTTATTGTTCTGCTAGGCATCGTTTTATATCTAGGGATTAAGATTACCTTGTGTATTTTCTCATAAACTAAACTGGAAACAGCAATCAGCTGTAACACACGTTTTCTTGGAATCGACCGGTGATTCGGTCAAGACACACCCAATGATATAACTTTATAGGATTTTTAATGCAAGGATAGGCAACAATTGTATCTGAAACTTTTTTATCAGGAAGAATATATTCCATTATTTTCTTAATGATATGCAGCCTTTACTAAACATATTTAAAATAATAATAACCCTAAGCGAAGCAGCTGATCGCTATTGCCGGGTATTATTTTTTACATGGAACCAGTCTGACCAGTCACCGTCAAGGCTCACACGCACGTGATCGTGTGATCACGTGATCGCGAGAATTTCATGTTGACATGGAATCGTCAAACAAAAACAAATATGACTTTTAACGAGTCAAAGTATGTCATTTATGATATATGTATCCATTCTCTGTCAACTAAAGTTCGTTTCAAGGCGTCAATAGCGGTATTCTGACCGTGGTTGCTGTTAATAATGGTGAGTTGTGCGATCTTCCGATCGCTTCACACACGATTTCGCCGAAATTAATAAAAACAATATAATAAGGAATTTAGAATAAAATTAATGAAATAAGTTACAAACATAAGTCCAGATATACAAAGAACACTTTTTATAGCCAGACAGTGTAATTACATGATTATTTTGCGTACTTCAGTATGGATTTGTTGACATGGTATTTCTGGTGTTTCGTGCTCACGGTAATGTCTTTCCATGGGGGAAAAAAACATCCAAACTCATAATTCGTGTATAATGCGCACCCCCTTCTACACAGCTGTGCTTTTCGAAAAAAAGTGCACACTATACTCAAGAAAATACGGTATTGTTTAATGATAAAATGACCTTGACTTATGACACAGTCATGACATGAAGAACTTTAGATTATTTTACAGGTATCATCACTACTTCGATTTCTTGAGATTGAATCAGAATACACGTACCTTTGGTCATCACCTTCTTCTTTGGAGAGACAGGCCTGTTGCTGCCTGGCAGATCTCGGTACAAGTGTTCTGAATCAGCACTGCCACTGGAGCTGGTGGAGGAACTACGAGACCTTGACCTTGACGACCCACTACTGCCACTGCCGGAGCGGGAGAAGGAAGAGCTGCTGCTACTCCGGGATCGAGACAAACTGCTGCCACTGGAGCTCCTGCTGCCAGCCCGAGGCGTGGGCCTGGACAACAAAATAATAACACTCTAATATGTTTAAACTATTTGACAAGTTCATCCAGTTTTGTTACCATGGTTACTATTTTACTAGAGTTCGAGACATCTGAAATACGGTCAATGAGATGTAAGCTAACCTCAATTGTATTTTATGTAAACGGGACAAAGAAAGCAGAAGTTCACCAACCGACAACATTCTGAATATTTGCAAAAAAAGCGCCTGACAAAGTGTGTTTTAGATACTACTGTAAGCATTATTCCTGCAGCAGTATACACCAAGAACAGGCTTCTCACTTTGTCCTCATGTACAAATGTTCCACAAGTGTAACATGACAACTTTGTAAAATCTAAATATTTTTCACTCCCACAGCAACCACATGACCAGAAGTGGCGAGGTCACAAATAACCACTGCTAGTAACAGACATCTGAAACAACTTTGCGAGGAGGTAGCAAAGTCATGGGTGGGCATAGTAGACATGGTCATGCAGGATAAGTATCCAAATGTAAAAAAATATCTGGTAACTGGATAGCATCCTGAGTGGGAAAAACGGAGACTACACACCTTCCTGTCCGATAGAGCCACATGAAGTAGAGATGGAGGTGTGAAATCCTAGTCATGGAAAACAGGAAAAGTAAAAAAGGAAATAATGACTAGTGAAGACAGTATCCAAGCACCAAACACTCTCCATGATGGTCCGGGACTGCGGAGTTGATAATTCTGGCTGGAGCAAATAGTCTATCAGTGGCAGACCGAATCGCTTGCACACCAGGATAAAGGCATCAGCGTGGAGCATCAACTCCGTGGCAGCAACTTTGTCCGGCCTGGAGAGAGTGTCCACCAGGATGTTGCGACAACCGGGGACTTGCAGGACAATGAACCTCATGTGTAGTCAATCCACTAACTGGATGAACCGGAACTTGTGGAAGGATGAGTCCCCTGATTGCGAAGACACCAGACGACTGTGATGTTGTCTGTGTATATGGCAAGCGCTTGGCGCTGAAGCATGGACTGCCAGTGAGACACGGCCAGGACGAGTGCTTTCAATTTCCAAATTATGTGCAACCGGAGCTGATCGTTTGACCATTGCCCGGAAGGCAGTCTGGTCCTCCATTGGTCCTGAACGTCCCAATGTAGTTTGACAAAAGTAGGAAGGAAGTTCCAGGTAATGCTTGTTGAAGATGGCGAGATTCTGTATCGTTCGGAATTTGGATGAATTCTTCTTGGGCACCAGGAACCCTGCTCAATAGAATCCTGGATAAGCCACTGGATCGAAAACTGTCTCAACCGTCTGCTTGAGCACAAGAAGCTGAATTGTCTGGAGCAAGAACTGAGCCTGACAGGGGGTGGGCATCTAACATGGGGTAAGAAGTTAGCAGTGGGTCTGTCTTGAGGGAGAACCGGTACCCCTGTTGTTGGTGACAAATGGAAGAATCTTGAAGAATTGTCTAATTGGCACCTGCCCAATCTCCAACCTACAGGAGTGTCTATGACTGGGATGACTGGGGGAGGGAGATCCCAGGCGTTGGTTACCAGGGCGTCAGCACCTGCTTCCGCGGTCACCACACCTGGACTTGTGTTTGCAATGGCAGGGTTGATAATTGCCTTGTGACTTTGTACGGTCTTAACCTTTGCCTTTGACTTGATGTGCTGTTTCATCACGGGCAAAGCTGGAAACACGTGCGTGGGTTTCAGAGATAGGGCCATTGAATAGCAAGGGAGCACTCCAGGGCTGGTGTAGGAGTTGCCTCTTGAACTCGGAATCCTAATCGGTTAAGGCAAGATAACCAAGGCGCCTGGTGGTGGTAATCTGTCAATGCTGCCCGGAGACCTGATTAGGATTGTCCTCGGTAAGATCCTGATCAATGGCTCTAGCAGACGAGGCCAAGAGGGATAAGGGCCGAATGTCCATCTCAACATAGGCGAACCTAGTATCGGGCATATGCAGAGTGGTTGGTCCGCATAGGTGAGCCAGTCATGCGATTTAAATCACCGTCCTGAGAAATGTGCTTTATACCAGGCTTCCAAAGCATAATGGGAAAATTAAGCCTCCTGTAACGAGGCGCCTTAAATGCCACAGTGAGGGACAATTTGGATAAATCATCATCCAACGCCAATATTAAATCTGAAAGCATGGGATCCGTTGGAATGGATGTAGGGGAAGACCAAATTGTTTCCCTTTTATCAACATTCAGACCCGGGTGCAACCTGTCCGCTATCCAATCCGGCACTTGGTTTAGTCCCAGGTGCATGTCTAACTCCAACACGGTCGACTCAAAGGAAAAGCCAACTGAGCTCGTCTAAGAGTCCAAATGATAGTTGTATTGTTGTCAAAGAAGGGACAACTACAGGACCGACGTCTGGAGTGAGAGGACCTGGAAGTACGACGGAAAGACCCAGGAGAGACAGAGCCACATTTATGAGACTGACGAGGCGTCGTGGCGTCCTCTAAAGGAGCAAAGCACGGACGAGAAGTAGTTGGAAATATTGGCAATAGAGGTGTGTGTATATGCTGCATAAAATGAGCTATTAGCACAGGTGCGGAAGCCAGTGGCACCAGAGGTATACTGATTGATGGTTGAAACAAAGGAGGAGCCATAGGGCGCTATAGCCCTGGAGTAATGGTGCCGTAGTTGGTGATAGAAGCACCTCAGTGTGATCCAAGTGGTTTATGGGAGAAAATATGATATATAGAGTAGAATGACACACTTAAAAGGCCCAGAATAGAAAAGTATTTAGCACATGAACAAGATAGGCATATTGAATTATCAAAGTACAAGACATGTAAACATGACGTGGCATGACAAGGTGGTAAAACAAGATGGCGGATGGTACAACACACACACAAAGTACGCGCTGGGAAAAGCCAAAGTCAGGCAACAATTACCCTAAGGTAGGCTTGATAAGACCATCCAAGTACACCAGACCAAAAATACACAATTGAGAACATATTGGTTATCAAAGGATAAGCAAAGGGATAAGCAAAGGGAAAGGCAAAGGATGCTATCTGGTTCTTTAAACTGGAGAGCTTTATTCTCATACGTCTGTTCAGTCCGATGACTAGCAGTGATGTGATTATACGTGACCTCGCCACTTCCAGTCTCGTGTTAGCTGTTGGAGAAAGGAAGCCATACAACTGGTTGATAAGGTAGTAATGCAGGATAAGACAAAAAACATCAACATTTACTCAGTCTTTATTCCTACTGTTGGGGTGGTAAATGTTCCACAAGTGTTACATGATAACAGAAATTTAAACATGGTGTTTACTCCTACCGTGGTGCTGGCAAATGAGGTGGTTTGTCCCTCCTTCGTCCCCGGTCCTCCATCATGGGGCCTGGTCGTCCAGGTTTTCCTGGCGGACCTGTTGGTCCTGGAGCCCGCTTGTCGGGACTTCTCTGTTTGGATTTGACAGTAACAGCACTTCGAGGTTGATCACTGGAACGTACAAAAGGACAATATCAAAAATGTGTGTCTAACATGGTATACATTTACAGTGAAAATATGGATACAGCCATAATTTGACTTATCAAACATGCCTCTTAGTGACAGTCTCATTCTCGCACAATTCTTTCATGTTCTTGATATAATCATTACCGTTATTATTCATATCAGTAAACTCACAGCATAGCACAACCTCAACCTCAACTCAAATTAATCATAATCAACTGAGAAATTTCTTTGTGAAATTCCATAAAACAGAAGGACATAAAAACAAGTAAAGACACCTATTGTATTTCATATCATTGCTCAAAATCATATTACAATCTATTGTTCAAAAACATATTTTTTTATGATTATTTCAGAAGAGTGACCTTGACCTCCACTCTCAGCAAATTACTTCATTGAAAATGTCTAGTTGGTGTCATCAACATGTCTTCAAACAATACTGCCAATACATGCTCAATGAAATATTTCTTTAAATGGGGGAAGGAACTTGACATTTGACACAGTCTATGCACAAACATAAATTTTCATGCTGAAAGCATCCAATCTCATTAAAATCAGATCTTCATTCTCGCTACCGCTAAACAAAGATCTGAGGACATCCCATTAGGGTTCACGTCAGAACGACCTTTCATCTGACCAATCAGAGCATCGCTTTCCAGATCATGAAAGTGACAGTCGGAATGTGATTTTCAATCTTGCAAGTCTTGAGAACTTTAACACGGGGTATTCCGAATGATAGTTATGGGTTTAACGACTGAATCCAGACCATCTAATAGCCATTCCAAAATGTTCTTTTGTTCAGGTTTCAAATTTTTAATCGACAATTTGTCAAAATATGTTTCGAGGCGTAGTCGCCAATTTGAAATTAGTGCCGTAAAGCACGAGAAAGCTGCCTTCTGATTGGCTAATATTTCTTTATGATTATTTCAGAAGAGTGACCTTGACCTCCACTCTCAGCAAATTACTTCATTGAAAATGTCTAGTTGGTGTCATCAACATGTCTTCAAACAATACTGCCAATACATGCTCAATGAAATATTTCTTTAAATGGGGGAAGGAACTTGACATTTGACACAGTCTATGCACAAACATAAATTTTCATGCTGGAAGCATCCAATCTCATTAAAATCAGATCTTCGTTCTCGCTACCGCTAAACAAAGATCTGAGGACATCCCATTAGGGTTCATGTCAGAATGACCTTTCATCTGACCAATCAGAGCATCGCTTTCCAGATCATGAAAGTGACAGTCGGAAAGTGATTTTCAATCTTGCAAGTCTTGAAAACTTTAACACGGGGTATTCCGAATGATAGTTATGGGTTTAACGACTGAATCCAGACCATCTAATAGCCATTCCAAAATGTTCTTTTGTTCAGGTTTCAAATTTTTAATTGACAATTTGTCAAAATATGTTTCGTGGCGTAGTCGCCAATTTGAAATTAGTGCCGTAAAGCACGAGAAAGCTGCCTTCTGATTGGCTAATGTCGACTTCTTGTCAGTCCTTCTAAAGGTCGGTCAAAGTTTGAGCAAGGTCAGTCTGACGTGACCCCAAATGGGATGTCCTCAGATCTTTGTTTAGCGGTAGCGATTAGCGAAAACTAAGATCTGATTTCAATGAGATTGGGAAGCATCAAACTGAGGTCTTAGTCGCCTCTTATGACAAGCATAGTCACCTTTTACGGAAAGCATGGGTTGCTGAAGGCCTATTCTAACCCGGATCTTCACGGGCCTACCTAAGTTAGTATTATAAGTTAATATTCTAGCTACATCACGCTGGCCTGTAAATGATCAAGTCTGGCATAGTTTACTGAGGACCAGTTAAAACCCAGAATACCCATGGGAGTACTGATAATGACCATTCAACCATTTACTGTACCTAACGTAAAGACGTTCACTATACCCAATGTAAAGTCATTCACTGTCCCCTATGTAAAGTCATTCACTGTCCCCTATGTAAAGACATTCACTGTACCCTACGTAAAGACGTTCGGTATACCCAATATGAATTCATTCACTGTCCTCTACGTAAAGACGTTCACTGTACCCTACGTAAAGACGTTCACTATACCCAATGTAAAGTCATTCACTGTCCCCTATGTAAAGACATTCACTGTACCCTACGTAAAGACGTTCGGTATACCCAATATGAATTCATTCACTGTCCTCTATGTAAAGACGTTCACTGTACCCTACGTAAAGACGTTCACTATACCCAATGTAAAGACGTTCACTGTCCCCTATGTAAAGTCATTTACTGTACCCTATGAAAATTAACTCACTATACCAGTGTATGAAACTCCCAAAAATTTCAGCCAGACCACAGGACTGGCTAGCTGAAATACTTGCCAGCCCTGACCAAAACCTGCCTGCTCACTATAATCATATGTTTCTCAGGATAAGCTAACGGGATTTCTTTTTGGTTACATTTTATCATTCATCTTTACATGTGAATTAATGATTATCATGGGGAAATATTTAGAATATTGTCGCATATGAAATATAACCCGACCGTCGGGCAGGGGGATTTGAAAATCTGGCAGCCCGAGTTGAAATCAACCCGTATCGGACGGTCGGGCAGGCAGGTATTTCGAACACTGACTATACCCTATGTAAAGTCATTCACTGTACCCTATGTTAAGTCATTCACGGTACCCTATGTAAAGTCATCCACTGTACTCTATGTAAAGTCATCCACTGTACCCAATGTAAAGTCATTCACTGTACCCTTGGTAAAGTCATTCACTGTACCCTATGTAAAGTCATCCACTGTACTCTGTAAAGTTATTCACTATACCCAATGTTAAGTCATTCACGGTACCCTATGTAAAGTTATTCACTATACCCTATGTAAAGTCATTCACTATACCCTATGTAAAGTCATTCACTGTACCCTATGTAAAGTCATTCACTGTACCCTATGTAAAGTTATTCACTGTACCCAATGTTAAGTCATTCACTGTACCCTATGTAAAGTCATTCACTGTGCCCTATGTAAAGTTATTCACTGTACCCTATGTAAAGTTATACACTATACCCAATGTTAAGTCATTCACGGTACCCTATGTAAAGTTATTCACTATACCCTATGTAAAGTTATTCACTGTACCCTATGTAAAGTCATTCACTGTACCCTATGAAAAGTCATCCACTGTACCCAATGTAAAGTCATTCACTGTACCCAATGTAAGGCACTAGTATACCCTATGTAAAGTTATTCACTATACCCTATGTAAAGTCATTCACTGTACCCTATGTAAAGTCATTCACTGTACCCTATGTAAAGTTATTCACTGTACCCTATGTAAAGTTATTCACTATACCCAATGTTAAGTCATTCACAGTACCCTATGTAAAGTTATTCACTGTACCCTATGTAAAGTTATTCACTGTACCCTATGTAAAGTCATTCACTGTACCCTATGTAAAGTCATCCACTATACCCAATGTAAAGTCATTCACTGTACCCAATGTAAAGTCACTAGTATACCCTATGTAAAGTTATTCACTATACCCTTTGTAAAGTCATTCACTGTACCCTATGTAAAGTCAATCACTGTACTCTGTAAAGTTCTTCACTGTACTCTATGTAAAGTAGTATGATTCAAGGGAACAATACAGAAGTCAAGGAAATGAGACATACCTGTTCTTGGAGGGTGGAGGCACTTTTCTCTCATCAGAAGTGGGCCCTTTTCTACCAGTACTACAACAAAATGTACCACACAATTGATGTTAAAACTTTTTGCATAAAAAAATCTCTTCCAACCTTATACCTTTTTTGAAATACTACATGGTAATGATGCTGTATGACTCTGAAGGACCATTTAAACAAGATGGCTCTACTGTACACGTCTTGTTGAGGAGAACTTACGAAGATTTTGAGGGTGGCAGCTGTTTCTTCTCTGGTGGTGGTGGACCCGACTTCCTCGAGCCTACTGGCCGTGGGGAGGGAGATCTGTCAAACATAGCACATGTACCATCACAATAAGGAAACACTCATCCTACACTTCTTCAACACCTCACAAAAACTGCATCAAACATATCTGTTTACGATAAACTATTAATCAGGTGGCCATATAGGTTGCAAGAGTATATGAAAAATATTCATTTATATCTAAATGAGACAAAATCTAAAGGTATTTAAGTCAATTGAAAACCATATTAATTTAAAATGTACATGGATGTCAAAACTTTCAAAATAAAACTGGACTAACTTGGTTTAAGTAGTTCAAACTCCAAAAATGGAAGCTGCAAATTAACACAACTAACAATACAAGATGCTATCTGCATGTGTCCTGCACTCACCTCGAGCTGAATGATGATGAGCGACTGTACGATGAGCGACTACTACGGGATGAAAATGAAGAGGATCGTGATCTGGATGAAGAGTAGGAACTGAAAGACAATTTGATAAAAAAATATAAAATGTTGCTTCTTTCACCTAAGCTATGATAATTTTAATTTCTGTGAAATTAAATCTCAATTTTCACAACAGCCATTTGAGTTACATGCAACAAAAGGAGTGTGGTTAATTTTCACACAAAATATAAATTCTAAACACCCCCTAAGTAGCAATTGGCAATATCTGGCAACCTGGTATGGTGTGTGCACAGTTTCAAGAAAGAGTACCTATTAGCTTTAGAGATATGGTCCAGACAATATCTCCAGTGTTTTAGTTATGCCCCCGTTTCAGCTAAGTCTAACTTGTTTCCATGGAAACAGGGGGAAAATCAAATTTGGAAAAATACCTATATAGCAAAAGGCACCACTTCAGGCCTTGGCCAATACATGTACCAGGTTTGGATAAAAAGTCTAAGTCTGTTTGATATGTCTGCCAAGTTTTGTTGAAAAATATTGAACGTTTTTTTTTAGCTGTGCTCTGGAAACACCCCCTGATGAGACTAAGTACATATTGTTTTCATGGAAATCAAGAAAAATATAAATGCCAAAAATCTGTAAATAGCAAAAGGCACCACTTCAGGGCCTGTTTGATTTACTGCCAATTTTTGCTGAAAAATATTTAACGGTGTTCGAGCTCCAGAAACAAAATGATCACAGACGGACAGACAGACAAGGCGTCAACCATATCCCCCCCGCATTATATCCCAGGGGAATAAAAATCCTACATTTCATTGCCCTGTTAATTCTTTAATAATAACTTGCAGTTTTGTATAAATGTCTTTTGCAGCAAGATAGTGATATTGTAGAACATCTGAACCTGTTAAATATTTCATATTTTTTTAACATTAGTCATAACGCATGAAGTCACACTCTTGCCAATATTTAATAATTTAAACCAAAATAATAAATAGCCTCACTATCATCATTCCTTTACGTGATTAAAACATTAACATCCTAATGATTTCTGATCCCACCCACTAAAACACACCTTGATGAATGAGATGATACACTGTAAGACCGTCGTCTTCGTCTCCCGCGAGAATGACTTCGGGAACTACGTCGTTTCTGTTTTGGAGACTTTGACCTGCACAAGGAGAATGAGAAGACATCTTTACATCTGGCCAGAATCTTACATGCCATTACAGCATTTAATACAATGAACATGCACCCATAATGACCTGTCAATAAGGACAGCGTCAACAAATCATTTTATCATTTTCAACACATCTTTCAAGAAAACTCTGAGCAGTAAAGGGAAGTGGGTAATAAGATTGCCCCACCTCATTGGTAAATGTGCAGCCATATATTGAATAAGGGTTAACTAATAAGCAAAAGTCACCTAAGAAAATAGAATACATACTGGTTAAGATATGACATTTTCCTCATGTCAACGTATAAGTGAGTGAGCCAGGTTAAATCACTACTAGCAATCTGTCCAGCAGTATCAAATAAGGGTTAAATCTAAACATCAAGTTAGAAAATGTTTTGCTTATGTTTATAACAAACACACTCATAACGAACTGATGGACAGGGTTAGAAACTAACAGCTTTCGTCCACCAGTCCTTATAATGATAACATATAGCAAAATCCTTAAAAAGGACCAATTTCTACTAGTCCTATGATACCTTTGCCATTTGGCAGTTTGGCAAGGACTACAGGACTAGTGCCAATTTCTAACGCTGATGGATATAACGTACTGTTGTTTGGTCCGGGCATTTGCTGTATATATCCTGTATACATGTTTAAAATGAACTATGGTTATAACAAACTAAAATTAGTGGCCCTTTTGAGTTCGTAATAACCATTGTTTACTGTATCTACAATCTCACCTCTGCCAAGGATCGTGCCACTCATCTGCACGGCCCCGAGGCATCTGGGCTGGTGGAGGAGGCTCCATTCTGTTGTCCCGGTACTTGTCTCTCCGTTCATCCCGGGTACGAGGTGGTGTGTCGAACCTGCCACAACAAGCAGTTGTCTATGAACACTACCTCGGTACACAAGCTTATTTTCATCAGGATACATTATATCTACTACTAGCACATAGACCTTGGATAAAGATGTTGATGATTCTGCATTCATGGTCTATTTTTCAAAAATCTGTACATACTTAAGCTACTGCTTAATAAACTTGTCTGTTCAGATCATAAACTTACATCTGACGTTCCAATCGCTCAATTCTATCAAGTGGAGGACTGTAGCGGCGTTCTTTAAAACGTTCACGTTCCTTCTCATGCTGTAAATCAAAGACATGCAGTGTTAATGTGTTGGGCAATTTATCTTCTGGTAAAAATATCTCTTGCAAATCTTTTAGCCATCCTCATTTCATGAACAAGAGGACCATGTCATCAATAACCCCTGTTATGGTAAATCTTTGTTGTGATAAATATATGAAACTTGTTGCCATGGAAACTCAAAACTTTATTGCTTAACAAAAAACAAACTAGAATGTGTTTTTACACATAAAAACATATATCTACCCCCTCCTTTTTTAAACATAAGTTTAAGTTGTTACTGTAAATGTGTTTGCAAATCCAAACAAGAATCATCAGATGATGACAAATGCCCCCGGTCCCAACAAACTCAAAAGAACAAATCATCTGACTGTTGCATAACAGGAATATGTTGGTTTTTTTAAACTCCTAAATAGCAAAAGGCACAACTTTAGCCCTTGATTAATACATTACCAAGTTTGGATGAAAAATGCTGAACAGTTTTTTAGTCCTTCTCCGGAAACAACACCTATGTCCGTTTCAGATGTCTAACTTGTTTCCATGGAAACAGGGAAAAATCAAATTTTGAAATATTCCTTAATAGCAAAGAGCACCACTTCAGCAATTGTTTAATACAAGTACCTGGTTTGGATGAAAATTCTTTCACAGTTTTCAAGTTGTGCTCCAGAAACAACACCTATCCCCACACTTTTTACACAAAGTCAAAACTGTTTCCAGGGAAATCAAGAAAAAGAAAAATGCTGCAAAAGGCACTACATCAGGATCTGTTTGATATATCTGCCAAGTTTTGTTAAAAGATATTGAACATTTTCTGAGATGTGCTCTGGAAACGAAATGATTACAGATAGATGGACGGACGGACGGACGGACAGGCAAGGCATCGCCAATATCACCCCCAAATCATGCCCAGGGTGGTATAAAAAAGGCACTTTATTCATAGCTCAGATTTTTCTTTTGAGGCTGTTTGAAATGAAGGTTAGTCTATTTGCCCTGAAACTAGTGTGATACTCTGTCAAGAGCACTTGTCTGATCCCTAAATCTAGTTACACTCACCACCAGTACAAGTTGACCAGGGGACAGGTTAAACTCAACTAAGTGTCTACCTTTGCAATTTAATATAAGTTTGTTTTTTCACTGACTTAAAATGATCCATCTGACCTGCAAAAAACTGCATATTAAGAAAGAATATCTACATCTTTATTCTTTGCTTCTGTCAAAGTATTTGCACATCAATTAGAAAACAGTTCTTCCATATTTCTGACTGTCCAACCCAACTCTTTCTTTATCCTAACCATGTTGAAATTTTTTTTTACGCCATGATCAGCAATATTCCAGCCATATCAGGCCTGTGTGCCAGTAATTAAAAGAGACTGGGCCAGGATGTTCCCAGTACCCACCCTGTATGGAGAGAATTCCTGTTCCCTTGTCCATCGAACTTCAAAGTTCTCGTATGACCCAGCCTGCCAGCCATGGACCTGAGACTTCCCATAGTACTCCTCATCATCATATCTGAAATAAAGTTACCATATTACCCAATGTTTTCTTTTTTAAAAAACATATTTGATTCCCCAAAAGACATAGGGATTGGGCACAAGTGCACCACTTATTGACGCCTTTCCTACAGATAGCACATTGTTCATGATAATTCAGGGAATTGTGTGAATGTCTTTTCTTTTGATGATCAAAACAATACATCAAGTTTATATCAAGTTTAAATATTCAAGTGAAAAAAAACCACACTGACCATACCCAAAAATAAGTGCCCACACTCTGAGAATCAGATAAAAACAAAACTACTACAACAAATTGTAAAATCTTTACTCACTGGTCATAGTAGGGATCCTTCACATACTTGTTCCTCTCATTCTCCTTGTTCACCTCGCGCTCCTCATCAAGGGACAAGTTCATACGCTTCTCCTCAAAATTGGTCTCCTGTTCTTTCCTCATGTTGGCCTTTTTACGCATCTGTAACCACGGAGACATCAAGTGTGAGAGCAGTTGTTCTACTTTGTATGACGTGTCTTGCACAACCATTTGTAGGATAAGTCTAACACAAAGGATATTTCATGTATGAACACATAATGTCATTTAGAAAGTTGTCAAATGTAACAAATGTTATATTTGGGATAACACTTTCTTCTTAAAGTAGAGATTCTCGTACTTTTTTCGGTTGAACCCCCTCCGGGATTCCACTTCCACACCGCCAGATCGAGGCACCTAATTGCCAGAACACAGTCAGCGATCTAACCTACTCAGCCTTGGTGAGAGTACGAGAATCTGTACTTTACCAAGAAAGTGATATCCCAAATATAACACTTGTGATATTTCATGTGTCAAGTGAAATACATTTCTCTCATCGAGTGACGGGGGGAAAGGAGATATTTTCATAGCCACTCTTGAAAAATATCTCGAGACACATGGATTATCCTAATTATAATATACCTAACATGCAAGGACGTTACAACATCCCTTGTAATTGCGACATAAAAAGTAGTTCCATGTTTACAAAATCTTAAAAAATATAAACAACAGTAAAAAAAAATATTTAGGGTGATGAAAATACTTTATCATAGATTTGGATAAGATTATATACAAAATCATCTTAAACAAAAAGTATTCTGTTGGAAGTGAAAGAATACATGCTGGTCAAGAAACAAAAAAGCCACTTTGTGAAACGAACGAATTAAATGCGAAATTGGTAAACTCTAAATATTTTTTACATTTGGATATTTATCCTGCATTACTACCTTAAAGCTTTTACAACTGTTCTTTACTAGGAAGACAGAGCAGTCAGAGGTCCTGGCTGCAGAAATTGTTGTACCAACCAGTTGTGTGACATATGCCCTCCCTAAGCTACCACATGACCGGAAGTAGCAAAGTCACGTATAACCACATCACTGTAGCAAATCGATTGGGTGGGTACTTTAGTAATGCAGGGTAAATATCCAAATGTAAAAAAATATTTAGATTTTTCTTATAAATTATCCTATCTTGGATTACTACCTTTATGCATTTTTATCAGACGGAACAGATGGGGGCAGATGGAATTTCAGGACCAGTCTTGGGAGCCAAATAGCATCCTGAGCGGGAAAAAACGGAAACCACACACCTTCCTGTGTGAAAGAGCCACACATATAAGAGTAGGAGGTGTGAAATCCAGTCATGGAAAGAGGAAAAGTAGAAAAGGATGTCCGCCAAGTTCGAAATTCCTATTCAAGCAGCAGGAAATATGAAACCCTCTGGACTGGGGTAATTTCTAGCAGAGAGGTTGTGAGGTCATTTCCGCGATGTTAAATTCAAGACTCTCCGGGGTTCATGACCTGCTGCGCCACCACCAGGGGACTGAAAATATGAACACCTTACACATATTTAAGAGCACATATCGGAGATAACGACTGGCCAAGATAGTATCCAAGCGCCAAAACAACCCTCCATGATGGATTGGATGGAACAAGAGCCATTGTTGAAGCAAGGGCATGGATCTCATGGGGCTTGTTGGCTCTAGGCGGGTCCATACCAGCTAGGTCGTACGCCTGCAGGATAATGGAGGGCAGCTGTAGTGAGATAGTGTTACGACTAACTTCCGTCTGGGATGGAGGCAAGACCATTCGTTTCCGAGATCCACGTTGTGTCTAGGATTGATCAAGGAAAACCCTTAAGGCTCTAACTGGGCACAGAAGTCCACATCCTTGGAACAGAGGAACGGTAAAAGATCTGTCCATCAGTCCTGGGAGTTGATTTGTAGCTCCACATGTCATAATACAGAGTATGTGTCGAAGGTCTATGTGCTAAGGCAATGGCTTCGTCGCTTCGGGGCTGGGTGTGGCAACTGACTGTGGGGATGTACCAGTAGATGTGGCCACCCTCGGAGCTCAAGAGGGTTGTGACTGGCGATGTCGCAAATTCACGAACCAATTTCGTGCCAGCCACCAAGGTGGCAGTCTGGTCCTCCAGATGTGCTGACAAACAGGTGGAGTGTGGGCTTGAGCGCTGTCAAGGAGACGCCATCACAACTATTCAATGTCCACCAACGAAGACAAGGGCGGAGGTGAGTCGGGAGCCCATGGAGGCATAAGGGTTCTGCTAATGAATAAACGGGGACAGAACCTGCAGTAACAGGCGTAGTTGGCCTCTGGACATCAAATCCTGAGCAGACGTGAGAAGGCCCATTAATACCTGCCATTGACGCAGTGTGCGAGCTTGGTGAGGGCAGGAAGGAGATAGTTAGTGCTGTATTTTGTGCCACCTGTTATTGGGTACCAGTAGGAGATCCTGGTCCGTGCAAAACAGGCCGCCTATGAATTGCATTTGAATGTCGGAGTGAGTTCCGACTTGTTCTCGTTGAATTTCCGCGTGAATTTCCTGTGAAGGAGGAGGGTTTCTGGGGCCTGATGATTTAGTAGACAGTCGTCAATGTAATACTCGAACTGAATGTTCCTCTGGTGCAGGTATGCGATAATTGACTTGGAAATCCAGTTAAATAACCACGGGGCTGTGGAAATGCCAAATGAGAGGACTACCCACTGGTAGTGGATACCCTGGAAAAAGAACCTGAGGAACTTCCTGCACCTGTTTGGTGATCTCGTAAGCCTGAAAGATGACAGCGCATAACCATGGTGTTGCGACTAACTTCGGTCGTGGACGTAAGGGATACAGGTATGAATCACTGTTTCCTCAAACCATGCCTAGTCTTGGAGCAGCAGATGAAAACTCATACATCGCGCACCGGACACAGGAGTTCACCCTCATCTTCAAGTCCCACAATCCTTGAAATTGGTGGGATAGTGATGGAACAATCAGGTTGGCCTGGTAATTGATTTTTGCTACCATGCTCAAAACGGTTGTGATTTCCCGGAACGACTAACACTGAATTAAACACTACCAATTACATTGTAATATTGCTACGCTGTAAGTGTTTTTAATACACAAGTGTAGGAGGTATTCAGCTAGGAATTGAAGTGACGATGGATCTTGATTTTTTGCCTTGCCGTGCTGTTGTCAGTGAATATTGTGAGTTGGGTGGACTGTAGCCGCTCCTGCCAATGTGAGATGGCCAGAATGAGCACTTCCAAACTCTAGATTGTTAAAGCACCAATTCTGTTGTGCGCCGGACCACAACCCTGAGGCTGTCTGGCCTTGTGAAAGAGCACCCCAGCCAGGAAACGTCTACAAACAGGTGTTAATTCGGGGATAGTCCGAATAAGGAGACGTTTGACTATCAATCCTCAGTTGAGATGGTAGAGTGATAGCTGCATACAGGTCTTGGAAATTGATGTGCGCAAACCTTGCAACACTTGCCACTGACAAGAGTATATGTGGCTGTTGAATAGCGGGTAACAAATTGTTGTCTACAACTATGATAGCCGCACAAATGCTCCTGTTCTTATATTGAGGTGACAATGAAGTGAGGAGTATCATACTCCGTGTCTGCCTCGATATTGTGCATGTTGATACCAGTGGTCTGCTGAAGATCGTGACTCGGTCACATTCACATTGCAGCATCACGTACCATATTTAAATCACCCTGCGCATTAATTAACCTCAAATCCCGTAATATGCTGGAGGTGAGGTACGAGCACCACACAACAGACAGTCCACAGTGAACTGTGTGGTAAACAGTCAAGTGGTGTTTCTGAGTTCTGTGTAGGACATGCGACTTTAGCTGGTGTATGCGCAAAATTGATCTACCTGAAATTTGTGTACGCCTGGTGCTGCCTGTACAATGACCCCCATAGAATGGTACCCGGCAGCATATGACGATTCTGTCCCATGTCCAATCTTGAAGGTGTGAAGTTCTTCAAGTTTGGTACAATTGTCTTCCAGACAATTGTCACGAAACAAATTCAACGAGAGTACTGACACCTCTTTGTGCAATTGTTTAACCAACAGAATTGGTGCGAAAATTTATATTCCAGTCGCTGCCGAATGTTGAGGAAAAAACAAACCTTTGTTGCATGCAGGAAATGTTTACCACAGTTGTAAGTGGTTTAGACAGTTGTCTTTGGTCTCAATCAGATCTTGTTGTAAAACCCAAATTGGGAAAACCAAGCTTAAGTGATATGAGCCTTGTGGTTTGCCTCTGCAACATCCTTTACCTTGAAAGGAAATCTGGTACTGACCTTCCTTGAGTGATGAGCCTCTTGGCTTATAATTGCCCAACCTGCCTGCACGCTGGAAGAAAAACTGAGACGCATGTTTCCAATGCCTTGAGTGCGGTCTCATTAGGGACCTTAGCGTTAATATCTGTGACTTGCTCATTGAACAGTACGCTAGATGACTATGGTGAATTGCCAGGTGAAGGTGATTTGCCATCAAGGTCACATGACAGCGGCAATGGTCCATGCAAAAAGTAGGAGTTGAAAACGGAAACATCTTTTTTTCACCCAAGACCATCACTGAGCACTGTCTTTGTTATCGTAAGGTAAGCAGTGAATGCAGTCAGGAGTAAAGCAGGATAAGTAAAAAATTAAGGCTTGAAAAAAAACAAGAAAGAAGTGAGCAAAGCTCACATACCCCCTGTTATCCCCGCTGGTCAACAACAAATAGTAAATAGTTTGTTAATTGATGAAATATACCTGTTGCTTTAAGTCAGAGGAACTGCCCTTTCCTTTGTAACCCCATGAGGATGCATTATGTTTGAAATGAACTCATGTTTTTGCAAATATATTTCAATCTAGTGTGGGATAATCAATGCTTAGCACAACATACATTCTTGATGTTTCTAATGTGTCCATGAAAACGGCAAAAATTAAAAAATTCAGAATCTTCAAACTAGCAAAAGGCACAAGTACTCATTGTGGTAAATGGGTGTAGCACGTTTAGTGAAGCTAAGGTGCATGGTTAAAAAGATATAGGCTGTACAAAACACCCACCCTAAAAGTTTAAGTTTCTTAATGTTTCCATGGAAACGGCAAAAATTAAAAAGTTCAGAATCTTCAAACTAGCAAAAGGCACAAGTACTCATTGTAGTAAATGTGTGTAGCAAGTTTGGTGAAGCTAGGATGCATGGTTAAAAAGTTATGGGCCGTACAAAAGTTCGGACGGATAAAGGATGGACAGACGGAAGGCTACATACCCCCGATTTACTATAATAAAAGAATTGGTTCTCAGGCAATGTATCTGAACTTACATTTGTTATCCATTAAAACAACTTTTATCAATATTTCATTCAATTCTGTTTAATCAATTTCGGTGAAATCATGTATGCAAATCACATCAACTCACCATGAACCTTGAAACGAACATTAGACGAGATACATATCTTCGGTCTCCCTATCACTGTATCAAATATTCTTTTCAGTTATGATATTGGCCATGACATTAAGTATTTTTTAGATTAATTCACCCAGGTAGGTGTGAAAATGTGTGAACAGCTGATTACTATTTCCAGCTTATTTTATGTTTGTTTGTTTGTTGTTTAACGTCGCACTCAGCAATATTCCAGCTATAACGAAGGCGGTCTGTAAATAATCCAGTGATTGACATCATCAGCATCGATCCACGCAATTAGGATATGATGACATGTATTAACCAAGTCAGCGAGCCTGACCAATCAATCCATAACCATAACATGAAATGCACAGTAAAGCAGTATGTATGTAAAGGAAAGTAACTGCATTCTATATTGGATCTCATTGTTTATAAGTATTGTAGCATTCCATAGCCGGGGTCGTGTGTTAGAGACATGGAATATTTAAGGATTTTGGGGGGGAAAATGGAAATAAAAACGAAACATGAAGCAGACGGTATGATGATGTGGGCTGTGCCTGAGAATCAAGACTATCATTTTTATAGCCCAGAAAAGAAACGTACATAGCACATGAACAAGAGCTGACATAAGCATATTGAAACATCAAAGCACAAGCCATGCAAACATGATGTGGCAAAACATGGATGTGGATGGAACATCAACGTGTGGAGTAAGCGTGGGAAGGAGCCAAAATCAGGCAACAATCAAAATTTCAAACCTAACAGATCGAATTGAATTTGTGGAGTTGCTGCTTACCTCCTTTGCATGCCTCAAGCCTCTCTCCCAGGCTGACTCTGTCGCAGGGGGTTCCGGAGGAGGGGGAGGTAACTCCGGTTCTATACCAGGCTGAAACAACCATATTGCAGCTATACACAAACACTGTCAAACAGCAACAACAGGAGCAGGAATCAGATGTTCTTTCCAGACATATTACCATGTGGAGACTTGACTGTATAGTGATTATTTATAATACTATAAAAGTCATTCTAATTCACATTTGACAGTCAATGGTTCACAAAAGGAACCATCTCCCTAATAAAGTTGCATGAATAAAATAAACAATAGTTTTGACTTCAGAGCCTGAACTGGAACTTGCATCTATGAAAATGTCAAAAATTGAATACATTGAAAATTGAAAAGTAGTATATATACTAAAGGCATAAATAGTAATCTAATGAAGTGTATGAGATATTGTATGTATGTTTGTTCACATACATATGTGTGAGTGGTTTTTTTATATACACATTTATGCATATGTAATATATTATAATGATTATTAAATTCACTTCAATAACATGTTGCATTCAATGCACTGTATGAACTTCATCTGTGAAAAAGCATAAACACATAAAAGACTCTTTGAGATATGATCTCAAACCAGTATGAGGATATACAAATGGACAAGGAAAGAAGTGATGGCTAACATTCCATGCTGAGTGAACTAACCTCTGGACCCCAAGTTGGTCCAAGCCGTCCCAGCACACCACCATTGTAGCCTGGCGGTTCAAATAACCGGTAGTTGCCTGAAACACAAAAACGATATACAGTGATTGCTCGATATACCACTGACGTCACACTAGAAACGACGTCATACCTGAAGATTGCTGACATCGTTCGAAAAATTGTGGTTCCGCTGCTGTTGCGACTTGCTGTTCTTTCTCTGTATGTAGAATAAGAACATTATATTTGTGTTCATATCATACTATGTTTACGACATTCGTGCCTAAATTCCGATATTTCCCGAGCGATTTAGGCACTCATGTTGTAAACATAGTATGACATGAAAACTCATATAATATCCTCTATATATTACCCATATTATGTATGGGAAAAGCGTGATGAAACACTGGTTAAAGCGGTGGTTACAGCCAACTGAATGGTAGATGTAACTGTACATGCATTTCCAACACATTTATTTACTGTACTGTACGCCTGTTGCGTAGATGTATTCGCAGTGGCTGCCATGATAAAGGCTATACAAATTTATACCCTTTATAATTACACAATTTAAACAACGAAGTTTCAATGGGTTTTTTTTAGGTCTCTCACGATTAAATACCAGAAGCAATTGTTACTGTTGTTGTTATTGCATTACACGTGGTAGGTTTGAAGTTCGAAGACATCTCACGTGTTGTCTTACCAATCACAATAAGCTGAGATGAGTATCAAATTGAACAATGCAGCTTAAGTTTCTTGTTGCTATGATTTGATTTTAAGTGAGTATAATGCCAGATCTTTATACATAGTGTTTTTCACAAATGGAGCAAAATGCAGAATGGTTATGATCACATGCAGCCAGATACAATATATCATGAATGTAATTGTTTAACAAATACACACATGTGTACTGTGACTGGGAATTTAATCTCATCAGTTTAATTGTCACTTAATTTTCATAAGCATGCTTTTTTAAGGGAAATTCTTCATGAATTTTTGGGAGCCAAGGGTTACACCTTGCTGCATCTGGGCTAGCGGTACATCCAGGAGCGCTATGTCGAGGAATCACTGTACTTTGTCTTCCACTAAAAATAACAGATGGCTTCAACCATTTATCCTGCAGCCTGTTCAAACCCTCTTGAACCCACTAGCCCAAACATGGCTCTTAGCATCATGTTTTGTACATTGTAGTGTTATCATATGGACTACTGTTAGCTGATCTTACTGGACCAAACATAATTTTACTAGACTTCGAACTCTTGGCTAAAGCCGCAGACTGATACTGCCTTTCACACATATTACCTTTATCATTTATTCCAGGATGCAGGAAGCGACAGTTATTTCCCCATGTGCAATTTCCCTTGGTGAAAAAACGGCAGATAGGTTTCACAAATGGCCGCCTTCCTCCAGGCTCTCTTATCTCCCCTTCCTCACAATCTTCATCCTGGAAATACAATGTGTCACTTATCTGCCTTTGCTGACATCACTCGGACATGTTCTGAAACATCCTCATCAGTCTTGTTTTTTGTGAAATGCCTCAGCACATGTTTTAAAGTACAAGTGTATAATCAGCCTAAATAATATAAAAGAGAACCCCTTTAACCATGGTAACAACTTAGAAGGCATCTATTTTACATCTCCAAGTTTCAAAACTGCACATTTCCCCTTTGCAAATATAACATCAAGTATTAGCATGATTAGCATTATGTCCATGTGTCAGATTAGAAATTGTCAGCAATAGAATTCTGACGGCAATTCCTATCATACAAGGCTCATCATATCACATGGAACATCAACATCTGGTATTCTTACAAACAATGCATTATGGTTTAAGGGTTTACCTAGGTGTTCCCAGGAGCCAATATTTGGCACCAGGTGCACTGCAAAATTTGTAATTTAGAAGTATAATCACCCAAATCAGGTAATTACAAACATGACTAATGTTCTAGCTTCGCAAAAGTGACTTTCATTTCACTAGTATAAGGATCAATAATCAGAAAAAGGCTTTAATACTTAGTTTTCCATAACAGCATTGTATGTCATGTCAACCTCTGAAGTTTGGAAAATAATGACTTCACAAATATTCCTAATTTTCGACAAAACAATGAGTATATTCCAATTTGCCTGCAAAGGGCACTTACTGATTAGTTTAAAATACTAGATAAATCCATGTTATCATCATTTATGCTATCAGATATTGTGCTTACACTAGAATGAGGTTACATTGTCACTGCCACATAATTACAGTGGTAAAAGCACCTTCACAAAGTTCACCAAATTGCAGTATGATTCTAAAAACATTAGAATGTGTACAAAGAGTTACTCTAATAACATGACACTAACAAGGAAAGCAACCTATCAACTCACATCTTCAAGTTCGCCATCATCCTTTTCATCATCAGACGACGACAGTTCCCCATCCTGCTGAAAGATTATATCACACAATGCAAACCATGGTAAACTCTTGCACTTGCTGTGTATTTAATTCACACCATGTTCAAACAAGGATATAACTGTTCACATCAAGATCCTCGGTTCAAATGATTAATATTGCCTGTATCCTGGAGCAAACCCTAGCTTCAAGCATGTAATAAACTTCCTTATCTTACCTTGCATTAAGGTCCTCATTTCAGATTAGTTACTGATGGACAATTCTGTCCCACAATAAGTGGATGCTACAGTATTCTAGTGGGTTTGTTTGACTTGCTTGAGTCTAGAGTAGATTATACAACCCATCCCATGTTGGTTACCCTAAACATCCTCCTGTACTGAAATTTTGACTTAAAAATAAATGTGGACCTGTATTTCCCACGTAAGATGGAGTTGGTTATTATGTCATATTTACCAACACTGTAAATCATGAAGTAAATGAGTCACCAAATTAATCTGAATGTCAACCCTTAGCCTAAAATGTGTCATGAACTTATCATGCTTAATGTGAGTAACCCCTGCCTTTAAACTATAAAAAATAATCAGAACACAATAACACCAAGACACAGACTTAGAATTCCATAACATAGTATAGGGTGATATCGATTGAATAATATCATTGCCACCTTCACAAACTTAACTCCAACTGCTCAACGTGAAATCAAAAGTAGGAGGTTCATATGAGATTGTACAGATCCTAAGTGTTGCTATACAAGTTAGCACAATCCCTTGAATGTAAATGAGAGTGTTATAAATTCACAACAAATGCTTTTGTTTTACCAGATATGTTTAGTATGAAGGCAAGCAGTGTTTTGCTTGTAATTATAAGTGATTAGATTATCTGACAGGTTACCAAGAACAAAGACTCTGTCATACACGGTTGGCGAATGTCATAACAGCTTGATCAACTTTTGTAAACAAACTGACCACACTTGATGCAGAGTAGCACTGTCTAAATCTAGCACTCAATTGCAATGTTTATTGTGAGCTTTGTTATGTACAGTCAAGTCCCGTTAATCCAACATGGCTGGTTGCTTATGATTATGTCGGATTAATGAGTATGTCGGATAAAGGAAATTTGGTAGTATCAACGTCGTGATCGAAAACCGGACAACTACACGAAAGATAACGATACAAACACGTAATAGAAAATGAAGAATGAAATATTCATATTGTTATGTTACATTGTTAGCAAAAAATGTTTTCTAATCATGCAACCTCTAAAGCTTAACACAAAACAACTATTACGGACTGTATGACTGATTCGAAATACTTTAAAAAGCATGGTCTGGAATGGAAGTCGGCAGTTTGAAACTTGTATCGCAAAACTCAAGAAAGCTGATTTCTTACTGGCTAATACCATCTTCCTGTTAGTCATTGCATTGGTCGGTCATAGTTTGCGAAAGGTTGTTCTGACGTGACCTGTAATGGGGTGTCCTGGGCAGTAGTGAGAACTTGTATCTGATTTTAATGAGATTGAGGTAATCTAAGCATGTAATAAATCCTGTTTTGTTTAATTAAAGCATTCATTGTTTATTGGTAAGCAACCTTCTCTGCAGCCGTTGTAATAATTGACTCGTCTCGCATCAAAACACGGGCTGTGTACTCGCGGGCAGATGACCACAGAGTAAGCTGATCCCTGTGTCAGATTAACGAGACCGATTAATGAGTGATTTTGGTAATCCGTTGCAAATTAGGGGTGTCGGAGTCAGAATGCAAGACTGTCGGATTACAAGTCTAAATAGCACTGATTTAATTGGTTCCCATCATTAGTGTCGAATAAAGCTGATTGTCGGATTAACGAGACTTGACTGTATGTCATCGATTCTGGCCATTTGCATTGAACTTCAAATTACAATATACGCCAATATGTCCAAATAAAAATGTGTCACATTATTTTAAGGCAAGCAAGGGAAACTCGCTTTTTTTCACATAAACTTCAAGATTTAAAGTATTTCGTCAATATCGCAGCCAGGGCAGGCACACCAAACTAGGCTTCACACATTGTCTCCATGTTGGGAATCAAACCCTGGTCTTCAACATAACAAAGCAAAGCTTTGACTACCAGGCTATCCCATGATCCCTCAAAGGGCTTATGTTCCCATGGTTGCAGAAGTAGACAGTTAATCAGTTGGTCATGGTTACCATGGTTACAGGAGTGGATAATTTATCAGTCTATCACATTCAATGTAACCTGCAAGTCCAACATTATTTAATGAGGGTTATTGCACAGTGCAAAAATCAAACTCATCACACTACACGAAGAATTTTTTTTTCACTATTTCGGACACTATATAAAAAAATCATTAAAAAATTTAAAATTAAAGATTGTGTTTCTTCCAACTGAGTTTAATCATTACCGTAATGACAAAGGCAATGAAGATGGAAACCCTGTAGAACCCTTGTTTCATTTTCCTTATAACACAAGACAACAGATTCTTTCCGCACTTCAGCATCTTCAGTTATTTCTTCTCAATCAAATAGTTACAAATCCTAGATAGATAAACAAACCAAGGGTTTTAAATGTTTTTTTATCGGTAAACCCAGTGGGAAGTAATAGAGATCTTATGATTCTCTGACAGATATCCCTCTTATTCTTTGAATTTGATATTGCACTCAGTGCCCTGCAAGCAGAATTCACTAGCAACATGAGTAACCTCTGAACAAAGTGGACCCAAGTAATTAGGAATGACAGGGGTAGAAACAAACTGTGTTTGTTCATAGGCAGCAGTAGAAATTAAACCATTTAAGTTACTTGTCCTTATAATGTCAGCATTTTAGGAAAATCTTTTAGTCCTTTTTACACATTAACCAGTGTTTCAGATCAATTCATCATGTTCATTGTCTGGGACACTGACTGATTGTCATGATACATGTCCTGAAAATTTTTTCAATTTTGGTATTAATCAACTACAATAGAAGAATGTCCCATCAAAATTAGTAAATTTATCATGAAATGTCCAATTACATTTGTCTCTAGCAAAAGAGTGCTTAACCATTTGTCCCAAACAGGCCAGGTACCAAACAACTTTCTTCCTCACATTGTTCTGATTAAATGACCATCTACCTTCTCCGTTTAAGACAAAATGCCATATAAAAGGCTTAACAAAATCTTTTCTGCATTTGGTGTCTAATCATGCTGATGTTGAAACGACTATTTGATGTTTCAAAAGTAAAAAGAAAACCTTTTCATCTCCATCCTTTTGCCTGTCCTCATCTTCAACTGCTTCCTTGGAGTCATTGGCATGCCCATGCATATCATCACCTTCCTCTTCATCGTAATCTAGCTCAACATGCTCTTCATTGAAGCTGGTATTTGACTGCACCTTACCTGCTTTATCACTGTCTCTGTGGACAGGAGAAATATCATGACCATTAGGGATGGCTCTGGAATTGCGATTTTCACCTATGTCCTCAAATTTTCTAAGAGCATCTACATTTTCCACAGAAATGTTCCTCAAAATATCTTTTTCCGGGTCCCTTGAACTATGAACATCTGACTCTGGATCAATGTTACTTTGTGACACTTCAGAGCTACCAGATGTATCATTAGAAGGTGCACTGCTATGCTCTATTGAAGCCCTGGGTGAACTAGTAACAACACTACTATGTACAATGGGCACACTGACATCGCTTTCTGAGAATATTTGTGGTTTGTCAATACTCTGAGATACTTTGGAATCTGCATCAACCTGAGGTAAAGAATGCTTGTCATCATGCAGGGAAGATTCTGATTCTCTGACACTATCATCAGAATCTCTTGCCATTGCTTCCCTACAGCTGACAGCACTGTCACATACACCATCCTCGTTCTGTTCAGTGTTTCCTTCCATCAGGTCAAGAGAATACAGGTCCTCTTCTTCCTTTGAATCACACTGTTCCTTATTTTGATATTCAGCCACAGCTTCAGAAACCTTGTCAATAGATGGACTCTGAGGTGATGAAATGTGCCCTGAGCTGTCAGCATGTTGTCCATCTTCTATCGGGGCAAAAGAAGTTGCTATTGCATCTTCTTGGTCAACTGTGGAGTCTGCACCCAGGTCTTCTTGTTGAGGATAAACTGCAGAGTCATTTTCTGTCATAGATGATGGTTCTGGAGATGCTGGGGTGTCATCTCCCCATGTATTCTGTACACTATCACCTTCTTCTGGAACAGAACTTGCTTCACCTTGCTCAGAACCTTGGGTATCTTCTTTATCTTCCATTGCATCACTTGCTTCATGCAAATGAGAACTGGTCTCAGTTTGCAGTTCTTGAGGACTACCTGGACTCTCTTCGTCATGATCTGGACTAGGAGATATGGGTCCTTCCCCCTGCTGCATATCAACAGGTGATCTGATGTTTAAAGGTTGTTGCTGTTCAACAACAACTGGAAACTCATGTTCCATTGGAGATGCATATTGAGCTGGTGGTGACTCTGGGCTTTCTTCACTGTCACTCTCTTCAACACTTGCTTCATTTTCATTTAATTCAGCACTCTGAGCATCAGTTATCATAGATTCCTGACTTTTAGGATACTCCTCATCATAACCATAGTCACTCTGGGGTCCAGAGCTGGGTGACTTATCAGGAATAAGAGCATCAATGTCAATTGCTTCACCATCTTTGTCTTGTTCGGTCACATTTTCAGGTGATTGTTCCATTAACTCCACAGCTTCCATTTGGCTGGTAAGAAGTTCCCTGCATTGGAAACACAAGACAACATAAATACTAAGAATTACAATTTAGCAGGGACAGGCAATAAGGTGATGTGAAACATAAAAATACAGAGCAATTACGACCCGTTAAAAGTTTTAATTTGGCAGCATTGACAGTAAAATGACGCATAATTCATACACTCGTCTATCGTCATTTCATATCCTTCGACCAATCATGAAAATACTGACACAGTAAACAGTATGTCCAGACCTGATCACATCCACAAACCGTCTTGTCACACGTTTTCTGTGTCGATTCAAAGGAGACGCTTTCTCAGTCAAATTACGGAAAATAAATGAAACCAAATCCTCACCCGCTGGCGATTTCCTTAAACCTTGTCAATTCGACTCAGAAATGGCTATAATAAAATATGAGTTAGTATGAAATAGTATCCAAAAAGATAAAAATCCTGTAAGGCTAGAACACCACAGCCTCTGGTGTAGAGGCCGCCATTGTTCTACATTGATTGGACGAAACCAGTCATATGACCAACCGGAAGCAATAATTTGGGTCAAACATGGACGTAGGAGAGCTGTTATCGTACCAGGTAGTCTATACTTATTACTGTAACATTTCATAGCAGACCGCAATAAATGGAATAAGAGTGTTTGTAAAGCCGCTTCTATTGTTAAAAAATGCAACTGCGAGTAACGTGGTTTCAGACTGAACGTTACGCCGGAAGATGCATTATGCACGAGTACCTGTTTTGTGTACCCTAAATTCGTCACTCATCACAACGTTATTTAGCCATCCATGGAATTGTTAGCTCGCTATTTAAAGATCTCTGTACATTAATTGCTTATGTTGTAGTGGGGTCGTTAGTTATCATAATTGACGATATTGTTTTTACGCTCGGAGAAAGAGCATGATCAAGTACATGAAGTGCATCATCATTGCTGTGCATGTGCACGATCTAAATATCAAAATATTATGAGACAATGTGAAGAAATCCATGCACATGGTTATCATGGTAAATAGTCTCAGTGTGGGCCAGTCAAACACGTGGTTGATAGCGTGAACAACAATCCAAGTCATCTCATTACAATGACACACAATCAGTCAAGCAAACTTTGTAAGCTCCAAGTGCTATTGTTTTAGTCATTCCGGCAAGCATGTGCCGCATGAGCAATGTCAGGCCCTCCTATGTATTGGAATGAAAAGAAGCATTATCAGAATTAATGTAAGCAATATTGTGTGTAAAGCTACAAAGTGTGAAAGAATAGTCTCAAATGCCATATAAATGCAGTAACTATCATTGTAACAGAGGTTCTCATTGGAATCACCACGCAGCTTCTACTGGAACCATTTGCATCGGCAAACGAATAAATTCAATCATATCAGTATAATGCCCCATTTCGCTAAACTACAACTAAATTTACTGTGTGCGAAACATGGCTGACAGTAGCAGAGATAAGAAACTGGGAAGTGTTTTAATCAACGCTCATTTCCAGAGAATGTTATTCTATTTAAGAAGTTAATGCGCACTGAACATAAATTATGATTCCGCTTTGATACAGATTATTCGTCTTTAGCAAAAATGTATTTTGTATGCATTATCAATGTATTTTGATATGAGTCAAATGCAAATGCTTATTATTCAATCATAGAGCTAGATAAATTACTTCACCCATTATTTCATTCACTGTTTTAGCGTTTAGCTCTTTATGGTAGATCTAGTATTTGCTCAATAATTGTTGATATAACCGGGCTAATAAAAAAATTCTGTAAGGAATTTGTATGTGGCTTATTTGCACTTAAACAATAATATTAATTATCCCCCGCCCCGAGGAGGGATATAGGAACGGGTTTGGTCTGTCTGTCCGTCCACTTCTCAAAAGGGACACATTTTTCTGAAAAAGAATTTATAGTCAGAGAAATGAAATTTTACACACTGATATATCTGGTCATGATCATAAGTGAGTTTGAAAATTGGTGTCTTAAATTAGGTTAAAATCAAAATAAGTTTTTACATAGTTATTGCCCTTGATCCATGCTTTTTAAGTGGATAGTGTCTGCAATGTAGACAAGCTTATCCAAGAAAGACTTATCAAGACTAAAGACGAGAATTGGTGCCATTAATTATTTTGTCCAGAGAATGGTCCTTTTGTGTGTATTAATTTCACATTTAATCATTTTTTCTGATGACATAAGGTGTCCTACTGCCTATCTCTTGTTAAGGCTTTATAGGATTCTTTTTTATAGTTTAAATTTACTACTGTATGAACAAACAAAATTCTAATGTGTCCCATGGTGAGGGATAGTTATAACGCTGTTTTCTTGTTTATATGTATTTTATTAATATATACCATTACTAGATCCTGATGTGTGTGTTTTGGCTACCACACAGTTGTCAAGATTGCTGGAGTCCGTGGGTGGATGGGCAAGATGTCAGACATCTTCAGCTGGTTCAAAAACATGTCTCACACTTTTGATAACAAATTCTGATGCATATGAATACTAGTTGCCATGTACATGTATTTTATATTTTATGGTCAAGACTTCAAGTCAGACTAACCAAAAGATATTACTTCCCTTGTCACTTATTTGTTTATCACCGCCATTTCTTGAACACTGTTTTCCCCGGAAAGGGGTTGTCAATTAACTACAATTGACTTTTGCCCAATACAGCCAAAGTTATTCCACTGCTTTTCACCAATTTTCCCATAGCAGCTGTGCACATATTCCGCTAAAGACCGCTGTCATTATAGTCAAATCTGATAGTGTTTCTTTTCTTTCGCATAAGTGCTTTCGGTTTCAATACAGGAACTATGCTACCAATACACTTTCTTTTAAACCTGTTTAATGCTTCTTACTCAAATAGATAGGAGGGCCTGGAGGTACTGGGGAACTGCTCTGCCTTACAGTGGACTGGGATAGAAATTAGCGCTAGCCTAATAGCTAAAGTCAGTTGATCCAACATTAAAGGCTAGTAGGATTATGGTTTTTAGTGGGTGCCCTAATATGTTATCACTATTCAGTCTAACATTGCAGGTTTATTTCTACCGCTGTCATTTGAGATTACCGGGCCATCAACCATTAGTTTGTCTGGTCAAGTTATATACCGGCCACTATCTTGTGTAGCTGGAACAATGCTGATTGCAGTGTTAAACGACATACGCCATCTTCCTGATCACATTGATGTGAATTGTTTCTTACTTTGATCTGTTCATGCAAATGATTCATTCTTGTTAGCGCACTAATATAGAAGTGATTACTATCAATGTATCTATTCATTGATGTGAGCAGTGAGACGTGATCATTGCACAAATGAAACCCTGGGTACAGTGAATTATGTCCTATCGGGCACCTGATAACCATACAGGAACACATGGATAAAGTGCACGTTTTTACATTTCTGGCTCTGACGTTATCAGTCTGATTGTCTGTAAGAATATAACTTCTAAAGGTTAGTTCTGATCAGAGTCTTCTTATGCTAAATCAAGAAATTGTTGACAAATGTGGATGACCAAAAGTGAATACATTCATCAATGAATCATTGACCTGAAACAGATAAATTCTAGAGAGTGTGCTTATTTGAGAACTAGTCATCAAAATGTTCAATGATTTACAGCCTGACAAGCCAATTGCAAACCTAAAGAAGAGAAGAGATGATGATCGTCCTGAATATGATATCCCTAGAAAGAAGAGGATGGGAGACGATGATGACCCTGAAAGAATCTTGGAGATGGCTGAAGATGACCTTGCAGTAAGTATTGAGGGGCTCATCCACCACCAAACATGTGTTCCTGGGGAAACAGCCTATTCAGCATTAATTGCATGTACTAAAATGATGGAAATTTAATCATCCTTTATTTAAAAAAATCTTGTATCCATCAGTTGATAAATATGTTATGTGTACATTAACAGTGGCATTTTTCAGCACCAAGACACAGACAAGGGTTGACTTTTCAGTGTTTGTAAATTGAAATGTTATTTTCAGACTGATGTGTTAGATGAGACAAATCTAAAAAAGATGTTGCTGCAGTTTGAAAAGAAAGTATACCGAAATCAAGAAATGAGGATCAAATTTCCAGATCTGCCTGAAAAGTGAGTGTTTTAACATCTACTGTCAACTTCCTGGAAGTGGATGAATTTTCGGTGTTGACTGACTGACTGACTTACTCTCTGTGTCAGACTAGCCACTCTTGTGTAATACTGAACCCTTTCAGTATTGACTGACTTACTCTCTGTATCAGGCTGGCTACCCTTGTGTAACACTGAACCCTTTCGGTGTTGACTGACTTACTCTCTGTGTCAGACTAGCCACTCTTGTGTAATACTGAACCCTTTCAGTATTGACTGACTTACTCTCTGTATCAGGCTGGCTACCCTTGTGTAACACTGAACCCTTTCGGTGTTGGCTGACTTACTCTCTGTGTCAGACTGGCTACCCTTGTGTAACACTGAACCCTTTCAGTGTTGACTGACTTACTCTCTGTGTCAGACTGGCTACCCTTGTGTAACACTGAACCCTTTCAGTGTTGACTGACTTGTGTAACACTGAACCCTTTCGGTGTTGACTGACTTACTCTCTGTGTCAGACTGGCTACCCTTGTGTAACACTGAGCCCTTTCAGTGTTGACTGACGGACTTACTCTGTGTCAGACTGGCTACCCTTGTGTAACACTGAACCCTTTCAGTGTTGACTGACGGACTAACTCTGTGTCAGACTGGCTACCCTTGTGTAACACTGAACCCTTTCAGTGTTGACTGACGGACTTACTCTGTGTCAGACTGGCTACCCTTGTGTAACACTGAACCCTTTCAGTGTTGACTGACTTACTCTGTGTCAGACTGGCTACCCTTGTGTAACACTGAACCCTTTCGGTGTTGACTGACTTACTCTGTGTGTCAGACTGGCTACCCTTGTGTAACACTGAACCCTTTCAGTGTTGACTGACTTGTGTAACACTGAACCCTTTCGGTGTTGACTGACTTACTCTGTGTCAGACTGGCTACCCTTGTGTAACACTGAACCCTTTCCGTGTTTACTGACTTGTGTAACACTGAACCCTTTCGGTGTTGACTGACTTACTCTCTGTGTCAGACTGGCTACCCTTGTGTAACACTGAACCCTTTCGGTGTTGACTGACTGACTTACTCTGTGTGTCAGACTGGCTGCCCTTGTGTAACACTGAACCCTTTCAGTGTTGACTGACGGACTTACTCTGTGTCAGACTGGCTACCCTTGTGTAACACTGAACCCTTTCGGTGTTGACTGACGGACTTACTCTGTGTGTCAGACTGGCTACCCTTGTGTAACACTGAACCCTTTCGGTGTTGACTGACGGACTTACTCTGTGTGTCAGACTGGCTACCCTTGTGTAACACTGAACCCTTTCGGTGTTGACTGACTTACTCTGTGTCAGACTGGCTACCCTTGTGTAACACTGAACCCTTTCGGTGTTGACTGACTTACTCTGTGTCAGACTGGCTACCCTTGTGTAACACTGAACCCTTTCGGTGTTGACTCACTTGTGTAACACTGAACCCTTTCGGTGTTGACTGACTTACTCTCTGTGTCAGACTGGCTACCCTTGTGTAACACTGAACCCTTTCAGTGTTGACTGACTTGTGTAACACTGAACCCTTTCGGTGTTGACTGACTTACTCTCTGTGTCAGACTGGCTACCCTTTTGTAACACTGAACCCTTTCGGTGTTGACTGACTTGTGTAACACTGAACCCTTTCGGTGTTGACTGACGGACTTACTCCGTGTCAGACTGGCTACCCTTGTGTAACACTGAACCCTTTCAGTGTTGACTGACTTACTCTCTGTGTCAGACTGGCTACCCTTGTGTAACACTGAACCCTTTCGGTGTTGACCGACTTACTCTGTGTCAGACTGGCTACCCTTGTGTAACACTGAACCCTTTCGGTGTTGACTGACTTGTGTAACACTGAACCCTTTCAGTGTTGACTGACTTACTCTGTGTTAGACTGGCTACCCTTGTGTAACACTGAACCCTTTCGGTGTTGACCGACTTACTCCGTGTGTCAGACTGGCTACCCTTGTGTAACACTGAACCCTTTCGGAGTTGACTGACTTACTCTCTGTGTCAGACTGGCTACCCTTGTGTAACACTGAACCCTTTCGGTGTTGACTGACTTACTCTCTGTGTCAGACTGGCTACCCTTGTGTAACACTGAACCCTTTCAGTGTTGACTGACGGACTTACTCTGTGTGTCAGACTGGATACCCTTGTGTAACACTGAACCCTTTCGGTGTTGACTGACGGACTTACTCTGTGTCAGACTGGCTACCCTTGTGTAACACTGAACCCTTTCGGTGTTGACTGACTTACTCTGTGTCAGACTGGCTACCCTTGTGTAACACTGAACCCTTTCAGTGTTGACTGACTTACTCTCTGTGTCAGACTGGCTACCCTTGTGTAACACTGAACCCTTTCGGTGTTGACTGACGGACTTACTCTGTGTCAGACTGGCTACCCTTGTGTAACACTGAACCCTTTCAGTGTTGACTGACTTACTCGTGTCAGACTGGCTACCCTTGTGTAACACTGAACCCTTTCGGTGTTGACTGACGGACTTACTCTGTGTCAGACTGGCTACCCTTGTGTAACACTGAACCCTTTCGAAGTTGACTGACTGACAGCAGCCAGTGTTGATTGGCTCCAGCCGGTATATTGGATACCATATGTTCTGAAGTGACTGCCTCTACACTTGTGAAACATGTGCCACCCTATCAATCCTGTGATTGATATTGATATTGAGCAAAGTGACAAACAGAATGGACAGGAACACACACAATCAACTAGTTCAATAAGTTGGACTCCCCAGTCCCATGTATTTGCCTATTAGACATGAAGTAGAGTGCTGGGACCTATTCTGTTGTAATACCTAGACGTGTTTACACTGCATTAAGACATATGACATTGAAAGATGAATAAATAGCCTTTGTGTTCTACCTGTGACAGGTTTATGGAGTCTGAGATTGAGCTGAACGATGTCATTCAGGAGATGCATGTGATAGCCACGGTGCCCGAGTTGTACCATGCATTGGTGGAGTTGAACACAGTGCAGTCCCTGCTGCAGCTGCTCACACATGAAAACACAGGTATGTCAGCACATGAAAACACAGGTGTGTCAGCACATATAAACACAGGTATGTCAGCACATGAAAACACAGGTATGTCTGCATATGAAAACACAGATATGTCTGCACATGTAAACACAGGTATGTCTGCACATGTAAACACAGATATGTCTGCACATGAAAACACAGATATGTCTGCACATGAAAACACAGATATGTCTGCACATGTAAACACAGATATGTCTGCACATGAAAACACAGGTATTTCAGCACCTGTAAACACAGGTATGTCTTCACATGAAAACACAGGTATGTCTGCACATGTAAACACAGGTATGTCTGCACATGTAAACACAGATATGTCTGCACATGAAAACACAGATATGTCTGCACATGAAAACACAGGTATGTCAGCACATGTAAACACAGATATGTCTGCACATGAAAACACAGGTATGTCTGCACATGTAAACACATGTATGTCTTCACATGAAAACACAGATATGTCTGCACATGAAAACACATGTATGTCTTCACATGAAAACACAGATATGTCTGCACATGAAAACACAGATATGTCTGCACATGAAAACACAGGTATGTCTGCACATGAAAACACGGGTATGTCTGCACATGTAAACACAGGTATGTCAGCACATGTAAACACAGGTATGTCTGCACATGAAAACACAGATATGTCTGCACATGAAAACACAGGTATGTCAGCACATGTAAACACAGATATGTCTGCACATGAAAACACAGATATGTCTGCACATGAAAACACAGGTATGTCTGCACATGAAAACACAGGTATGTCTGCACATGTAAACACAGGTATGTCAGCACATGTAAACACAGGTATGTCTGCACATGAAAACCCAGATATGTCTGCACATGAAAACACAGGTATGTCAGCACATGTAAACACAGATATGTCTGCACATGAAAACACATGTATGTCTTCACATGAAAACACAGATATGTCTGCACATGTAAACACAGGTATGTCTGCACATGTAAACACAGGTATGTCTGCACATGAAAACACAGATATGTCTGCACATGAAAACACAGGTATGTCTGCACATGTAAACACAGGTATGTCTGCACATGAAAACACAGGTATGTCTGCACATGAAAACACAGATATGTCTGCACATGAAAACACAGGTATGTCTGCACATGAAAACACAGGTATGTCTGCACATTTACTCACTCACTCACTTTACTGCTTGTCTACCCACACCCTTTACTGTTTGTCTACCCACACCCTTTACTGCTTGTCTACCCACACCCTTTACTGCTTGTCTACCCACACCCATTACTGCTTGTCTACCCACACCCTTTACTGCTTGTCTACCCACGACCTTTACTGCTTGTCTACCCACACCCTTTACTGCTTGTCTACCCACACCCTTTACTGCTTGTCTACCCACACCCTTTACTGCTTGTCTACCCATACCCTTTACTGCTTGTCTACCCACACCCTTTACTGCTTGTCTACCCATACCCTTTACTGCTTGTCTACCCACACCCTTTACTGCTTGTCTACCCACACCCTTTACTGCTTGTCTACCCACACCCTTTACTGCTTGTCTACCCATACCCTTTACTGCTTGTCTACCCACACCCTTTACTGCTTGTCTACCCACACCCTTTACTGCTTGTCTACCCACACCCTTTACTGCTTGTCTACCCATACCCATTACTGCTTGTCTACCCATACCCATTACTGCTTGTCTACCCACACCCTTTACTGCTTGTCTACCCACGACCTTTACTGCTTGTCTACCCACACCCTTTACTGCTTGTCTACCCACACCCTTTACTGCTTGTCTACCCACACCCTTTACTGTTTGTCTACCCACACCCTTTACTGCTTGTCTACCCACACCCTTTACTGCTTGTCTACCCACACCCTTTACTGTTTGTCTACCCACACCCTCTACTGCTTGTCTACCCACACCCTCTACTGTTTGTCTACCCACACCCTTTACTGCTTGTCTACCCACACCCTCTACTGTTTGTCTACCCACACCCTTTACTGCTTGTCTACCCACACCCTTTACTGCTTGTCTACCCACACCCTTTACTGTTTGTCTACCCACACCCTTTACTGCTTGTCTACCCACACCCTCTACTGTTTGTCTACCCACACCCTTTACTGCTTGTCTACCCACACCCTTTACTGCTTGTCTACCCACACCCTTTACTGTTTGTCTACCCATACCCTTTACTGCTTGTCTACCCACACCCTTTACTGCTTGTCTACCCACACCCTCTACTGCTTGTCTACCCACACCCTTTACTGCTTGTCTACCCACACCCTCTACTGCTTGTCTACCCACACCCTCTACTGTTTGTCTACCCACACCCTTTACTGCTTGTCTACCCACACCCTTTACTGTTTGTCTACCCACACCCTTTACTGCTTGTCTACCCACACCCTTTACTGTTTGTCTACCCACACCCTTTACTGCTTGTCTACCCACACCCTTTACTGCTTGTCTACCCACACCCTTTACTGCTTGTCTACCCACACCCTCTACTGCTTGTCTACCCACACCCTCTACTGTTTGTCTACCCACACCCTTTACTGCTTGTCTACCCACACCCTCTACTGTTTGTCTACCCACACCCTTTACTGCTTGTCTACCCACACTCTTTACTGCTTGTCTACCCACACCCTTTACTGCTTGTCTACCCACACCCTCTACTGTTTGTCTACCCACACCCTTTACTGCTTGTCTACCCACACCCTCTACTGCTTGTCTACCCACACCCTCTACTGCTTGTCTACCCACACCCTTTACTGCTTGTCTACCCACACCCTTTACTGCTTGTCTACCCACACCCTTTACTGCTTGTCTACCCACACCCTCTACTGCTTGTCTACCCACACCCTCTACTGTTTGTCTACCCACACCCTTTACTGTTTGTCTACCCACACCCTTTACTGCTTGTCTACCCACACCCTTTACTGCTTGTCTACCCACACCCTTTCCTGCTTGTCTACCCACACCCTCTACTGTTTGTCTACCCACACCCTTTACTGCTTGTCTACCCACACCCTTTACTGCTTGTCTACCCACACCCTTTACTGCTTGTCTACCCACACCCTCTACTGCTTGTCTACCCACACCCTCTACTGCTTGTCTACCCACACCCTCTACTGTTTGTCTACCCACACCCTTTACTGCTTGTCTACCCACACCCTTTACTGCTTGTCTACCCACACCCTTTACTGCTTGTCTACCCACACCCTTTACTGCTTGTCTACCCACACCCTTTACTGTTTGTCTACCCACACCCTCTACTGCTTGTCTACCCACACCCTTTACTGCTTGTCTACCCACACCCTTTACTGCTTGTCTACCCATACCCTCTACTGTTTGTCTACCCACACCCTTTACTGCTTGTCTACCCACACCCTCTACTGTTTGTCTACCCACACTCTTTACTGCTTGTCTACCCACACCCTTTACTGCTTGTCTACCCACACCCTTTACTGCTTGTCTACCCACACCCTCTACTGTTTGTCTACCCACACCCTTTACTGCTTGTCTACCCACACCCTCTACTGTTTGTCTACCCACACTCTTTACTGCTTGTCTACCCACACCCTTTACTGTTTGTCTACCCACACCCTCTACTGCTTGTCTACCCACACCCTTTACTGTTTGTCTACCCACACCCTTTACTGCTTGTCTACCTACACCCTTTACTGCTTGTCTACCCACACCCTTTACTGCTTGTCTACCCACACCCTTTACTGCTTGTCTACCCACACCCTTTACTGCTTGTCTACCCACACCCTTTACTGCTTGTCTACCTACACCCTTTACTGGTTGACTTTCATGGTTGTCTGGTGCGATATTAGCAAAAAATCTATAAATTTGTTTTAACAATAAGACTTTCAGTGGCTTGTACCCCAATGTAACCCCATTTTGATAATAATTGTCAACGTTTATTAATTCATGTGCAAAATTTGGTTGTTTTCTTGTTATCATTAACATGGCAGAGTCATGTGACAAACTAATAATTTTGTCCACCCAGCAAGATTCCCTTATTTTGTGGCAATAACCATGATGACATACTAGTATATCATAAGAAAAACAAGAATGTTTAACTAAATTGTCAATACCAAATTTATTACCCACAGGATAAGAAATAACCAAGTTCATAAAAATCATAAGTGCACTAGTTCAAATATCACTTCTCACACACCAGTGCATTGTGTAGGTCATCTGGACAGCATTGTTGATGTCATTCAAATCTCATTGTGACGTAAGGACAGATCGTTGTCACACTAGAAAGGATGTCATAGCTGAAGATTGTTGACGTCAATCGACAAGTTGTAGTTTTCTCGGACAGCTGTGGGGATCAAGGTATTTTTTTGTAAAGGAGAGCTCAAAAAGATTAAGAAATAATGGGTAAACGAGAAGTTATTACACCCACATGTGTCTTGCTGATTTTAGGAAACTTGTGTAAGAAATCATGTATTACCTGTATCATCAGAGCTCCACATGACTTTTTGAGCAATTGAGATTTTACTCTAGGGTTTCTATTTTAATTGGGTTATTACATTTTCATTGGGTATAACCAATATTTTATCACTCATCTATTCATTACTCTTTTGGGTTTTTCCCAAAGTTAGTGAACATTTTCAGATTTATATAACATGAAATATTGTTTTAGATGTATATAACTGTTCTTAATATATAGGCTTGACTCAGAAAGGAAATTAGCTTGTAATTGTGTTTCGAAAATTAGCTCCTTTGTACACATGCTGAAAAAGCTTCATTGGATATTAACACATGCTGTTTTAATACATTTGAGATTTTCATTTAATGCAAGCATTTCTGTATGCTAGTTAATAGAAAATAATTGGGTCTTGAATGTTTGGGGGGGGGGGGGGGGGGGGGTATTTTACGCAAATACGCTGCTTATCTGTAGCTATGCCAGTGAATTCTGATACTCGTTTAGTAAAATCAGTATGACACTCATGCTCGTATAATAATCTCTATAAGGAAACTTGCCTTATATTTTGGTCAGTCAAATAAGATAAGAAATGGTCTATGCTCATAAATATGTTTTTTTCACCTGCCAATGTTAATCTGTAAGCAGAAAATAAATGTGTGCAGTTAAACTTTGAGTGATGTTTTGTTGCCAGATATTGCAATAGCTGTGGTTGACCTGATCCAGGAACTGACAGACGTTGACACCCTCAACGAGAGCGAGGAAGGCGCAGGAGCTGTAGTGGATGTCTTGGTGAGTCAAGTGATGCTCACATTATGAAGATCATCAGCGGTAGAAATGAACTATCACAGATGCCAAGCCCCACCACCCTGAAATCTTAATTTCTTGTGATAAGATTTTGTAACAAAGAGTTATCCGATCAATGAACTTGTATTTGTTGTGTCCGAGGTAGAGAAGCTTCCTTTTGTTTGTATTCATAATGTGTCATTTTTCCCCCAAATTTTATTCCCCCTTTAACTGCCAGACACCAGGCCGTGTTTACTCCTTGAAACCCAGATACCAGCTGATCTGTTATGCCTTCCCTATTTGTACCTCCATAGCTGAGACAGCACATGTATTGAGGCCAGCATCTAGAATTTTTGTGCATCTCTGTACGAAATGTGTAGGTTTACCATTTCCACCAACCTTCATTTCAGCTCTGTGTACATACATTTTTCCTATTTTGGTATGTATTTTGATCAATGAAGATGTGCACTTTCCATTATTGTTAACACATATTAACACAAAATATTCTGAACCGCAAAAGAAATGTCATCCAAGTAACATTGCATGAAAAGTTGTCATTTACATATCCGGGTAATTTTTGTCAGAGTTTCTAAAATTTAACATTACCTTGTCCAGAAAAATGGGGAACGTTATTCGGATGCTTGTGTTGTTGAGAGAGACTTTTGGAGTGGTCCGAGCATCATGGTGTTGGGTGGAATTGGTCTTGCACAGAGGGTTGGCCCTGTGGTCTTCCAGAACATCGGTCCAGGGAGAGGCAATGGTGTCACAGCAGCTCGGTTCATTGATCAAGTCTTGAGACCACATGCCATTCCTCATTTGGCACATCGCCGCAACCACGGGTTTCAGCATGATAACGCCCGTGCCCACACTGAGAGAGCAACAAGAGACTTCTCAAGTGAATGGCATCAGAACCATGCAGTGGCCTGCCCTCAGTCCCGATGTAAATCCCATTGAGCACCTGTGGGACGAGATTCAAAGATGGCTAAATGACGTCCGACCAAGGCCGACAACTGCAGTTGAACTGCGTCGGGCGTTGTTCAGAGTGTGGGCCTATGGCCTTCATCAACCGCCTCATCCATTTCATGTATCGACGTTGCACAGCAGTCATTAATGCACATGGTGGACACACGAGATACTGACTTGTCATCCCATTTTCTCGGAGACTAGTGTTGTGTTCCACCTTGAGAACATTTGACACTTTAATTACAACCTTGATGATCAGTTTTGCCAACAAGAAACGAGAAGACTCCAGACATTTTAATGGTACAATAAGGATTTTTAATGTATTTCAATTGCCTTACTCATGAATGTTTGCCTGATTCCTAAAGAAGTGACTGTTTGCTTATGTGTTCCCAGTTGGAAGGGCAGGTGGTGGCAGTTCTGGTTCAGAATCTTGACCGGCTCGATGAGAATGTGAAGGAAGAGAGTGATGGCGTACATAATACCCTAGGTGAGGAAGACACACACGACAATATCTGATCATCATGATGTAGGCTCAGGGCTGCTGAGGGGCCACAGCTCATGTTGTTCAGCACCACACCCATGTTGTTCAGCAACCCACCAATGCTGGTTGTTCAGCACCACACCCATGCTGGTTGTTCAGCACCACACCTATGTTGTTCAGCACCACACTCATGCTCTTCAGCACCACACTCATGCTGGTTGTTCAGCACCACACCCATGCTGGTTGTTCAGCACCACACCCATGCTGGTTGTTCAGCACCACACCCATGCTGGTTGTTAAGCACCACACCTATGCTGGTTGTTCAGCACCACACTCATGCTAGTTGTTCAGCACCACACCCATGCTCTTCAGCACCACACTCACGCTGGTTGTTCAGCACCACACCCATGCTGGTTGTTCAGCACCACACCCATGCTGGTTGTTACGCACCACACCCATGCTGGTTGTTTAGCACCACACCTATGCTGGTTGTTCAGCACCACACTCATGCTGGTTGTTCAGCACCACACCCATGCTGGTTGTTCAGCACCACACCCATGCTGGTTGTTCAGCACCACACCCATGCTGGTTGTTTAGCACCACACCCATGCTGGTTGTTCAGCACCACACCCATGCTGGTTGTTCAGCACCACACCCATGCTGGTTGTTCAGCACCACACTCATGCTAGTTGTTCAGCACCACACCTATGCTGGTTGTTCAGCACCACACCCATGCTGGTTGTTCAGCACCACACCCATGCTGGTTGTTCAGCACCACATCCATGCTGGTTGTTCAGCACCACACCTATGCAGGTTGTTTAGCACCACACCCATGTTGTTCAGCACCATGACCATGTTGTTCAGCACCACACCCATGTTGTTCAGCACCACACCCATGCTGTTCAGCACCACACTCATGCTGGTTGTTCAGCACCACATCCATGCTGGTTGTTCAGCACCACACCCATGCTGGTTGTTAAGCACCACACCTAAGCTGGTTGTTCAGCACCACACTCATGCTGGTTGTTCAGCACCACACCCATGCTCTTCAGCACCACACTCATGCTGGTTGTTCAGCACCACACCCATGCTGGTTGTTCAGCACCACACCCATGCTGGTTGTTCAGCACCACACCCATGCTGGTTGTTCAGCACCACACCCATGCTGGTTGTTAAGCACCACACCTATGCTGGTTGTTCAGCACCACACTCATGCTAGTTGTTCAGCACCACACCCATGCTCTTCAGCACCACACTCATGCTGGTTGTTCAGCACCACACCCATGCTGGTTGTTCAGCACCACACCCATGCTGGTTGTTCAGCACCACACCCATGCTGGTTGTTCAGCACCACACCCATGCTGGTTGTTAAGCACCACACCTATGCTGGTTGTTCAGCACCACACTCATGCTAGTTGTTCAGCACCACACCCATGCTCTTCAGCACCACACTCATGCTGGTTGTTCAGCACCACACCCATGCTGGTTGTTCAGCACCACACCCATGCTGGTTGTTCAGCACCACACCCATGCTGGTTGTTAAGCACCACACCTATGCTGGTTGTTCAGCACCACACTCATGCTAGTTGTTCAGCACCACACCCATGCTCTTCAGCACCACACTCACGCTGGTTGTTCAGCACCACACCCATGCTGGTTGTTCAGCACCACACCCATGCTGGTTGTTACGCACCACACCCATGCTGGTTGTTTAGCACCACACCTATGCTGGTTGTTCAGCACCACACTCATGCTGGTTGTTCAGCACCACACCCATGCTGGTTGTTCAGCACCACACCCATGCTGGTTGTTCAGCACCACACCCATGCTGGTTGTTTAGCACCACACCCATGCTGGTTGTTCAGCACCACACCCATGCTGGTTGTTCAGCACCACACCCATGCTGGTTGTTCAGCACCACACTCATGCTAGTTGTTCAGCACCACATCCATGCTGGTTGTTCAGCACCACACCTATGCAGGTTGTTTAGCACCACACCCATGTTGTTCAGCACCATGACCATGTTGTTCAGCACCACACCCATGTTGTTCAGCACCGCACCCATGCTGTTCAGCACCACACTCATGCTGGTTGTTCAGCACCACATCCATGCTGGTTGTTCAGCACCACACCCATGCTGGTTGTTAAGCACCACACCTAAGCTGGTTGTTCAGCACCACACTCATGCTGGTTGTTCAGCACCACACCCATGCTCTTCAGCACCACACTCATGCTGGTTGTTCAGCACCACACCCATGCTGGTTGTTCAGCACCACACCCATGCTGGTTGTTCAGCACCACACCCATGCTGGTTGTTAAGCACCACACCTATGCTGGTTGTTCAGCACCACACTCATGCTAGTTGTTCAGCACCACACCCATGCTCTTCAGCACCACACTCATGCTGGTTGTTCAGCACCACACCCATGCTGGTTGTTCAGCACCACACCCATGCTGGTTGTTCAGCACCACACCCATGCTGGTTGTTCAGCACCACACCCATGCTGGTTGTTAAGCACCACACCTATGCTGGTTGTTCAGCACCACACTCATGCTAGTTGTTCAGCACCACACCCATGCTCTTCAGCACCACACTCATGCTGGTTGTTCAGCACCACACCCATGCTGGTTGTTCAGCACCACACCCATGCTGGTTGTTCAGCACCGCACCCATGCTGGTTGTTCAGCACCACACCCATGTTGTTCAGCACCACACCCATGCTGGTTGTTCAGCACCACATCTATGTTGTTCAGCACCACACCCATGCTCTTCAGCACCACACTCATGCTAGTTATTCAGCACCACACCCATGTTGTTCAGCATCACACTCATGCTGGTTGTTCTGCACCACGACCATGTTGTTCAGCACCACACCCATGCTCATCAGCACCACACCCATGTTGTTCAGCATCACACTCATGCTGGTTGTTCTGCACCACGACCATGTTGTTTAGCACCACACCCATGTTGTTCAGCACCACAGCCATGTTGTTCAGCACCACAGCCATGCTGGTTGTTCAGCACCACACCTATGCTGGTTGTTCACCCCCAGACCATGTTGTTCAGCACCACACCCATGTTGTTCAGCACCACACCCATGCTGTTCAGCACCACACCCATGCTGGTTGTTCAGCACCACACCCATGCTGGTTGTTCAGCACCACGACCATGTTGTTCAGCACCACACCCATGTTGTTCAGCACCACACCCATGCTGTTCAGCACCACACTCATGCTGGTTGTTCAGCACCACAACCATGCTGGTTGTTCAGCACCACACCCATGTTGTTCAGCACCACACTCGTGCTGGTTGTTCAGCATCACACCCATGCTGGTTGTTCAGCACCACACCCATGTTGTTCAGCACCACACCAATGCTTGTTGTTCAGCACCACACCCATGCTGGTTGTTCAGCACCACACTCATGCTGGTTGTTCAGCACCACACCCATGCTGGTTGTTCAGCACCACACCCATGCTGGTTGTTTAGCACCACACCTATGTTGTACAGCACCACACCCATGCTGGTTGTTTAGCACCACACTCATGCTAGTTGTTCAGCACCACACCTATGCTGGTTGTTCAGCACCACACCCATGCTGGTTGTTCAGCACCACACCCATGCTGGTTGTTCAGCACCACATCCATGCTGGTTGTTCAGCACCACACCTATGCAGGTTGTTTAGCACCACACCCATGTTGTTCAGCACCATGACCATGTTGTTCAGCACCACACCCATGTTGTTCAGCACCACACCCATGCTGTTCAGCACCACACTCATGCTGGTTGTTCAGCACCACACCCATGCTGGTTGTTCAGCACCACACCTATGTTGTACAGCACCACACCCATGCTGGTTGTTCAGCACCACACCCATGCTGGTTGTTCAGCACCACACTCATGCTGGTTGTTCAGCACCACACCCATGCTGGTTGTTCAGCACCACACCTATGTTGTTCAGCACCACACCCATGTTGTTCAGCACCACACTCATGCTGGTTGTTCAGCATCACACCCATGCTGGTTGTTCAGCACCACACCCATGTGGTTCAGCACCACACCAATGCTGGTTGTTTAGCACCACACCCATGCTGGTTGTTCAGCACCACACTCATGCTGGTTGTTCAGCACCACACCCATGCTGGTTGTTCAGCACCACACCCATGTTGTTCAGCACCACACCCATGCTGGTAGTTCAGCACCACACCCATGCTGGTTGTTCAGCACCACGCCCATGCTCGTTGTTCAGCACCACACTCATGCTGGTTGTTCAGCACCACAACCATGCTGGTTGTTCAGCACCACACCTATGTTGTTCAGCACCACACCCATGTTGTTCAGCACCACACCCATGTTGTTCAGCACCACACTCATGCTTGTTGTTCAACACCACACCCATGTTCTTCAGCGCCACACCCATGTTCTTCAGCACCACACCCATGTTGTTCAGCACCACACTCATGCTGGTTGTTCAGCATCACACCCATGTTGTTCAGCACCACACTCATGCTGGTTGTTCAGCACCACACCCACAGTAACTGACATTTTGTTCACTCTCAGCATGATCATCATATTAGGACTGGGTATGATTTATTTGCCCTAGTACTTAAAGCTACTATTTTTAATTTGCCTGATGTCATTAGAGATATTTTGTTTAATGTCTATTCCAGCTATAGTAGAGAATATCACAGAATTTCGAACTGAAGTGACGACAGAAGCAGCCCAGCAAGGCCTCCTACAGTGGCTGCTGAAGAGAGTCAGGGTAGGATGCTGCTTCCCCAACATGTATAGACTTTGTATATTATACACCAGCCTGGGTCAGTCTGTCATGTATATTACACACAGCCACAGTCAGTCTGTCATGTATATTATACACCAGCCACAGTCAGTCCGTCATGTATACACCAGCCACAGTCAGTCTGTCATGTATATTACACACCAGCCACAGTCAGTCTGTCATGTATATTATACACCAGCCACAGTCAGTCTGTCATGTATGTTATACACCAGCCACAGTCAGTCTGTCATGTATGTTATACACCAGCCACAGTCAGTCTGTCATGTATACACCAGCCACAGTCAGTCGGTCATGTATATTACACACCAGCCACAGTCAGTCTGTCATGTATATTATACACCAGCCACAGTCAGTCTGTCATGTATACACCAGCCACAGTCAGTCGGTCATGTATATTACACACCAGCCACAGTCAGTCTGTCATGTATATTATACACCAGCCACAGTCAGTCTGTCATGTATGTTATACACCAGCCACAGTCAGTCTGTCATGTATATTATACACCAGCCACAGTCAGTCTGTCATGTATATTATACACCAGCCACAGTCAGTCTGTCATGTATGTTATACACCAGCCACAGTCAGTCTGTCATGTATGTTATACACCAGCCACAGTCAGTCCGTCATGTATACACCAGCCACAGTCAGTCGGTCATGTATATTACACACCAGCCACAGTCAGTCTGTCATGTATATTACACACCAGCCACAGTCAGTCTGTCATGTATTTTATACACCAGCCACAGTCAGTCTGTCATGTATATTATACACCAGCCACAGTCAGTCTGTCATGTATATTATACACCAGCCACAGTCAGTCTGTCATGTATACACCAGCCACAGTCAGTCTGTCATGTATATTACACACCAGCCACAGTCAGTCTGTCATGTATACACCAGCCACAGTCAGTCTGTCATGTATATTACACACCAGCCACAGTCAGTCTGTCATGTATATTATACACCAGCCACAGTCAGTCTGTCATGTATGTTATACACCAGCCACAGTCAGTCTGTCATGTATGTTATACACCAGCCACAGTCAGTCTGTCATGTATGTTATACACCAGCCACAGTCAGTCTGTCATGTATATTATACACCAGCCACAGTCAGTCTGTCATGTATGTTATACACCAGCCACAGTCAGTCTGTCATGTATATTATACACCAGCCACAGTCAGTCTGTCATGTATGTTATACACCAGCCACAGTCAGTCTGTCATGTATGTTATACACCAGCCACAGTCAGTCTGTCATGTATGTTATACACCAGCCACAGTCAGTCTGTCATGTATACACCAGCCACAGTCAGTCTGTCATGTATATTATACACCATCCACAGTCTGTCTGTCATGTATATTATGTACCAGCCACAGTCAGTCCATCATGTATATTATACACCAGCCACAGTCAGTCTGTCATATATGTTATACACCAGCCACAGTCAGTCTGTCATGTATATTATGTACCAGCCACAGTCAGTCTGTCATGTATATTATACACCAGCCACAGTCAGTCTGTCATGTATATTATACACCAGCCACAGTCAGTCGGTCATGTATGTTAAACACCAGCCACAGTCAGTCTGTCATGTATATTATACACCAGCCACAGTCAGTCTGTCATGTATATTATGTACCAGCCACAGTCAGCCTTAATCATTCTGTTAAAAATGTAATCCAATTTGGTACAAGTGTAGTTACAAGTGGGGTTCAATATACATGTTCTTGGGTTTTGTTTTTTGATATTTTGAAATTTGACCTCAATTTGACCTTTGCACCATGGATCACTACATAAATTCTTTCAAATGCTGCTGAAACTGCACATGCTTGTTCCCACCAATGTTGAAACACCAATTTGTTCTAGAGATTTGAATCTGATTTTCAATATGACCACCATAAAGCTATTTATGGCCATTGGTCAATCACTTCTTCAAAATGTAATGAGATTACATGTGTTGGTAGTAGTGTGGCTCAATATATATGTTCAATAATACATTCATTCTTGCAGATTCGGAAACATTTCTACACAGTTAGTTACTTGTTTCATATTGGTTAATACGTTTGTCCTCAGTATTTGACAGCAACTGTTTTTGAGTGTCTGTTTAAAATGTTGACTACATATCCAGGTGAGCTACAGTGCCTGTGGCACTATAAGCTTTTAATTTTGTTACTTTCTTCTTTCAGGCTAAAATGCCATTTGATGGAAACAAATTGTACTCAAGTGAAATACTGGCAATACTCCTTCAAAATTCTGATGGTAAGAAAGAAGATTATGTTAGTAATGACATTATTAGCTTTTCTGAACTGAGGGTTTAAATGAGCTAATATCCAGGCACACTATCCGTTGCCTGTTTTTGAAACTATTGGACTTAAAACAACTCTTGAAATAACAATAAGTCCAGTGATATTGAAGATGATGCTAAAAATAAGCATTCAGTTTAAATTTCTGCAAAATTTTGGGCAATCTCATCTGTAAAATAAGAAAATTACTGCTCTTGCTGCATTAGAATTTTATCGTGTATGTACCAAAAGTGTCAAAGGAAATGTTTATGAAAGCAGTTGTTGCTGTACATTTGGGTTGTGTGTTTGCAGAGAACCGGCAGTTACTGGGGGAGACTGATGGCATCGATGTCCTGCTTCAGCAGCTGGCTGTGAGTTGGGGGAAATATACATACTGGTAGTAGTAGTAGTAGAAGTAGTAGTACTGGTAGTAGTAGTAGTAGAAGTAGTAGTAGTAGTAGAAGTAGAATAGTAGTAGTAGTAGTAGTAGTAGTAGTAGTAGTAGTAGTAGTAGTAGTAGTAGTAGTAGTAGCTGCAGTAGGAGTATCTGTAGTTGTAGCAGTAGTAGTAGTTGTAGTTGTAGAAATTGTGTATTTACGTGTAGGCCTACATTGGGAGAAGTGTGACCGACTCTGACCTGGTGAATGTACTTGTAGGCCTACATTGGGAGAAGTGTGACCGACTCTGACCTGGTGTTTGTACTTGTAGGCCTACATTGGGAGAAGGGTGACCGACTCTGACCTGGTGTTTGTACTTGTAGGCCTACATTGGGAGAAGTGTGACCGACTCTGACCTGGTGAATGTACTTGTAGGCCTACATTGGGAGTAGTGTGACCGACTCTGACCTGGTGAATGTACTTGTAGGCCTACATTGGGAGAAGTGTGACCGACTCTGACCTGGTGAATGTACTTGTAGGCCTACATTGGGAGAAGTGTGACCGACTCTGACCTGGTGAATGTACTTGTAGGCCTACATTGGGAGAAGTGTGACCGACTCTGACCTGGTGAATGTACTTGTAGGCCTACATTGGGAGAAGTGTGACCGACTCTGACCTGGTGTTTGTACTTGTAGGCCTACATTGGGAGAAGTATGACCAACTCTGACCTAGTGTTTGTACTTGTAGGCCTACATTGGGAGAAGTGTGACCGACTCTGACCTAGTGTTTGTACTTGTAGGCCTACATTGGGAGAAGTGTGACCGACTCTGACCTGGTGAATGTACTTGTAGGCCTACATTGGGAGAAGTGTGACCAACACTGACCTGGTGAATGTACTTGTAGGCCTACATTGGGAGAAGGGTGACCGACTCTGACCTGGTGAATGTACTTGTAGGCCTACATTGGGAGAAGTGTGACCAACACTGACCTGGTGAATGTACTTGTAGGCCTACATTGGGAGAAGGGTGACCGACTCTGACCTGGTGAATGTACTTGTAGGCCTACATTGGGAGAAGTGTGACCGACTCTGACCTGGTGTTTGTACTTGTAGGCCTACAAGAAGCACGATCCCAACACTAAAGATGAGATTGAGTATATGGAGAACATGTTCAACTGCCTGTGCTCATCCCTCATGCTGCCAGCCAACAGAGTCAAGTTCCTCAAGGGCGAGGGTCTCCAGCTGATGAATCTCATGTTAAGGTTTGTGCTAGGTGATGTCTTATCAGTGTCTTACAATAGAGGCAAGTTACATCTGTTGGTATGTATGAATACTTTTCTTGATAAATCTAACATGTTCTCAGCCAACAGTTGGAAATAGTTGGCATGCCAACATGATTCTACTGTTTATGATGTATTGTTTCATATTTGACAGATAAGACTTTGCTGTAGCTGATTTTACTTTGTATTCTGTATATATTAATTGACAAAAGAACTTCAACAAATTGATTGCAGCACATATTTGTCATTCTCCTGCGACACTGGAAAATAGCATACCAGACTGGCCAGTGGTTGATAGTAAGGCAGAGCTCCACTCCTTCTGGTTACAATGACAATCACCTAGGCCTAACTGTTTGGCCTGTTCCAACTCATATGGTGTGCGTTGTGTTGCTGTGGCACACTTAAGACTAATTTCAAATAGATTTTCAAGACTGAAAATCACCATATAACTGTTTCAGAGAAAAGAAGTTATCCAGAAACAGTGCTATCAAGGTGTTGAATCATGCCATGACAGGGAACGAGGGCTTGGACAACTGCCAGAAGTTTGTGGACATTTTGGGGCTGCGGACAGTCTTTCCCCTCTTCATGAAGACGCCGAAACTGGCTAAGGCTGGTCCTACACCCGATGAGCTTGAGGGTGAGACCCAAGATTACTGGCTGCAAAATACCCGTTGAGAACATTCATCTCAATATCATTATTGTTGTGATTTCTTTAAACAAATCTTTCATGGTGAAAGGTTGTGGATACTCTAGTATCTAACCTAGGGTTGGTGACAGGTGTACAGGCCTGACCACTTTTGTACACCTGTGACACCTCTTGTTGCCCAGTTACAGATCGGTGAATAGCACCTGGACATTGACACATTCCCACATTGCCCAAGTTTTGTCTAGTACTGTAACAAAAGGAACCAACACTTCTGAATATGCTTAAGTGGGTTCCGACATTTGGAGCTAAAGAAACACAGCCTGGATATCCTCCTGGGATCTGTGCAGACATATCAATCTGGTGGTGCCTTCTTCTAAACATGTATTTCTTAATTGTCTATCTTCAACATTGGGCATTATTGACAGTTGGGTATCCAGGTTCCATAGCAGGACTACGAAATTATGGCATCTAATAATGATTACATGTATCATATTTCATATATCAGTCATGTAAAACTTGTCCATCTCTTCCAGAACACATCAGCTCTGTGATTGGTTCATTATTACGGAACTGTTCTGGGCCACAGAGGCAGAGACTACTCAACAAATTCACCGAAAACGATCATGAAAAGGTAATTTATGTTTCTCAGTTCCTGTGAGAGTTTGACATTCTGTAACATGAATTGACCACACAACAGACAGATTCTACTTAATACTATGAGTTGTATCATAGGTGTTTAGGCGACAAAACACCGAGTCATACTGCAACAACGAATTTATCTTGCTAACATGTTTCAATCATGCCATTGTGAAAGAACTAAAACAATTTGAAAATTGAACAGCAGTTCGATTGAGTTTGTGCTGTGTCACATGACTTTCATTGATTCATAAACACTGTGCAGCCTGTTTTCTTTGTGGCTGGGTATAAGGGATTTATTCTCCCAATCAGAAATCTATTTCCAACCCAGGTAGAATACAATATAAGTTGTAGCAGGATCATCCGGGGTACATGGGGTTTTATGTGTTTCGTGTTAGGGAGCCGGAGGCGAGTTGTATATATCCAACAAGGGATGCATAAAATCCCATGTACCCCGAGTGATCCTGCTACAACAAATTTATCTTACCACCATGTATTAATGACACTGTAAAGGAATTATAACCAATTCAAAATTGACAGAAAACAACTGTTCGATTAAGCAGAGATTAGCTTGTGCTATGTTACGTGACTTTCATTGACTCGCAAAAAGCGTGCTGCTCTTTGCTTCGAAGCAGGGAATAAGGGATTTATTCTACCTCTCAGAAATCCATGTGCAGCCTGTCTTGCTCGTGGCAGGGTATACAGGATACATTCTCCTGCTGAGAAATCTATTTCCCTCCAAGGCGGGATACATAGTATTTGATCAAGATCATGTGAACCAATCAGATCTCAACACTCTGACATGGAGTAAGATAATGTTTGTTGTTCTGCAGGTTGAGCGACTGCTTGAACTCCACTTTAAGTACCTTGATAAAGTACGGACTTGTGATGAACAGATTGAAAAAGAAAAAAGGGTAGGTACCTAATGCTGCTGTTTGTTTTCCTTTTTTTGTGCGTATGAATATGACTGCAAAAATCTAACTGTTGTACAGGCTTCTCGTTTGCCACGGAATTCAGTTGATTAAGTAGTAAACCTATTCAGTATAACATATCATTGTGTAAAATATGTTGTGTTTGATATTTCACATGAAGCCAAATCTTTAAGTTCACTGGAAAAACAATATACATAAATGTGGATTATTTTTCATCATTATTACTAAAAAAAATTAGAAACATCTCTCCAAACCATCAGTGTCCTAGAAAATTAACAGATCTGAATCTGTGAAATCTCTGCAAAGAAGAGATATGTGTATTGAAGCATTGCCTTCCAGAGAATGCGGCACACAGGTGAGGATATAGATGACACTGCTGAGGAAGTGTTTTATCTGAAGAGACTGGACGTGGGACTGTTCACCTTACAACTCATTGACTACATCATGCTGGAGATCTGCGCCACAGGGGCACCCTCCGTGAGTGGCTCGGTGATTACATAAACTATGTCTGTTCACAATTTCAGTAGATCTCAATATATGTGTTTAAAATTATCAGTCACCAAGCATTTTTACTTCTGTTTTTTGTGGCAGTATTTAGCAACCATGGAAGGCATTGTTTAGGCAAGGAACGATCATTCTTCTGTTATATCCAGAGAATCTTGACATAGAATTGATATTCAAATCTGGCAGAGGCAAAACGTATTGATCATAAAAGAATTCATTGTCTAAAATTACCAACACAATGATGATAAACATTCATAAATCGTTTCATGGTCTAATTTACTGTTGTTCATCCTTGGTCTGCTACATAATGCTAGTTTAGCAAATACCCATAATGACAAAAACAATTTATACTTTTTTTTCAGATTCGACAAAGAGTTATGCAAATTCTGAACATGAGAGGAGGTTCTATAAAGGTGATCAGGAACATCATGAGAGGTGAGTGCTGGCATGACTTCACCATCAGTGCTAGGGGTGATGACATCCTGTAGCTTGGTGTAAACAGCCAGCAGGATTACAGCAGTACCACATACATACATACATACATACATACATACATACATACATACATACATACATACATACATACATACATACATACATACATACATACATACATACATACATATATATATATATATATTACCGGCACAATAAAGTACATTGTGCTCTCAAGATACAAGTCATTGACTCTACATTCCTATTGTCTGGATTCTTGTAGTTGCATTCATCTGAAGCAACTACCTTAAAACAGATGTCTATGTAAAATTCCCTGTACTGCTCTTGAAAAAAAGGAAATGTGTTGTTTAGTCAACAATACATAATAGTCCTTCCACATTTGAGCTAACCTGTGATGTCTTCTGTTGCAGAATATGCTGGTAATATTGGTGATGCTAAAGATGAGGAGCTGAGAGAAGCAGAACAGAACAGGATTATTCAGCTGGTTGACAAATTCTAAGCCAGATGAAAGTTAAGGTCATATCTTGTTACCAAAGATGGATAGTGAGATCTCATCCAGCAGATGCACATCAACAACATCCATGTGTTCAAAGACTTTCAAGACCAACCATGAACTATCAGTCATGGGATGTGATATATAGAAGTGTTTTCAGTGCACCTGTACTGACAGACTTTGTTCATGTGTAAACCCAGTTTGCAGTGGGTGAAAAGAACACACATATCTTGAAATCAAGGTAAAAGGCTTGTGGATTATGACCACCAAGGCAATCACAGAACAGACATCATGGTCTTACCATATACGTGATACAGTAGTGGTCCTGATGCTTCTCGTTTTTTTCCAAAAACTGATGAAAAGGCTCCTCTGAAATGTCATCTTAAACAACCTATACGTTTCAATTTAGTCAATCAGGTCACTTTTAAGTAGTCAGCTCTGACTGAATGGACCAAACTCTTCCATTGCAGTGGAGACACAACTCCTACGATAGTGAAAAGTTGTAATGATTCATAAGCTGTTGAGGGGACTGAATGTGTCAGACAGTTGTATTCATTTTCACATTGTCATCTTCATTATCACTGAAATAAACCATGTCTTACTTGTATATTTTCAGGCCACTTTATGTCCATCTGAGGAACAGTTTAACAGTTTTCTGTGCTCAAATATATAACAGACTTCAAATTCAGAGCCTGACTTCTGAGACAAGATAACCGAGCTGAGCTCCATTTCACAAATCAGTAAGGAGCCCTACGATTGTAACTGCTATAACATAGATTTACGACAGTCATAGCGCTACCATCGCTTTGTGGAATAGGCCCCCAGGTGAATCCAACCGTCTTATTTCCTTGGGCAGAAAATAATGTTTGAATGCTCCATTGGCGTGTTAACAAGTCAGGACATATTCAGAAGATGATATCATTGTTATTATCTCAATTAACTCATATGTGGCTCATCATAAAGAAATGTCAAGACCAGTACTGTATAGGAAGATTTGGTGTTTTTCTACACTTGCATTCCATAGAGACAGCACATTATTGAAAAATCCACACACGGCAAGTCATAAAAACACATATAAACTTGACAATTATGTTTAATAAAACAGACTATTACACAGAGCAATTGTCTGTAACACACCTAGATGAAAGGTTGTTTTTTCTGATGTTTGGAACTGATGGAAAACTGTGTTCCTTTCATCCATAGAAATAACTGTACAACTGCTGAATGTCCAGACGATCACACTGCCAGTTTACATGGTTCGTACACACTAAATAGAACTAACATCAACCAACGATGAGTGTTCCCTCATCAGGGAAGGAATATACAGGGACCTCCAGGTTCAGTGGAGCCGGTCCTTTTCTGATTCTACCCGAGGCGTCGTAATGGGAGCCGTGGCAAGGGCAGTAATACCCGCCAAAGTCACCAGCATTGGCTATTGGAACGCAGCCTGAAACAGGGAGAATGTAAACATGATTACATGGTACAAGCAAGACAGAGAGACAGAAGTGATTTGTGAAAGTACCACTCAGAGTTCACTTAGTTTTTGAAATGTTGAATACAAGTTATCAGTTAAAGATAACCATGACTAGACCAAAACCATGTCTCACATGCATTATTTTGACGGAGACAAGAAATGGGCACAAGACCGTACAGCTTGGTTAGCGGTCCAACCACATCAGTTATCAACTTGAACACTTTCACAGACAAGCATTTCAGTTTGATTTGCCGAGATTTTGGTTGTCATGATAAGTACCAAACCTTTAACCTGGGGTGACCATTTCATAATTAAATCAACATTTTTCGGGACAAACTGCTATGGCCAAATCCGGTGTCATAATGCAATGTCCTTTAAGCTACTTGGGTACTAGTTTTTAATGCAAATTCCATTATCAGTAGGAGTGTTGAAGTGATGAAGAGACAGTATGTTCTGTTCAGTTTCAAAAGAAAAGGCCATAACCAGAATTACCACACATCTTAATTTTGTGACAATGTATTCATTACATTCATTCTCAAGTTGGCAACCTTTAGAAAACGAGTTGGCTCAGAAGGATCAGTTGAAAAGAAAGAAGCAATAATGCGTGATGGGGAGGAGGGTAAGGGCATTACAATCTCACTGTTTGGAATCAGCAGTGCTTACAATTATAACATCAAATATGGATGAATCATGTGCTCACCTAAATGTGTACAAACACCAAGTAAAACAAGCCACTCCGGGTTGGTTGTCCTCTCGTTGTCATGTTCAGCATGTCGCAAAGTGCCGAGATCAACGCCCTGCTCCACTTCAATCTCCTCAGCGGTACGATGTCTGACAAACAGAGGCTTGCCTCTCCACTTGAAGGTGACATTCTTTCCCTCTGGAATTTCAGATAGCTTGATCTCGATCTTGGCCAAAGCCAATACATCAGCTGATGCACTGAGAGTGCTGACGATGTCCGTAACGATGTTCTTAGCAGCATATGCAGCAGTCACACTGCCACCTAGATAGCAGAGAACCACATACAGTCAAGTCTCGTTAATCCAACAATCGGCTTTATCTGACACTTATGACGTGAACCGATTAAATCAGTGCTATTTAGACCCGTTAATCCGATAGTCTCGCACTCTGACCCCGACACACCTAATTTGCAACGAATTACCGAAATCACTCATTAATCTGACAGTGATGAGCGTACTCTGTGGTAATCTGCCCGCGAGTACACAGCCTCGTGTTTTGATGCAAGACGAGTCAGCTAGTAGCTGCACATTTCAATGACTGCAGAAATAAACTTGCTTAACAATAAACAATTAATACTTTAAATAAGCTAAACAGGATTAACTACATGCTAAGATTACCTCAATCTCATCAAAATGACCTTTCCCAAACTTTGACCGACCAATGAAATGACTACAGGAAGTTAACAGTAGTACTCATGACAAAAGAGGCCAAGGTAAAACACTGAGTGGTACATTCACAAATGGTCATGATGATAGGTTATTGGTCTCAATGATGTAAGGGGCATAACTCTCGTTCCCAGAAGTTTGAATTTTCTTTGTTCGCAAGTGAATCAGATCAATGTCTTTATCAGTGGTAAGTTGTTATGGTAATGTAGGAAAGTTATTAGAATGACATGTGTCAGTTATATTTATGGATGCTCAAGACTAACATTTACTTGAAGTAGTAAGTTATGTTGGCTATCATCAGTCAAGTGACCCCCTCCTAACTAGACCAAACTAACCCAGTTTAACAGCGAGAAGAAACTGTGAGATGCTGTGCCCCTTGCATAGGACAATCCCCCTTCCTAACCCCCCATTTCTAGGTCACCTTAGAGGATACACATAGCTATTATCCACACCAAGACAAATATACTTATTTACCTCCAACAATCATGTAAGTAAAAGACCGTCGAGCAACAACTGAGTTCTGTGAGGATTGGTGACTATCCTTGACTCCATCACGACGATAAAAAGAGAAGTCAGGGACTGGGATATCTGTGTGAGCAAACCTCACTTGATTTGAAGCTGAAAACGACAAAGCAATCATGAACAATCAGTTGTTAAGTACACAGATAAAACTTGAATCAGACTTGCATCTAGATATAGACGGATTCATAAACACATTATAAACATTATTAACAAAACCTGCACAAAAGAAGAAAGGATATTTAGTCTATAAACCGAGCTCCAAAGACTGCTTGGAATCATGGAGTAGTCACATAGGTATTGATAGTTTTCTTTGGATATTCAATATATCTTTAATCCCTTGGGTCGAATCTGTAGAGGTGCAATGATATGGAACACCACATCATGATACATAACTCAATACTCCAGAATAACAACACAAGGCATGAACTGAAATACTTGTTTCTTTCAGCTGAGTGAAATATGGCGACAAACTGTTTCTTCCTTGTTAACTGAATCCATCACAAAAGAGAAATAGGAAGCTCAAATGATCAAGTAAAAAATACTATTTTGTATCGTCATGTAGCCATATGTATTGTGGATAGTATTGAAGGCCACAGACCATGGTGCATCGGAGTTCCAGTGTATAGTTTCTCCCTTGCCAGTATTTTTGGTATTTTTTAACCAATATGAAGACATGTGTTTATGCAATTCCACATCAAACGCAGCTCACAACAAAAATACAGTTTTAAGTTACAATAAGTGAGATGAAGCACTTTTGCATGATTCACTGCAGTAGCATTCATATTTACATGGTGCCCACATTGCATCAGTAAATAATTATCTATAAAGACACACGGTTATGCAAGACACTGTTATATGGGTTGGGTATTTTTAAAATTTTTAATGAATATTAGCACACAAACAAGCAACAAAAAATTCATTGAATTCACTTTGTGTATTTTATGTGATACACCTAAAGAATACCAAATACCTATCTGCCATGATTGTTTTGATGTTTCAAATATAGCAGCACATGATATTGACCATTTATAAAATAGGGTGATGAAGCTCATAATAAGCAGAAAAATGGTTTCATATGATTAAACCTTAAGACTGAATATCGCAGCAATTCATAAACATCAAAAATTGGACATGAAAAAATATTACTCAAAATAGAAGTTCCATAATGGCATGAAGCAGCTTCGTCAGTGACATCCATCAGAGAAACATTCCAACAAACACTGAGTAGTATTTTAGACACTTAATAATGTTAATTATAATAGTATTTGTTTCACATCATGGTGGGGGGCAAGCCCCCCAAACCCTGTAGTTGTAGTTGACTAAAAATATTGGCAAAAACATAGAAATCGTTACTAAGGAAAAGCTTGTGCACATTCCTTATCAATATGGTGGAAGGTATCTGGCATTCTGTATTCTAGCCAAATATGCCGCATATTTGTAGCTCTGTGTCAATATTTTAGACCTTACTGAAAAAAGTTTCACTTAGGATCCATAACAAGATTAGGCCCAAGATTAAAATGATTAGGTCAGGGCTGGGACGAATCCAAATTTACTATCCAGGTACATGCCCCCCTATTACCCGACCCTACCTGAGTACCCACTGTAGGTCTCAAAAGTTAGGTACAATGTGTCCCATTGGGAACTGAATTAACAGAGCCCAGGCAAAAACAGTTTAGATATATGAACAAAACGATCTGATCATGCAAGCACTGAAGTTGACTGAAGCCTAATCTTTACTCAAACAAATAATATAGTCAGAAAGAAAGGCGAAATCAGTAGGCCTAACTTATAGTGTAACCATGGAGTTTTATTGTTATTGTCATCAGTACCTGAGTTACCCGTCCCTGCCCTAGATTATGTATATAGATACTTCAATCAAGGTGTCAATACCTTATATTAATTTATTGTACTGATTAATTGTAAAGCTATAGGCCCTAAGATAGTGTTACTTAGATCTGCCTTACGAGGGTATGTCTGCAACTGGTCAACATGGGGACATGGTTCAAACGTTACACAATAGAAGTCATGCATATATCATGAGTATCTATGAATAGTTTCCCTTTCATTTGATTGTACACTTATCTTTAAGTTATCGACCCCGAGTTCCGTTGGTCTATATTGATAGCAATATCGCTCTCTGATCATACTCACAAGCAAGTCCTGATGTGGCCCGCAACGCATTTTTCGGAAGCAGGTCTGACATTGAGAAATGTGTGAGCGCTGTTTTAGGCTGCCGAACAACATATTTTTCGCCTTTTTGAACAACACCTGGAACAGATGCTCTTACCGCATTAGGAACTACCTGCGAAACTGCAGAGAGAACCGCAGATTTAGGGATAGATATCATTTTGTGGTGACTTTCACCCCGTCCCCAGAAATTTACGAAACTTGTGGTAAAGGACGTTTTACGTCACAAGTAAATCAAGCTGTTTGCCTCACAACTTTTGCAACGTTTACTCGACCTCTGTTGACATAGCTAAATATTTCCTCTGTTTTCATATTTCGCGTTGTAAGTGTTTCCTCGACAACCATTTGTAATCACAAAACGGGTGTTTTACACGTGATAAAAAATTGAAAGACTATCAATGAGGGAAATATACAAGGAGAATCTAATATTAGGCCTCTAATTCCGTACAACGAAAAGATGACTTTGAACCCACATATAATAACACAAGACCGTACCAGTGAGGATTATTTCTGTAAATATAAAGCTAACCGTTTCCAAAAATAGCCAGGTCACTTTCTGAAACAATGGGATGTTGCATAAAGGTTTGAATGAATTACGTAGGTTTAAGAAAGAATCTCTACCAAACAAGTACATGAATATTTATCTATTTAATACTTTTTCTTGAAAACAAGTAACATCATGGGTGGTTTAATTTATGTGTGTCTATACAAGTACACTAACTAGTTCATATAACGTTCACTCCCATGGGCAGTCCGGGTTTGGAATGGTCCCAAGTAGCCTTTCTCCAAGGCTTTACTAAATGGTAAATCCATGGGTGTATAGTAATTCTATCCCGAAAATAGGCGAGTCTAGATAAGTGGACAGTCTAATGACGTCAGTTTCTTATAGGAACAACATGTTGTTATTATTATTATTTATTTAATCTAAAAATTATGATTGCATAATTATTGCCTTATAGACTTGTGCAAGTCTGGGTCCCCATCAACTGGGCGGGTTGCGGTAAATTCGTAGACGCAACACGTAAACACAATTTACAGTGAATTCGTAGAATAACCGGAAGAGAACCGGTGTAATGATAACAGTTATCTAACGTACATTAATCTGACAATGAAGTGTGTGTGTGTGAAATATATACATGGCGCGCAGTATATTATTTATTTCCCTCTCTGTCTTTTTTAGTTATCTCTAAAATTGCCAGTAGCAATAGGTTTACCATGCCAACCTGAAGAGATTGATGTGCAAAAGATATGAAATACCAACCGACTGACTTTGAATTTATTCAACGATAACATGGTATCACACTTGTTTCTGCAAATATTTCTATATAAACACGAAAGTTTCGTTCATGGACCAAATTATATTTTAACATCAAATTCGTGTCCCCAGAAGGAAATATCTGCATGCAAGATTGTTCAATTCTACCAGAAACACGGTTACTATCTGAAAGAAAAACATGAAATGAAACGTGTTTGGAATTAGTCTGTAGGCGAATACAATACTGATTGCCGTGCGCTGTTCTATATGTCGCACACAAGTCAAAGGTATATAATAATAACTAATTTTAACATTCTTTTTTAATACACATATACATTATCTCTCCCATTTCCGAAACATCCATGTCGAGCTCTAATTATTCCCTAGCAGCTACAGAAAAAAATGTTTGCTGTTGCGACATTGTATTGAATTACCGATCCTGCGCGGTGCATCATGGGAGTCTGGTACTTTCAAAAATGGCGAGCTCAGATAGCGAAAGTGCTTACGAGGTAAACCTTTATTTCAATACTTCTCGGGCAACTGAGTTTTTTGTTTCGTTTGAAAATATCATTATGTTGTTACTCCTACTTAATTTTGTTTGGCATACGGCAGATCAATTCTTATTACTTGGTGAGCATGTCAATGTTTACGACTAAGTAGAGTGTGGTTTCGATTTCCGCATTGTGCGTCTTCACAGAGTCAACAAAAGAACCGTCTAATGAAAAACACTTGAAGTTACTATTATCAGTTAACGAATTTACAGTATGTAGCATTGTAACTTTCTGATGGTATTAAATCTGCTGAGTAAAGGATCACGCCTAGAGCCGATACCAATATTTCTTACTTTTCGAAGAAGCCACTAGGCTACCCTGTTCCCTAAGTGTTTATACAGGCCAAGCGCATTAAACACAGGGCTTGTCGCGATCATGCGGTACCATGCCACCTGCGCTTCAAGTGTGATGGTGATCAAACATGCATGTCAAAGGTTAGGCTCTACATAAAGGTCAGGTTAACGCTTAAGAGTATACGGAATTGTTTACTTAATGTTTTAGAGAGGTGGGAAAGATGATGTTTGAAATGGCAATATAAGATAGAATGTAAAGTGCAATGAAATAGAGATTTTGTGTTTGTATGTTCACACACACCTTAGGGGTACACCAGTATGCATTTAACCGGAACCTACCCACCATGTTTACTTTATGTCATTAATATAGCCAAAAACATTGCAGCATTACAATTTGAAAAAAAGATGATAAAGCTCAAAATACGCAGAAAAAGAACTACTTGCATGGATGGAATATGAATAGCTATGAATAAACCTCAGAATTAAATACCAAACTCAAAGCAATTCATGAGTATTGAAAAAAAGTAGACATCCAAAATATTTTTGAAAGTTAAGTAATGGTGTGTGACATCAATCAAGGGGTGTCTCTTGAAATGTGGATGTCACTGATCACTGCTGATGAGGTTTCCGCACATCATTATGCTTCGATCTAACTTCTATTTTCAATCATTATTGCTATGTTGATGTTCAATTTTCAATGTTTATGAACTGTTTTAATATTTAGTTTTGAGGTTTAATTATATAAAACCTTACAAATGCAAGCATTGTCATTTTCTGCCTTTTTTTTAGCTTTATTGCCCTATTTTTAAAAAAAATGTCTGAGTGGGGTATTCATGTTAAACAGCAGCATGGTATCTCAATTGGCTAGCACTAGAAACTCGGCATTAGTCCGGTCTAGTAGTAGTACAAACAATTCACATTACCTCACCACCAAAATGGTAAACGATTCCCGATCATACCCAATTTGTCACTCTTCATGAGAATATAAGACTTACCATATTCGACGTATTAAGCCCCCATGGCGCTCTCAAAATTAGAAAGAGGGGGCTCTTATTAGAATACGATTTTGGTGAAAGAGTTGAAAGATCGTAAATTTGTGGTTTAGGCTGACAGCCTGAAATGATACAAAAGAAAAGTCTGTGCGTATTAGACACGCCTGATATATTTTTCCAGAATTAAATTTTCTGTAATTAAGGGTGCATATAACACACGAAGGGTTCTAATTGGGATTGTTTACTAGCCAATATATTAGCAAATATCGCCGTGGGCGCTTATTAGAGCAGGGTGCTTATTACGCCGAATATGGTATATATATGATAAATAAATCAAAAGACTTTCGTTGGGTTTCATAGGCTTTAATAGTCACATAAATAATCAAAAAAGGCGTAATGTGTTGTTTGGTTTGTTCAATTAGTTTATTGTCAAGCATTTGTCATGATTTGCTCGTCACTCTGAAGTCCCTGGTTCAATTCCCCACATGATGGTAACAATGTGTGTAGAGTGTGTATTTGGTTTTCCCACATCCTTGATCATGTTGATGTTGCAAAAGTGGTGTAAAACCCAAATCACTCAAGTCAAGCAGGGACTAAGTAAAGGCGACTATGTTTGTCGTAAGAGGCAACTAACAGGATTGGGTGGTCAGGCTCCCTGACTTGGTTGATGCATGTCATCGATCCTAATTGCTTGGATCGATGCTCATGATATCAATGACTGGATTGTCTGGTCCAGACCCGATTATTTACAGACCACCGTCATATAGCTGGAATATTGCATTAAACAACAAACCAATGACTAAGTGAAATGGCCTTGATGAAAATATCATTATCACGACATTGAAAGCATACTTAATTGGACAGCCGACCATGCAAACAATTACTACCATTTGGACTTTGTTATCTAGGACAGAGACAGCGAGAAGTAGTGTTCTTAATCAATGTCTTCTCATATCATTTTCTTATTACTGCAAGTCAATCCATCACCAGTGTGCAACATTAAAGTAGGGAATCATAGACTAAAAGTAAAAAATCTTCAGGGGTTAAAAGTACCATTGCCTGTGCCAAGTTAAGATTTGACAGTCGGGCAGCTAATATATGTTTTCTGGCATACCCGTGGATAAGTATTAGGGCTGGCTAAAAAGATCAATAATTTGAATTATCATCGATGGGAAGAAATATTAACAATTATCTATATGAAACTGTTGTCATTAATAATAACTCACATCTATTGTGATGAAATGAAGTTTAAAGAAACAGACTTGTTATTGTCAATTAAGTCCATTGTCGAAGACGGAAAGCAACTGTTTTTGTTATATCTCAAATGTCCACAAAGTAATCCATGCATAAACATGTCACTGCTCACAAGTGCAGTGAATTATGTTGATTTCATATGGGGCTTTCTAGCATATTTGCTTTAAGTTACTTATATTTATTGATAATTGATTGATATTAAGTTGGCCTTTAGAGTGTGTGTCATATGAGAGAGACGTTTTACGTAGAAGTATAGTCAGTACCAGGCAGCAGCTGTGATGTTACATCACTGTTATCTGGCCCTACATGTTGCGCTAACAATGTGCATCCTATTGTGGTGACCAACAGACAATGAACTGAAGAAAGCCAACAGATAGCACCATCTCGGAACAAGAAACTGTATTTGTAAGACATGTAATCCATGTTCAACCAGTATCCTTTCATGCAGGAACAGTACCTCTTAAACATATTCATGCTGATGGTGTGCTGGATGGAATTAGAAAAGCTTTTGAATCAGTTGGAATTTGTTTTGATGATCTATTGAGTACTACAGAAGCAAGTGGCCCAACTTTAGTATCTGTGAATTTTGATTGAGCTTCAGTAATGCTTGGCAGCAAAGGTTGTGCTGCAACCAAAATATGCATACAAGCCGAACTTGTTGTACTGGTGCATTGCGTAGCACATAAGATGTCAAACATCTACCTAGACTGTCAAATTTTGAGATGTCTAGAAACAAGTTTTCAAGTTTTACCATCATAGACCCAAAATGAGAAGGGAACTCAAGTTAGTGTCTGTAATATTCAATACTGATCTGTCTGATGTGAAACAGGTGAGATGGCTTGTGAGCATTTGTGAAAACTATGTGCACCCTTCTTGATATCCTTCCTATCCTCACAGAGTTAACTCTTGTCTTCCAGAAGGAAGACCTTCTCATTATTGAAGTTCCTTCAGAAATTGAAGGTCTTGTCATGAAGTTCCTAAACTGTAAAATTGATCCTGTTGATGCAGGGGAGGGTATGGAATGGTGTAAAGCTAAATGATTTGTGCCCGCCTGTCATCTTTAAAGAGGATACATTCCTCACATCACTTGTTGATGGCATAATCACCTACTTTTCATGCTTCAAACAGAAACCTCTCAAGCATTTCTCTGTGTTTGACTTTACAGAATGGCACACTCAAAGAGAGCCCCCTATCTGTGTATGGTAGCACTGACCTGAGTTGATGTAATATTTCTTTGCTCTGTTCTCAGAGGAGGAAAGAAAACAAATATCCAAAGAATTTATAGACCTAAACATGCTAAAAGACCAGTTCTTGACACATACTACCGGCTGCTTGAACATGTTGAAAATAACACCTGACAAGTTCATACATATCTGTAAACTTGTGGAACTCATGCTTGTGGTTATTCCAGGAATATCTATTTGTGAGAGAATGTTTTGGAGTGTGAACTATTTAAAACTCACCACAGAAAGCTCTGAACCAAAATACACTTTGTCATACACTGACAATTATGACACATGGTCCAAGGAAACTTTCAGATTTTAATCCAAGACCCAGATTCACCATACTCCAGGATCAAGACATCTTGTCTTTAGTGAAAGAGGCTGAACCTGAGGCTGTATCATGCAGCAGCAAATGTGTTTAATTATTAGACTCACTGTGTCTGTATTGAACATGAGATGTAGAGTCAATAAATAAGACAAATTGGTCACACTTTTATTACAGAAATCCATGGAGGTGTATCTCTGATTTTCAGTTCTGAAGCAGAAACGTTTTACTGAATTTATTGGCTTGATTTTGGGCAAGTACATTTTGAAATAGGGCAAGTAAGAATGTTGGTCATACTGTCACTTAGGCAAGTAACCTTTTACATAAATTTTCACCCCCTTAGGGTTTATGAAACAAAAAGGTAATTAGTTCACATTTTATGACATATCACATTTTGCTAATCAAAGGGGAACTGGAGTAGTGTCACAGCAGGCAACTAACGGGATCGGGAGCTGAGACTCGCTGGTTGATGCATGTCATCTTATCCCAATTGAGTAGACTGCTGCTCTTTGTCAATCACTGGATTGTCTGGTCCAGACTCAATTATTTACTGACTGTGACAGACGTCATAAAGCTGGATTGTTGCTGAATGTGGCGTTAGACAACAGACAGACAAACAGGCAAAAGCATGTTAGAAACTGAAGGCAATGTGTTATATGTTTCTATCAATTTGTGAAATAATCAGCACACTAAGGATTTTATGATGTTTTCTCTGAGATAAACATGTTATCCGCATGTCATGTATGTTGAATGCTATAAATTATACCCCACCACGAAGTGGGGTGGGGAATATAGGAACAGTCCATCTGTCTGGACGCTTCTCAAAGGGGACAAATTTTCTATTTAAGTTAGAGAAATGAAATTTTGCACACTGATTTTACTGGTCCTGATCTTAAATGCAGAGCTCCAGATAAGCTACGTATCTGCGTGAAATACGCATCAGAAATGCAGAAATACGCAGTAAAATATAATCCAAGCGTATCAAATACGCAACGAACATTACAGATACGTTTAAAAATAAAATTTGTGCGTATCATCAAAATATTGTGAAGTAACCCTGCGTATTCGATTAGCAAATCAGCAACTTATTTTGAAATTATAAACGGGCATTCCGTCAACCAAACTCCACGATGACAGTCACATCATGATCATTTGCCATCACACTTTCGTGTGGAAGTATCGTGGTATTTTTGAGTCCTATAAAGCTCTCAAACCCACACGACACCAGTTTGCAGGGACTAGATGAATAGTGTTTTTAAATATTTAACTTAAATACCCACATGTGTAAAAACTAGTGGGTAACAGAAATTTGAATACGCAGATAGAATTACTGATACCCAATGATTTTAAAATGCATGGGTAAAATATCCACAACACCAAAAGCTTATCTGGAGCTCTGTAAATGAGTTCGAAAATTGGTCCCGTAATTATGGCCCTTGCTCCATGCATTTCAGATGGGTGCATACTGCATGAAATGGGGACAAGTTTTCTCAGAAACTACTGTGTTACATGAATGAAACTTTGTAAGCTTTTTTCTAAGAGATACTTGTCAAGATTGAGTTTGAAAATTGGTGCTGTAAATTATTTTTAAATTACCGATGGAGCCATGTTACCAAGAGTGTGCTAAGGTCCATGTTATTTTACACAGTGCATTGTGTCTGCAATGGGGACATATTTTCTCAGAAACTGCTGAAGTTAGCTTTTCTAAGAGATACTTATTAAGACTTAAGTTGGAGAATTGGAGCCATATATTAATTTTTGCAGATAAGGGCTTTTTGTGTAATAATTTCACATTTAATCATTTCTTCTGATGACAAAGCGACCATAGTGCCTATATCTTTCTTATGCTTTATACTATAGGACTCAATACTACAGAATAGTACAGACTTCTAATATATAGGTATTATTACTATCTTATGTTGACAGTCGCTGAAATACAATTACAAACATTCATATTGAAGCACATTCTGTTTGCGCAACTTCCGCTATTTTATCCAATCAGCAGTGATATTGAAAAAGTTTTATGACCTTGTTATCCAGCCACATTTCATCAGCACTGATCTGGAGTCACGACTGACTTATTACTTGCAATTATGTTGGCTGATAATTTTTATTAATCCGACCAAGCAGAATTTCTGTCAATATCAGCGCATGCTGTCAAAGCTGTAAAATACTTACTTACTAAAGGTGAAATTTTCTACAACAGAATTTGAATCTGCAGCTGGAAAATATAAATCCAGTGTATGAAAAAGTCTGTCGTAGTGAAATTCACAAAAATTGCTGCGAATCAAGTATCATGATGCATATCTTTTCATGAACAAAGTATCACATATGTATCATTTCAGGAGATTGTTGTATTGTGACATCCCTTCCTTTTAGGAACATCACTATATGAGGATGTCAGTTAGCATAATATAGTGTCTGATGGTTGGTAACGTAAGGGTTAGGTGTAAAGTATTGAACAGGGGTAAGTTGACATTTGAAACTGAAAGTTTTAAAAACAGGATACAATTTTAAGATCCACTCTCACAACATGAACACTAAGTACAAAACGTTAAACAATAACTAGAATTCATCTATTACTATGCAGGTGGACCAGATCTTGAATCAGAGGAAGAGGAAAGGTGTTTTGGAGTACTTGGTGAGATGGCGAGGGTTTGGGAAGGAAGAGGACAGCTGGGAACCTGGCAAGAACCTCTCAAACTGTGCCGCTGCCATGGCTGCATACATCAAGCTAACGGTAGGGGGACATATGTCTCATATAAGTAACTTCTGTGGAGCCAGTGTTAGAAATAGATCAAAATCAAGACCTTTGTTTCATTTGTATACTCATAGACTTCTCAGTTTTGTGTGATGAACATTTGGTCATAAAATTCCCCTAAATTCATGCCGATTTTTGCAATTAATTATCAAGGTCAAGACTGTTTGTTAAACTTGTGTTAAAGAAATGAAAAAAAACAAGATTCAAAGACTGAAAATGAAACATGCTAAAATAATTATCAATACTATTGTAGCAATACTATAATACTATAGAGTACATACAGTAATTCCCGCTTTAGTTTTGTCAATCTTAAATCCTCTCATAGGCACCAGCTAAAACTCAGAAGAAGTCTTCGAAGTCAAGATCACGGTCAAGGTCAAGGTCTCGATCCACCAGCCGAAGCAGAACAACAAAGTCAAAAAGCAGTCGACCACAAACCCCGACAGCCCTCAGTAGAACTCCTAGATCCAGGTCACGGTCATCATCGCGGGGGAGACAAGCGAAACAGCCAGAAACTCCACCACGACAGTCAAAAAGGACAGAAGTTGTCACAAAAACTTCTACAAACAGAACTCCAGGCAGAATTGAAAGGACGACAGAAGTTGTCAAAGTGAGTTCCTAATAGGATGCAGTTGTTTGTTGGAAGGTCAATCAGGGTTTGCACAAACATGAAAAGTACTTGAACTTGAACTTGGATTTGTATTAAGAGGTTTCAGAAGGTGCTTTAATTTAAATAGCAAAATCCCCTTGAAATATTTACAGAAACAGTTATCAATCTAATTTCACGGCTTTGTTTACTTCCCTGTCAACATTACAACTGGGTTCCTGTCTGGCATAAATCCCATGGCAGTGCTATTATCAGAATTAGTCAAGTATCAGTAGCAGCTGTGTAGCCTCATTCTGACCAATATTGAAAGGAGGTCATGTGGTCCCATTAACCGATACGATTGTTTTGAAGGCACTTAGACAGGATCATTTAAGTTTTGTGTTGAACCGTGCATATTACCACATGGTGTAAGCATTAAAAATTGTTGCACATGACGAAGTAGAGAAATACGGTGCTATATTTGTGTTGTAGAAAGGAGAGAGACATAAATCTGATGGGGAATGGTATCAGGTTATTAGTTTTGGAATACCTGATGCTCTAAAACTGTCAAAGTGTTAATGTTAAAAGTACTTCATGTTAATTTTTAGATTGGTCGAATATCAATGCATATAAAATTTCCTTGAAAATGTTTTTGACCTTGAAAAAACCAGCTTGAAGTTTGAACCCTGCCAATAAACACTGCAACTGACACTTTGTGCTGTTCAGGCTATTTCAGTATCTGTAACACAGTGTAAACAAACAAGGTATTTTAGCATCATACTCACAGAATGTGTCCATGAACATCTTACTGTGCATGTAAATAGTTATCAGATCATAAAACTGTTCTCTTTTTGGCTATTAAGATACAGTGTTTGGTGTTTTGATGAAAATTTGCAAATGATTTAAAACCCATGAAACTTGCTGGCATACAAGCAGTTAAAGCTTTGCATATATTCAAACTAGCTGCTTATGTAAAGGCATAAATGGCATTGCAAATGATAGAATCATTCAGGGTACATGAAGGAAAGTGAGTGATTATGGTTTTATGTCACTTTTAGCAATATTCCAGCAACATCACATGGGGAGACACCAGAAATGGGCTTCACACATTGTACCAATGTGTGGAATCAAACCTGGGCCATTACCCTGAACAGTGAGCTTGTGAACACCCTTAGTCAACAGTGTTTCTTATATGACTGATAGAAATTCCTTCCTCCTGTTGAAGCAAATACGAGACGACTCGAGGCCGACTGAGGTGAAGACAACACGTGTTGTACAGTCTCGGACAGAGGTGAAGACGGTGGAGGACAAAGTTGACGGGAAGCCTGTGGCTGCCTCACCACAGCAAGGTATAGGCAATAGCCTGTACACTCTGTGGCAGACGGCTGACACTGCAGTCCTCATTCTGTTTGTCTGTGTCTCCATCATTGTTCTCAGCTATGTTGTGGAGAACTACTGCAGGTACGTTCACACATACATTATGCTTTCATTAACCAGGTAACACTGTTTTAACATATCTGAAAGTTGACTGGTCATATGGAGTAATATGATGTATCGTAGTCGAGATCAATGCAATATGATGTCACCAAAACAATATATTCACTTAAACAGATTGGTGAAAAGTTGGTCATGAGTCTCTTTTTGGAGCAGGGCACTTAATACGGCGAATGCAGTATCTAGAAACATGAATATCAAACATGTAATACTTTGATCTGAAATATTGTACTAGTCTGGACAGGTTTTGTTTCTATAGCACAACAGTATGTTAATGCATCGTGTATAACCATGTACAAGTCAGTGCAAGTCACACCAGTTGTTGATACCATGAGTCAGGGTACATGTAAAGCAATGGACGTTGTCACCAAGCCTTGCCACCATATCCATTTTAGTTGCCTGCTGCAAGTAGTAGAATGCTGTTTGACTTGTCACAGATATGATTCCTCGATAGAATTCTTTCAAATGGGCCGTGGGAGTGGTGGGGGTAGCCAGGTGGTTTACTCATTTGCTCATCACACGTAAGACCTGGGTTTGATTCCCCACATGGGTACATTGTGTGAAGCCCATTTCTAGTAACCCACAAGTTGTGGAGCCGCTCCAAATGGGCGTGTGCAGTTCTTTATGACACGTGTCATGAAATGGATACGGGTCGAGGTCACAAGAAAGATGTTTGTGGTTACACTTTACTTCCCAAAGTATGAATGGCATTATCATTAACTTGGTATGTACTTTCTACGGGATGGAACCCTGCTAAGAAACGAATTTGGAAAAATATAGGTCCAGTGTCAATGTCACCTTTCAGGTGTTAGAAGAACTTTGTATTTACTGTAGTAAATGGTTCAGGTTTGTTTCACATTGAAGCTCAAATTTACATTGCAGCCCATCTGAAATGTGGAAGTTTCTGGTTGGTCTATACACATCTGTAATTGGAGCTGTTGTTGCTGTGTGGCAGTGTGTGACGAGGTCATCGGTAAGGGTTTTGGAGACAGCAGCAAACTTCACCCGCAACAGTTGGAAGAAGGTGACCACCAACTAGACCAAGAGGGAGCTCTCTCAGGCCACAGCGGCCTCTAGTGCAGACATTCGTAGATGTGTGTACCTAATAGCAGGGACAGTGACTCGACTTCAGCAGGCAGAGGTTGTAGCATCTCCACATTCAACAACGCAACACATGAAATCAGGATTGCAATTGTCAAATTGTGCATTTTCACTTTTTATTGAAGTCATGAAATTTGTATTGACAGTGGTTGCTCTGACGTTTCAGTCTGTAATCATATCTCCTGATTCTTTTTAGTTTTAAACAGTGTTTTTGGAAAGAATAGCTCTTCAACGGGTCGCTTTAATTTCTACTTGTTGAATAAATATGATATTGAAATATTTTACCAGTTAAACTGTAAGCTCAAACTATATGTGAGATTCCATATTAAGCTATTCTATATTTCCATTCTTAACATTCCCATCATTTTAATTCTGCATGGACCAAAGAAAGAGTTACCTCCCCTTACATGTCAAACCAAGCTTCAGACTGAAAGCTTCTGTCTAGGATCGTTTATCAAAACCAGATATTTTTTACCTTTTATAGCGCCAGTTTGGATGCAGCATTGGATAATGAATTTGTACAGTGAGGACACTTTGTATAGGAGGAATTAATGGATGTTCATCGTTGTTGGCATGTGTACTTAGAATGGGCTTCCTCAAGCTATTTTTATATTCTCACTTGATCTAGTCTTAGCACATAAATATCAGCCTTGCAGAATGTTATAATATTTATGTAGTTTCTAGATCATTGTGTTTAGATTTTGTGTAATTTTTGCTTTACAAGTATAATGTGTACAAAATCAGAAGTGCTATCAATTTATTTCTCTGAAATAGGCAGCATTTGACAATTATATGCTAAATCATGTAGATGTAATCAAGACAAATCGTGAAACACTTGACACGAAAAGAACACCAGTTTTGCAGCTAATCATACCATGATAAATTGAAAACTTTTGACTAGAAACAGTATCTCCTTTGTAATGAGGGTAGTTGTTCTACAGTTTTATGGTTTGCAGATGAAATGTTACTGAATATGTATGCAGACAATATGGATCCAAGATATTTTCACATTATTCCTCTTCATACTAGAAGTTCACCAACTGTCACGTATATAGATCCATGGTAGAGGAAACACACAGAACAGTCCTTCTCATCTGTGGAGGAGACATCACTACAGAAATGAAGGTGTACTACCTGATGATGGTGTTCTTGCTCAGAGGTTCATGTTTAATCAATGTCATCTTTCATTTCATTCAACCACTGTAAGTGGAGTTTGCCTACCAAATATGTGTTCTTTTACATACTATGCTCTCATGAAATGAATTTAGCAATTTTTAAGACTTTTAACTTTACATAGCCATGTTTTACATAATTGTATAAATTATCCTGCATGCTCTTACTACTCAATAATTACTTTTGGTCATAATGTTGTCACTAGTTTTAATGTTTCATTTCATTTCTCATCTAAATCATCTTGATTTTCAATGAAAATTGTGCCAAACATTTCAAATTTCAACCTCATTGGTTTTATTAGATTTTTAATTCATGTGTTGTATAAACTGTATTTAGAAGTATTCGGACAATGCATATGAAGGATATGCAAATACTATGATGTAGTGCTTCAGGTTAAAGCTTGTATGTACTATGTACTACCTCCTGCAGACGGTGTAGATTGCAGAAAGAAAGTTAGTGGCTTTTGAGCTGAACATTTATTCTTGAATGTACTGGAGCATCATGAAGTGAACACAGTGTGCAACAAGTCAGCAGCAAGACATGGCCTTCATAATGGGCAGCTAAGAAGTGTTCATGAACATGCATCTGTAACCTTGTAGCACTGTTTCACCAAATCTCAGTATGCAGTGATGTAACGTAGATGTGCCTACATATACTAATAAAACAAAACAAATTTGTAAGTTCTTGACTCTTATTTCTATTCAAAGAAAATGTCTTACATTGAGTTATAAAAAAGGAGTTCAATTACCCAGAACCTTGTGTTTAATTCAATATAATTGTACTTAGCTCAACATTTTCATGTTTGATCTCAGATGTGATGTGTTGTAGTTGAGAATGAGAAATGAGTCAATGTTTTAATTTATCCTGCATTACTCCTTAATGCATCTTCTGCTAACCTTATAACAGAAATGAAGCTGTCTGACATTCTAGGCTGAATAAAAAAGTCTGAAGCCTGACCACATGACCAAACAGAAGTGACGCACTAACATGTATGACCCTGATTCAACCTTTACAGCATAATAGTTGTGTAACCAAAGTGAAAATTTGGGCATTGTGCCATAAAACTCACAGTAGGTGCAAGACTGGAAAACCTTATGTTAGACCCCGCCGAACACCATGTTTCATCAAATTATCAAGACTTTTACTCAGGATCTCATGCAAAAAGGTGGGACACCCAGGTAGGAAGCAATAAACTTCACAAATTAAAACCAACAATCGGTCATACCTTCTTGGGTTGTCAGTCAAGACATGACAAGTTCGTTTTATGACAATGTAGTATTGGCCACAGTCTGTTTACCCACGAATATCTGCTTAAGACAGATAATGACCAACCTCCTAAGTGTATCCCTTGTTGTTAAAGGTTCACCCTCAAGCATATATTGCTTAACTGTGTGAACTTTGCAATCACAAGGGATTCACATAATCAAAGCGTAAATCTGAAAGATCTCTTTTCCCATGTCACCGGGCATCTCATTATCAGCTATTTGAAAGAAATTGGTCTGTATAATAAATTTTAGATATGTATGTGAATAGTTAAATGCTTGTTTTTTAATTTGGTGTGATGCTATTATCAACTGACATTATTGAAGGCTCTGTCCAGGAGGTAAACGTAGTGTAACATTATTGTTGTCCCCCTGTGTGACACGTAATCCTATCATAATTGATGTAACTATCATCAACCAGTGTTTTTAAGCCAACTCATTGCGGAGTATTTTTTAATATGGGCTAGTATTATGCACAACCACCAGTAGCTAAAGTGATGACGTAATTCCTGCTGGGGTATCATGCAGGAAGCCGAGGTACTGTAAGTCCCCATGATTCCCAGCAAGATGGCTTAGCTTTGCTTACTGGTGGCCTATAGCCCTTGTTTTAAAAATGTATACATGATATTGTTATGCTCAAAATGTTTCATAAATTGTTTTTAAATATACCTTTGCATAAATGACTCAGTTGAAAACATTTTAACTCGTCACTATATGGCTGAAATAATGCCGATGTGACATTAAATTTTAACTCACTCACTAACTAATCAAATTATCTGCATACATTAGGGAGAAATGGTAAAAGGTTTTTGGATAGGAATGCCATGAAAACCAAAAAAACTTCAGAAATTGTTTCAGCAAAAATGGGAGAGGTTGGTAGGATGGTCCAGGCAAAGTTTCCCCAGGCCTTTTCCTTTTGACAGGTCAAATAGCAAAATATGTTCAAGCAGGCCATACTTTCCATGGACGGCAGTAGTGTTTTGGCCAACATGACTGGTATGTCCGTTACCCCTTGGCTTGACAAAGCCAACATGCTGCTGCCATGGAGGAAAGGGCTAGGGACCTACCAGTACCAGTACAGCACTTCAAACAGGGGTCTTAGAAGGCACAGGACCCTGTTAACAATGTTGCCAGAATATTTTGCACAATGTTTCTTTACCTCACAAAAGATGCTTGTACTTCATTCATAAAATAAAGTGTGAGCTTCAGAACCTTGTGGTTGTACGTTTTCCTCTAAAAATCAAGTTGATGTTAGTTGGGTGACTGCAGTCCCACAAACACCTAGAGTCATCTCCCTTTAGTCATCACATTTCTTGAGTTAACATCTGCTACTCCACACAGCTTCAAGTTGGGAGACTTGACACTTGATTGTTGGTTGTCCACTGCCATAATCAGCAATATTTCAGCTATACATGTGTCATGACAACCTGTAAACAATCAAGCCTGAGCATGACAAACCAGAGCAACAACGTCCCACACCATTAGGGTATGATGACACTCAGTGAACCATGTCATCAAGCCTCTCAACGCGAGCCTTTTCATTCATCTCTGTAAACGACAATCATGTGTTTCCAATTATATACTGACAGGAAAAAAATAAACTGTGCTTCATAGAAAGTTCAATAAAAATTGATGTACTGTCATCTTTAATACATTCATGGAGACATCTCAACCTCAAGGTGGTGATTCACAATGTGCATGGTGCACAATTTGGATGTTTGCGGGTTTGTTGGCAGCATGATACTCACACATGGTTTCCAAATGTGAACAGCAGACAATGATAGTTTAGCTATTAGGTGCTCATGAAAATCTTGTTTAACCGTAAATAACGCTTACGCAATGCCTACATGCTGCAAACAGGAACAACCAGCTGTATCGCTGAATAAAATAGTTCCTCAAAGAGAGGTGACATGAGCGTATGTATGCACAACTTGCTCTTCAGAAACATTTTACAAAACACATGTATTCAAATGATATCACCATTAGATGAGAAGGGTCTGTTAAGAACTACCTCAGTAAGTCAGTCACGATAACAGTGCCTCGTAATACATTTACATCAAGTACAAGACGTCAAAATGGCCGACATGATCAACGTGTCAGGAGAGATTTCGGAAGTTGTCAATAAACCTGTGGCGGTTACATGTTATAGTCATCATTGATCAACTGGCCGATCTTTGAAAGGTTACCATAAAGACGTGTCAAATAGATACTTAGGTAAATTCATATATTGCTGTAGACTCACTGCAGCCTAGATACAGATCGAGTCGATACTTCGGATGTGCATTTCTTCATTTTATTCACGAGGATGGGTCGTAGCGAGGATATTCGTGAATGATCATGCAGTCTGACGTTTCTCAATTGTATACTAAAATGCTGTGTTCAAGATAAAAGGGTCTATATGATGAGAAAGAATGCTTCTGTACGTATTCGTGCTAGGGAATTCCCAGGAATGTGGAAGTAGTCCATCAGTTTTTATGTAAGAACATGGTCTCGTGAAAAATGTATGAACGTCTAATTGTGCTGTCCAATGGAAAAGCTGTATATCGTGTAAACTTCAAATTAAAAAATCATCTCACAATCTCAACTCTTTGGAGATGTTATCTGCAGCAGGGCAACACTCATGACTTGCCACAGGCCGGTCGTCCACTTGTGATGTCACATCAACAAAACAACCACTTTCAGTTGGTGCATCTGGGCAATCGATACTAAAATGCCACATTAACAGCTTGGACATGTCCCGGGTCGAGACCAATTAGTGGCAGAACCATACGCAACTGGTTGGGGGAGCACAACATCCGGCCCTGACTCCCTATTTTGATTCAACGTCACTGTCAGGCATGTCCAGCTATGTGTAGACAGCATCTGAGGTTCTAATGACAAGACTGGGACATTATAATGTTCACATACAAGCCCATCTTTCAAGGGTCTACACAGGCGTCCAGGAGAAACATTTTAGCAATACTTGTATTATTCAACATGGTCAGTTTGGTGTGGGAATGGCATCACAACTCATGGGTGAACAACTCATTATTGGTAATGCCCATTTGAATGGCGTACACTATCGGGATGACATCATTCGAGATCAAATTCTTCTCTTTGTGCAAATGAGTGTGTGAGTTTGGCTTAACGCCGCTTTTAACAGTATTCCAGTTATATCACGGCGTGTCAGCTAAATCTGGGTGGAAATCCTGAAGTGATGCAGGTCACAGACGTTTACCACTTTGGTGAAACCCACAAGCACGGGTATGGTGCTGACAAATCTAGAACCATAATTGGGGCGAACTAGGATTCAAACCCACAATCATAGGTGCTTGGCGTGCACAAGTGACGCAACTCTGCACAGCGAATCGCGGGCCTACCATGCCCCCTTGTGCAAATGCATGTACGGGGACGTAATGTCACGTGCCCACACGTTGTACGTGTTGTAACAGACTTTTGAGGAAGCATTAACATTACTGTACTGCCACGGGCGGCTGTTCCTCCAGACCTCTCCCTCATGGAACATGTCTGGGATGAGATGGAATGACGCCTGTGACTGGGCCAGAACCAGCTGGTAATGCTAGCTAAGTCGGGCCAATCTTCGGTTGGCATTTGGAACAATATCCCCAGGCTCTTTTCAATCACCTGGTCTTTAACACGCCGCCACTGTCTCCCTGTATCAATGCAAATGGTGGTCACACTCGATATTGACATTGATAATTGAGTTGTTGCACAACCCCTTTTAGTGTGTGTCGTACCTGTTACCAGGCTAAGGTTTTGTCAATGAATTTGTTTTGATAAACCATAATAACACGAATGACCAAACATTGTGTTGCTTTTTTAATAACATGACATTTACACCTTTTTATATGAAGCACAGCACAGCACAGCACAGCACAGCACAGCACAGCACAGCACAGCACAGCTACTTTTTTCCATTAGTATATCATGGAAGATATTATATATGCCCATCAACCGAAAGCAAATCAGATACTTCCTTGGATGCATACATGCATCCTGTGTGATCAGGCATCCAAATGACTCCTAAAAATCATCACTGTTAATAAATTGTTTTATTTGTAACTTTTCCGGTACTTATGTGGTGCATGTGGCAATTTGTAGCTGCACTGGATCAAATTAAGGGCTGTATTGAGTTTTTGTTGTTGATTTGATCTTCACATCAATACCTCAAAGCATCTCTGAAACAATTGAAATATGGAACAAATAGACAGTCATGTTCATGCATGCTTGAATACTTCACCAGTAAAACCAGTTACACAAGCTTGTGTCCCTTCTGGGATTGTGGGACAGAATAGTTCACCCGTTTCACAAGCTTGTCTTCCTTCTGGGGTTGTGGGACAGAATAGTTCACCAGTAACACAACCTTGTCTTCCTTCTGGGATTGTGGGACAGAATAGTTCACCAGTAACACAAGCTTGTCTCCCTTCTGGGATTGTGGGACAGAATAGTTCACCAGTAACACAAGCTTGTCTCCCTTATGGGATTGTGGGACAGAATAGTTCACCAGTAACACAAGCTTGTCTTCCTTCTGGGATTGTGGGACAGAATAGTTCACCCGTTACACAAGCTTGTCGTCCTTCTGGGATTGTGGGACAGAATAGTTCACCAGCAACACAAGCTTGTCTTCCTTCTGGGATTGTGGGACAGAATAGTTCACCAGTAACACAAGCTTGTCTTCCTTCTGGGGTTGTGGGACAGAATAGTTCACCAGTAACACAAGCTTGTCTTCCTTCTGGGATTGTGGGACAGAATAGTTCACCAGTAACACAAGCTTGTCTTCCTTCTGGGATTGTGGGACAGAATAGTTCACCAGGTACACAAGCTTGTCTTCCTTCTGGGATTGTGGGACAGAATAGTTCACCAGTAACACAAGCTTGTCTCCCTTATGGGATTGTGGGACAGAATAGTTCACCGGTAACACAAGCTTGTCTTCCTTCTGGGATTGTGGGACAGAATAGTTCACCAGTAACACAAGCTTGTCTCCCTTCTGGGATTGTGGGACAGAATAGTTCACCAGTAACACAAGCTTGTGTCCCTTATGGGATTGTGGGACAGAATAGTTCACCAGTAACACAAGCTTGACTCCCTTCAGGGATTGTGGGACAGAATAGTTCACCAGTAACACAAGCTTGTGTCCCTTCTGGGATTGTTGGACAGAATAGTTCACCAGTAACACAAGCTTGTCTTCCTTCTGGGATTGTGGGACAGAATAGTTCACCAGTAACACAAGCTTGTCTTCCTTCTGGGATTGTGGGACAGAATAGTTCACCCGTTACACAAGCTTGTCTTCCTTCTGGGATTGTGGGACAGAATAGTTCACCAGTAACACAAGCTTGTCTTCCTTCTGGGATTGTGGGACAGAATAGTTCACCAGGTACACAAGCTTGTCTTCCTTCTGGGATTGTGGGACAGAATAGTTCACCAGTAACACAAGCTTGTCTCCCTTATGGGATTGTGGGACAGAATAGTTCACCAGGTACACAAGCTTGTCTTCCTTCTGGGATTGTGGGACAGAATAGTTCACCAGTAACACAAGCTTGTCTCCCTTATGGGATTGTGGGACAGAATAGTTCACCAGTAACACAAGCTTGTGTCCCTTATGGGATTGTGGGACAGAATAGTTCACCAGTAACACAAGCTTGACTCCCTTCAGGGATTGTGGGACAGAATAGTTCACCAGTAACACAAGCTTGTGTCCCTTCTGGGATTGTGGGACAGAATAGTTCACCAGTGACACAAGCTTGTCTTCCTTCTGGGGTTGTGGGACAGAATAGTTCACCAGTAACACAAGCTTGTCTCCCTTCTGGGATTGTTGGACAGAATAGTTCACCAGTAACACAAGGTTGTCTCCCTTATGGGATTGTGGGACAGAATAGTTCACCAGTAACACAAGCTTGTCTTCCTTCTGGGGTTGTGGGACATAATAGTTCACCAGTAACACAAGCTTGTGTCCCTTCTGGGATTGTGGGACAGAATAGTTCACCAGGTACACAAGCTTGTGTCCCTTATGGGATTGTGGGACAGAATAGTTCACCAGTAACACAAGCTTGTCTCCCTTCTGGGATTGTGGGACGGAATAGTTCACCAGTAACACAAGCTTGTGTCCCTTACGGGATTGTGGGACAGAATAGTTCACCAGTAACACAAGCTTGTCTTCCTTCTGGGATTGTGGGACAGAATAGTTCACCAGTAACACAAGCTTGTCTTCCTTCTGGGATTGTGGGACAGAATAGTTCACCCGTTACACAAGCTTGTCTTCCTTCTGGGATTGTGGGACAGAATAGTTCACCAGTAACACAAGCTTGTCTTCCTTCTGGGATTGTGGGACAGAATAGTTCACCAGTAACACAAGCTTGTTTTCCCTTCTGGGATTGTGGGACAGAATAGTTCACCAGCAACACAAGCTTGTCTCCCTCCTGGGATTGTGGGACAGAATAGTTCACCGGTAACACAAGCTTGTCTCCCTTATGGGATTGTGGGACAGAATAGTTCACCAGTAACACAAGCTTGTGTCCCTTCTGGGATTGTTGGACAGAATAGTTCACCAGTTACACAAGCTTGTGTCCCTTATGGGATTGTGGGACAGAATAGTTCACCCGTTACACAAGCTTGTCTTCCTTCTGGGGTTGTGGGACAGAATAGTTCACCAGTAACACAAGCTTGTCTCCCTTCTGGGATTGTGGGACAGAATAGTTCACCAGTAACACAAGCTTGTCTCCCTTATGGGATTGTGGGACAGAATAGTTCACCAGTAACACAAGCTTGTCTTCCTTCTGGGGTTGTGGGACATAATAGTTCACCAGTAACACAAGCTTGTGTCCCTTCTGGGATTGTGGGACAGAATAGTTCACCAGGTACACAAGCTTGTGTCCCTTATGGGATTGTGGGACAGAATAGTTCACCAGTAACACAAGCTTGTCTCCCTTCTGGGATTGTGGGACAGAATAGTTCACCGGTAACACAAGCTTGTCTTCCTTCTGGGGTTGTGGGACAGAATAGTTCACCCGTTACACAAGCTTGTCTCCCTTCTGGGATTGTGGGACAGAATAGTTCACCAGTAACACAACCTTGTGTCCCTTCTGGGATTGTGGGACAGAATAGTTCACCGGTAACACAAGCTTGTCTCCCTTCTGGGATTGTGGGACAGAATAGTTCACCAGTAACACAAGCTTGTCTCCCTTCTTGGATTGTGGGACAGAATAGTTCACCAGTAACACAAGCTTGTGTCCCTTATGGGATTGTGGGACAGAATAGTTCACCAGTAACACAAGCTTGACTCCCTTCAGGGATTGTGGGACAGAATAGTTCACCAGTAACACAAGCTTGTGTCCCTTCTGGGATTGTGGGACAGAATAGTTCACCAGTAACACAAGAATGTCTTCCTTCTGGGGTTGTGGGACAGAATAGTTCACCAGTAACACAAGCTTGTCTTCCTTCTGGGATTGTGGGACAGAATAGTTCACCAGTAACACAAGCTTGTGTCCCTTATGGGATTGTGGGACAGAATAGTTAATCCGGAAACACAAGCTTGACTCCCTTCAGGGATTGTGGGACAGAATAGTTCACCAGTAACACAAGCTTGTGTCCCTTCTGGGATTGTTGGACAGAATAGTTCACCAGTAACACAAGCTTGTCTTCCTTCTGGGATTGTGGGACAGAATAGTTCACCAGTAACACAAGCTTGTCTTCCTTCTTGGATTGTGGGACAGAATAGTTCACCAGTAACACAAGCTTGTGTCCCTTCTGGGATTGTGGGACAGAATAGTTCACCAGTTACACAAGCGTGTGTCCCTATTGGGATTGTGGGACAGAATAGTTCACCAGTAACACAAGCTTGTCTCCCTTCTGGGAATGTGGGACAGAATAGTTCACCCGTTACACAAGCTTGTCTCCCTTCTGGGATTGTGGGACAGAATAGTTCACCAGTAACACAAGCTTGTCTTCCTTCTGGGATTGTGGGACAGAATAGTTCACCCGTTACACAAGCTTGTCTCCCTTCTGGGATTGTGGGACAGAATGGGGATGGGTATTGGATGTTAAAAGTGCATCACAATGTTCTGCGATGCACAAGGCCATATTGAGATATGTATCGCGGTATATTGTACAATTCTAAATTTGAATTCAGGAAGCAATCTGAAACGAAGGTATGAATTGAAGTTTAGAAATAGAACAAAAATGATGCTGGGAAAACAATCATTTCTCATTCAATAAATATGTAGCTATCTTGGGGCCCCGGGCGCACGCTCCAGGAAGTGAAGGTATTTGGCAAGTGTATTACCAAAAACACATGGTAAATATCACTATTTGAAATCACCTGATATACCAACATAAAACAAATCATACTCTAATCAATATGTAAGAATAAACCTCAATTTACTGATATATCGGTAGTACTGCCCACACTTAGTTACCAATGATAATATCTCCTATTTAGGCTGGTTTGGGGATGCGAACCCTTAATCAGTGGATCCTGGCATGGCTAAGGAATGTAACTATGCACGACAACTCTGTGGTACGTTAGACCAGTGGGCTACCTGCAACCTCCACTGGACTGTAAAAGTAGTTACACCATCTATTAACAAAATCATACCTGGAAAGACTGCTTTATGTTAACTCTTCCTTAATGTCAAATATGTAAACAAAATGTAAGTATGAGTTTTGAAACATGTTCATGTTTCATTTGTTTCATACTACATACCATATCCTTTGTCTGTTAACACAGAATTAATCAAATCTTTGCAAGGATATATTTAATGAGGTTAAGTTGAGAATAATGTGTCACATGCAGTGACAATCTAGAGCGTGAGAGTTTAATACAAATGACTTATCACTTATATGTAAGTTAGATTATGCCTATAAATTAGTACATTAGTTGTATTACATCAATGAGTTTGAATTTAAGAGGCTATATTATCCAAAGTTATTTCAAGCCTTCAGAATCTTCAGGTTTACAACTTCACATGGACTAAATCATGATGTTGAAATGGTTAAAAAAAAAATACACAGGTGTTAGTCCCATATATGTTTATTACATATGCATGTACCATACAATTTCAAATACATGCACAGTGACAAGCTTCAATACATGGTTTGTTTCTAGTTGAAAGAAAGTCTCCTTGAACAAAAAGGGGAGAATGTGTAACATTCTTTCAACATATAGCCTGTATTCTTTTCTTCTTGTACGATGCACTGTTTATGAATCTCTTCCACACATAAATAATCTAAAGACATTGGTCTAGATCATGTCTGGTTATAAAAGAGGCTTGATGAATTTGATTTTGAAAGTCAACATTCAGTTAGATCTTCATACAGAACGTCTCAAATTACTGCAGGCAAAGTTGCATGTTCAGGTTCGAGGTCAAGTGGTGAAAATGGCCATCCATATTGAACAATGTTCCAATAAGGTTACATTGTATTCTCAGTTCGTAAGTGCAACAAGTGCTTCCACAATATTCCCTTTATGTTCTCTCAGAACTCTCTCCGCCTGAATTCGGCCAATTTCTATTTCATTCACAATTAGATCTACGTCATCTTTGTTTATTTTCACTTTTGAAAGTTCTCTTTCTCGTTCTTGTCTTTCAGAAGCTTCCTTGGCTTTGCTGACATTTACAACCCGCATGGCATCGCTGATGCTCTGAGCGGAGATTTCTGTTTCTTCAACATAATCAGTGACTTTCTCTAAATCGGCTGCACCGGAGTCATGTTTGGCAACTTTCTTTGATTTGCCTTCTTTTTTATCTTCATTCTCTTCGATTTCAACGTTTTCTTCCTCCGTCGCCATGTTGGAACATGTGTTGGTTCCTCGCTTACCTCCCTTGGTTCCTCCCTGACAAGTTTCACTCAAACAATGCGTATGCGCTTCAATCTCATATGCAATATAAGGCTTAGAAGAAGAAACATAGTCCATAAATCAACTTAAATCATGCATCCTGTCTATGAATACATATCAGCAATGATTTATGCATGGCCCTTACTGTCCATAATGCCCTATCGAAGAAAATGTGTTTTTTACATAAACATTGTAAAGAAAGGAGAAAGAGCGTGTCGGACAGTTTATATAATATAAGCCTCACCCATCTCTCAGCGGCCTCGGTAGCGCAGTAGGTAGCGCGTCAGTCTCATAATCACATTGGCAAGAGCCATCTGAAGGTCGTGAGTTCGATCCTCACCCGGGGCAGCATGTTTTTTTTTTCATTTTCGATTTGCTGTTCATGAGACAAAAAGATACGCAAAGTATATTTATACTTATGAATCATTCAACGTATGAAATATACAACAAACAGTATACTACTCGAAAGAAGTTATAGCATGACAGATAACTACAGTAAAATGAAAGATTCGGGTGTTCTGTGCTCAGTGTTCTTTTGATTAGTATATTTGTAAAGTAACGAAACATTTCAGTCCGATAAATAAGCATAGATTACTTTTTCACCAAAGGGTTAAATGCCGCAGACAAAGAAGGAGCAAGTAATCGTTCTTTTGGAACTGAAATATTCACATTTAGTTAACTTATAATTGCAAGATCTGGCCATCAGTGAATTATCTAACAACATTAAAACAGCAAATACCGAAAGCAAGGTATGGCGGTGAATGATTCATATGACAAGGTTACTTTGACGTGTGTGTTCATTACATCCGCGACTGTTGAGTAATACCGTTGCAGGCATATGTAGGCATCCGGAATGATAAAGCACGACGTCACCGAAGCTGCATTTTTGTTTTCACAAGAGCTCATCCCTGCCCAAGATTACCAATCCCCGAATCACGTTCTTCATAGAAAACTCTCCAGTCTTGGGATCAGAATTAGACAATATTAAAGAACAAAATAGTACCTCACTTTACGTTACTCAGCAACCCCGTTTATCCAATCGATTTTTTACTCGGTATACAACCCATCTCGTTTAACAAGGTTCATTGGAGTTGCGGGTTTTCGGAGTTGGTGTAATGGCGGCGATCGCGGCACTATACAGACTATACAAATTACACTATACAATGATATAGATACATCACTAACAAGATCCACTGAGATCACCCTTTTCATAGATCATGATGATCTTTGGTTACGCATGACGAGTATTCTAGGTGGGACGAGAAAGTGTGACGCACGTAGGTGTTGACGTCAAGTTGCACAATAGCAATGCACGATCCGGTACTAAATGATCAGCGAGAGATTGTTTGTAAAAAAATGATTTATCATTTAAATAGGAAGATCTAAAGTTACGCCATCTAAGTTTAAAGAGATGAATGTTGGAAATTTCAGCTAACAATGAAAACCTAGACTTCAGTTCGAAAACAATGTCATTTATAAGCAGACTAGCTTCCAATATTGGCAGTCGGAGTCACGTAACTTTATATCTGTTCTGGATCCTGTCTGAAGGTGTCGCCTGCAGCAGATAATGCAGGATCCACCTAGAACGGTTTATCGATGTATGCAACAGCTGTGTACAGGGTTTGCCAGCCTGCTGGTATAGCGTCAGTGTAAAGGTTTATAATATAAACCGTTATTATTGATATATTCCACGACTTATTCTCCTTAATGTTTTCCAACAACATCGTCGCATGCGTGTTCCATACACACGAACGCATTAATCTATACGAGAGCCCGAACGACAGAGCGTCTTGGAACCGATATCGGCCGATGATGTGCACAGCTGGCACTTGTCAACACACGGCCGTCTGCCAGAACACAACATTGCAAGCAGTCAGATCGAAGCGTTTGCGCCTTCTTTCTGTTTTTATTGAACCACTTAGTCGATGAAGCTGGCATCTGATTCACTTATGTCTATTTTAGCTCCATATCATAAAATTCATGGATATTCCTTGCAATAGCCTTAGTCACACTCGTAATAAATTCCACCATCTGTGTATACAATGTCAATATAATGGCTACCTGTTGAAGAGGAAATTAGGTGCCACTCTGTGTTAGCGTGGCTTCACATCAGAAATATATACCAAGAATAATAACATCTTTATCATTCTTATACGATTATATTCAAGTACTTTATATTCTCCCTAATTGAACACGAGCGCAAATGGTAGTGGTTCACAAAAAAACTCAGTTTCTCTGCTAAAGTAAGAAGCAGGTATTTTGAATGGGTTTACAATGGTACATCAGAACACTAGGCTATTTCCCAAAGACCCGTTCTTCACCTTTAGTGAGTAATTTTTAAAGTGTAGGAGCGTAGGTTTAAATATACATGTATAAACGTAGGTTTAAGTGGGAAAGAACAGGTTCATGTGTAAGGGCATGTAGGTTTAAGGACAGGAACAGGTACATGTGTAGGGGCATGTAGGTTTGAGGATAGGAACAGGTTCATGTGGTGGGGCATGTTCGTTTGAGAAGTGGAGCATAGGTTCATGTGTAGGGGCATGTAGGTTTGAGAAGTGGAGCATAGGTTCATGTGTAGGGGCATGTAGGTTTGAGAAGTGGAGCATAGGTTCATGTGTTGGGGCATGTAGGTTTGAGAAGTGGAGCATAGGTTCATGTGTAGGGGCATGTAGGTTTGAGAAGTGGAGCATAGGTTCATGTGTAGGGGCATGTAGGTTTGAGAAGTGGAGCATAGGTATATGTGGATGGGCATATAGGTTTTGAGAAGTGGAGCATAGGTATATGTGTAGGGGCATGTAGGTTTGAGGACAGGAACAGGTTCATGTGTAGGGGCATGTAGGTTTGAGCAGAGGAGCATAGGTTTAAGTGTAGGGGCATATAGGTTTGAGGACAGGAACATATTTATATGTAGGGGCATGTAGGTTTGAGAAGTGGAGCATAGGTTCATGTGTAGGGGCATATAGGTTTGAGGAGAGGAGAGGAGCATAGGTAAATATATGGAAATATGTTTAAGGTACTGGATGTAGGCGTAAGAAGGTTTATGTGTGGGGCATGTGTTGTGTTGCAGTAGCATTGATTTAAATGAAGGAACATAGGTTTAAGTGTGGCAATATAGACGCATTAATTTGTTTTACTATCACTAAAACCCAAATACAGTTTACTCTAGCTTAAGCCCGATATACCAGTGTATGTATGTCCCCTGCGCTGGGGCGAAGGGTTCGATAAAAGCCTGCATTTTCATATATATATAAGGGTTCGATAAAAGCCTGCATCTTAATATATATACAAATATTTGCCACCCCCTCCCCTTAAATGTCTTGTTTCTGATTTTCACCTACCATATTCCCCACACATGCAGATTGATGTTGCGAAGTCAGCTGCGAGTGTAGAGGGCTTACCATCTGTTCAAGTGATGTAGATGTTATCGTCATGTTGTCATACTGCTGACTTATTGATTCACGTGTGATCAAAAACGTCTATGTATCTGTTCAGGGAGCAAGATGACCAAAACATAGCCCAGAATACAATATGTAGTCAATGATATGCTTCATGAAATGGGTAGATGACCATTCGCAAAGGAGGACGATTTCATTGACATTTTACCGTTTTCTTATCTATCAAAAGTGATTTCCAAACGAAATGATTAGACTAGAACAATAAACAATAATATGTTATCTATTTCATGCATGTAACCTCGGAGAAACACATATTTTGATACCAGGTATGTCTCTTCCTTTTTCTTTCATAGATATACGTCATGTGTTCCAATCAGGGAGTCAGTATACGACTTACATGTACCTGGTCAAATGCAATTTAAAGGCATGAACTATTTCTTATTTACGTTGATTAGTGATGTATGGCAAGACTATCATAAAGTGTTATTGATAAAGATAATTTTGTTAACAGACCAGTTTTGAATACCCTAGTAAACCATACCGGAATCTATTCAAACACACAGAGCTTCTCAAAAAAAGATAAAAAAATGTGTCAGCTCTTTTTTTGTTGCTGTTGACACGTTGATTTGAACGATGCAGTTCTTCAGACGTTGTTACGTTTGAAGGATGTAGTTCTTTAGATGTTGTTACATTTGAACCATGCAGTTCTTTAGACGTTGTTACATTTGAACGATGCAGTTCTTTAGACGTTGTTACATTTGAACCATGCAGTTCTTTAGACGTTGTTACATTTGAACTATGTAGTTCTTTAGACGTTGTTACATTTGAAAGATGTAGTTTTTTAGACGTTGTTACATTTGAAAGATGCAGTTCTTTAGACGTTGTTACATTTGGACGATGCAGTTCTTTAGGCGTTGTTACATTTGAAAGATGCAGTTCTTTAGACGTTGTTACATTTGGACGATGCAGTTCTTTAGACGTTGTTACATTTGAAAGATGCTGTTCTTCAGACGTTGTTACATTTGAACGATGCAGTTCTTTAGACGTTGTTACATATATCACTACGGCAACACCGAAACCGATGATCTTCAGCGAAATGAGTGAGTGAGCATGGTTTCACACCGCTTTTAGCAATATTCCAGTTATATCACGACAGGGGACAGAAATGGGCTTTACACATAGTACACATGTGGGGAATCGAACCCGGGTCTTCGGCGTCACGAGCGAACGCTTTAACCACTGGCTATCCCGCCGCCCCTTTCAGCGAAATGAAAAGTGCATACTATGATTTTGAATCTATGCTATTGTAATCATGCATACACAATATACATATTTTCTCTCTCATCATTTTCAGTTTATCAAGCATATCAGCGGCCTTTATACAGTTGTGATGGTTTTGTCCTAAATATATAACCTTGAAATATTGAATTTCGGTTCTAATGCACTGGAGTGTTTTCATGATATAAAATCGATCTCAAAAGATAGATTTATTTACAACAGCCGTTAGTTGTCTGTAGATACAACCATGTTACCATTGCAGAAGAATGGTCAAGTATTTCACCATGACAGGCCTTATTTGTATCTATTGACTT